TTCATTCATCTCGCCATCACTACCCGGTAGTGGCTTTAAGTTTTTTCCAGAGAGAGGTAAAATGCAAGCACAAACGTGGCATTTATTGTCTTCCATACAGAGAAGATGAGACACCAACCAGCAACCAAACTTATACTGAAAGCAACTAGCTGCCTTATATACACTTCCTCCTGCAAGTAATTAAGTGGGTAACACGACTTAGGTGGGACCACCATCATTTAGAATAATAAATATTTACCTAAAACGCAACACCACAGAAAAATAGAGCACAAAGAATGAATATTTACATAAATACAAATTTCTATCAATAAATCAATCAATCACATGCACTCAAAATAATCCCATAAATCAGCATTGCTTTACTCCCCCCACCCTCAGCTTCATGGTTTGCTCCTGCAGCTCTTAAGCAGGTGTTTGAGCCTACCACACTCCTTTGCCTGTGCCCCCTGCTGAAGAGACAACCAGAAAGAGGTGAGTACTTACATTGTTTGCTTTATCTGTTTAAACTAATTTGATATCTAACTGGAATGGAGTAGAAGCAGTCAATGCTATGTTGTGAATCATGACTATCACTGATTGAGGTTTCTTTTCAAACAGGCAGGATGACCAGACCCTCCTGTGTTTCCTCAGCCTCCTCTGAAACTACTCACTGCAAAGAAAGTTAACAAATATTTCCATCCATCCAACGCTTATCCTGCGTACAGGGTTGCGGGGGGGCTGGAGCTGATCCCAGCTGACATCGGGCAAACAACCACTCACACCTAAGGACAATTTCAGAGACCCCAATCAACCTAGCCTGCATGTCTTTGGATGGTGGGAAGAAGCCGGAGCACCTGGAGAGAACCCATGCGGACACGGGGAGAACATGCAAACTCCACACAAAAAGACCTCCTTGCTGTGAAGCGACAGAGCTAACCACTGCACCACCGTGCCGCCCTATCAGATATTTAACAACTGAAATAGACAAAATAAGAATGTGTATGGCTCCTGCCAATAATCCCCACCTTAATATTCATCTCTGAACCAGACAAAGACTGTTATCTGTTATACACCTGTGATCATCAGTACCCAAGTATTTGGATTTTATTTACACTTATTCATTTAGCTGACGCTTTTATCCAAAGCGACTTACAATTGCTACATATGTGAGAGGTCGCACGCCTCTGGAGTAACTAGGGGTTAAGTGTCTTGCTCAGGGACACAGCGTGGATTGAACCTGGGTCTCTCACACCAAAGGTATAGTCTTATCCATTGCGCCACCACATTTTATGAAACTATACTTTTCTTAATTAGAGGCATTTTTGTATTGTCAACTTTACTGTATTTATCAGACAGTTGTGATCTTCAGACTCAGATTTCACACAGAAAATCAAAACTCTTGAAGTTTAAATTAGACAAAAGTACTTAGACCACTTACAGCTCCAACATACAGTAGTACTTCATGTTAAAGTGGGATACCATTATGCAGAGTCAGTACATGTTTGGTACATGTTACTACCTTTACCCTCTTATTCATTTTATACTTTGGTCTGAAGGTGGCACCAGAGGATTAGTTTATTATGAGCACCAGCATTTCAATTTAAAACTGACACTTGTTACAGATGCCAAGTATCACATGTGACTATTTCTACTATAAAAGAACCTTTACTACTTACCTGTTTCTTCCTGTCAGTTTCATAAGTCTTGATTTTCTTTAGTTACAAACCTGTAATGTGGATTAAATCTGCTGTCCCACAGAGTTAACAAAAAGCACAGAAGACAGTTTTGGATTAACCCAGACTTTATGCAAATTGCACAATTGGTATAAAACTTTAAGAAAATGTGGTCTTTGGTGTTGGCACAGCAAAAAGATACACAAATAACCATGTGACAAAAACAAATCATCACACAAAACATTCAGGGTAATGCAAAAAGAAAGTAATCTGGAGATCACCAACAATCCAATAATTTAAAGGAGGTCTTCTATCAGGTCTAATTCATTAAATAAGCAGCTGCATGTAGGGTGACATTTACTTTCAATCTTTACTTCAGGTCCCCCTATTCAGCGTTTATATGCAGTATACACACTTAATACATTCAGTACACACTAATGTAGTAGTATACAGTAAGTGTTGATGTCAACACATTCAATGATGATCAGTAAAACAAAGTTTGACATTTTAATGTGACAAATCCTGTATCCTAACACACTGTCTTATAACCCACTTACACTGCATAGAAATGCTGGGGAACTTAAAGTGCTACTCAGTGGTTTCACAAAAGAGAAATCTGGGCTGAAAAGCTTAACTACCAAGCAGGACGTGATGTTAGAGGAAACTTTCAGTCCTGCTGATTAGCTTACCTGCACCAGACCAGACATCAAGACGTCCTTAAAGCAACATTATGTATCTTAAAATAACAGCTTTAAAATAATGTTGGTATACATATATGCTATATTAGGACAGCAGTGAATGACACTGAATCTATAGAGGGACCAAATAATAATATAAGTTACATTAAATTACAAAACAAATAATAATTACATAATGCTGCTTTGAGAAAAACAATTTTTGTTTTTATAAATAAAATCAGTTATTGGCATCAAAGGAAAGTTCATTATTCTGGATTGTTCCCAAGTATTTGTGCTGCTGGTCACAGTCAGGCTCCCTTTAATTCATTTGTGCAGATCCCACCCCCCAAAATAAAAACAAAAACCTTCAGTTCCAAGCGAATCATACGGGCTTCGTATTTTCATCCCAATTTCACTAAAAAATGACCATTACCAGCTATGAATTTTATACAGAAAGCCTGGTTTGACTTGTAAATGTAAATTTTGAACAATAGTCTGCTGTCAAGCCAAGTCTTTGTAAGACAAAGTGATGCAAATACAAAACAAACTAGAAAATTGCATTTCCTGCTGAAAGTGCGTGTGAATGCTGAACTGAACTTGCAAAACACTGCAGGAAATGTAGAAGAGCTGAAATCAAATGCACTGAAAAGCTAAATTGTTCTACTGTCCGCAAAGTATAACAATAAGAAAACAATAACAAAGTATAACAAAGCTTAAAGCTGAGCTGACCTTGCATAACACTGCAGAAAATGCAAAAGTGCTGAAATGAAATGCATAATAAAGTACTGAAGCTCAATGACATTGCAAATCACTGCATAAGAACTTGGATGTTGTACAGAGCTAAAATTCATTGCTGAAAGATGTTATAATGTCATAGATGGAAGCTGAAATGAGTTTCTTTTGTGAAATGGATCCAGGAGAAATGAAAGAGACTGAAAGAGATACAGGCAAATAAGACAAACAGAGACTGACAGACAGTCAAGACAGAGACAAGCAGAAAGAGAGAGAGAATAAATGAAAGATAGAGAAAGTCTACATTAAACTCATAAAAGGAAAATTAACAAATGGCTGCCTGTTGGACAGTTTGGCTTCAGAGCGTGACTGAAAAGCCTTTGATACCAGAGGTGGCAGCAGTGCACTGTATCCCAATGACCTCCTTCGCCCACCTGCTCAAGACTGTACGCCTGCTGCGTCTCCTTGGTCTGCTTCAGTACAGCACCGTGTGTGTACAATGTCTGTTTGCCCTGCTGACACACTGGATGGCCTGCATCTGGTACGAGACCGGACACGTGGAGATAGAACGAGTGGACCTCGCACACTGGGTGGCTCAATGAGCTGAGCAGACGTATGGAGATGCCGCACATCAACAGCACGATGGGCGGCCCGACGGCGCACAGCCTACGTCACCACCCGTTTCTTTACCGTCAGCAGCCTGACCACTGTGGGCTTTGGCAATGTCTCAACAGATCTGTTTCTGCGAAAGAACGCCTTAACTATACTGCACAGTTTGATCAGGAATCATTAATTAATAGACTACTATATACTAATAAAGGTGAACAGGAGGAGAAATTACATTTAATTTGATGCTGTTTTCAGTGTGTCTGACGTGCTAACACGAGAGAGACTCAGGTCATCAAGACCAATGCTGATGTGAAGGTGTTGACATACTATCACATTCAGTATATCAGTGTGTGTGACCTGAAAGATGTGCTATTCTACCACAAGTATGCCAGTGTGTTTGCCTCAGATATCCACAACAATCTACAACCTGCGTGAGGACAGCCAGGACGAGGGCCTCAGCGGGTTTTCAAGGTCACCCAGGCTTACCCACGAACGCAGGCTCCCCTCTCTTGTGGATACACAGGGGGATGAGTCTGACAACTTGGTCCACCTCCTCCAGCAACACGCTCCCTTCGCAATCTGCTGCTGACCAGCTTCAGAAACCTTGTTGGCCTTCACGGGCAGAGCTCAACCCCTCAGCCACTGTCAAAAAAAGAGCACAGCACTCGTACAGCCACTCGAGTCTCAGCCCAGGGAGAGTCAGCGGCTGAGCAAAAGCCTTCAGAGCTGCTTAATCCAACTGTCCCCTGCTTAGGAGCCCAGATCTTAGTCCCAAAGTTGTAGAGGGAACTGAAGACCATGGACCCTTGGTCCATTTCAACACACCAGGCCTAGAGCCAGTACAGGAGGCAGCAGCCACGAGTCCACTCAGGCTAATGTAACTCTGCTGGAGATGGAGGAGGTCAGACAGATCATTAATCAACTCAACCAATAAGTTTCTGAGCTCACCAGAGGCCTGCACCACCTGATGCATCTCCTGCAGAAACTTCCTTTAACATAGCTTCAAACTACCACATCCACAAGCAAAGCCTGACCGCCATCAGCCAGTCTCAGCCCACTTTAAGCCTGCAGCCTCCCATTGATAGTGATGAATACTCCAGCCTTTCGTCCAGTACCCCTACAAGCAGGCCTACATCCACACACAGCCTGCTGGACTTGTTATCCAATTCTTTCACCTCCTTCCAAATCAAGGCGTGTTACCGGCTACATTTCCGAGATTGAAGCAGAACAACAAAAGGATGAATGCCCAAAAAGTTTTGGCAATGACACGAGTGAAGGAGAAACCTGACAGGGGAGACATAATGAATGGCGGTCACTGACTGCTAGAGCGCTTCGTTCCTTTATTTACATGTAGGCTATATAATAACAGCACGTTATTACCAAAAGGTTGTGTTTAACTTTTCTGGCGGCTAGGCCAGTAGTCTCAAGTGCAGGACTAAGAGAGGGAGGAGACCGGAAGACTAGATGCAGCAGAACCAGGTTGGTGGCTGCAGTGCAGAGCAGAAGGGAACCATAGCCGAGAGTCCAGAGAGGGTGAGAGGCCGAACTGAGCAGGTCCAGAACAGATCACGGGAATATATAAACCGGACGGGGGCCCAGGGAGAGCAGAAGGGATGAGCACCATTTGCGTTAGCGCAAAGTAACAATTAGGAGTGTGTGAGTTAAAATTTCATGTGGTCTCATTCGTGCGAGTGTAAGGTGATCTTTAGCAGCTCCACCATTTCACTCACAAAATGCCCCTTATGTGCAAGTAAAAACCGCAACCTACCGTACCCCCCGCTAACCGTTTACAACATTGTCTGACCGGCTGCCACCGGCACCAAGAGAAATCCTAATGGGGTAGAGATGCGTTGGCAGGTGAAGCGGTGAGACAGAAGGCAGCAAGGAGAAGATGAGGAAGGTTTATGTTTGGTTAGTTGGCTATTTAGCAGCATGAGGTGAATTTTCTTGAAACAACTTTCATGAAGTCAATGAGCTCGTCAATGTCACTTTTCGACAACCAACCAATCACAGCATGAATAAATTAGAGTCTAACTCAACCATCACGTAAGCTAAAGCATTTTTCTTGCACAATCATTTAAGGAATGAAAAAAAGAAACTGGAATTAATGTTAGATGCTACACGTGGTAAGATATAAAGTATACTAAAGTGACATTATAATTAAAAAATAGTCACATTATATAATTATTATAATAAATAACTTATAATAATAACAATGTATTATTATTATTATTATACTACTACTTTTACTTCATGTTATGAAATATGAAAAGTCATTTTTACTAGCTCCTCCTTCAGGTTGTGGCTAGAGCCTCTGCAGGGAACAGATGTAGATTTAGCCAGATTTGGTTGAGGTATGATCGGCTGCGTTTATATTGAAGGCAATCTGCCACATTGTTGTTACCGTGTCAACACAGTTTTAGCTTGCACAACAACTGTAAGAAACACAAAACTTGCAGGGGCCGATATATCACCTGAAACACAGAGCCCCTCCCCGCTTCTTATCAGCTGTTACCTACTGTAACAAAAAAAAAAAAAAGGGTGTGACCAAATCATGTGGTGTGACAAACTGAGAAAGTTGGTAGCACCAATGGAAAGGTTAGTCCGGAGCCCTGCAGTGCTCACTTTAGACAGACAGACTAAGTCCGGACCATCACTAAACTACTTGCATGTTGTTTTCTGCATCGGGGTTGTTGTTTGCTGATGAAGTCCTCAGAGGGTTCAGCCCACAGCAGTTTGTTAGCTCTGCATTTTGCTCCCTCCTTCCTCTGAACCTCGTCATCAGTTTCTCTATGAGAACATAAAAACAGGTTTGTTAAACTTTTTAAAGTCGGTGTTTTGAGCAGAAATACATATTGAAAAATATTACAGGAACAAAGTCAAATCCCTCATCTTTGATTTCACAATGAGCAACAACAAACCTGCTCACAACAGTGATCACACAGCAGGGCTTTAAATGTTAATGAAGAGCTGTGGGACAGTTTGTTTAGTAACTTACGGATCGTTCCCCGTCTCACAAGAACCCCAACGACAATGAAGACAAGGACGACGACAACAGTGGAGGTGATGATGGCAACAAGCTTCCCGTTTTCACCATCTGAAAGAAGATCAGAGGAGATTAAAACCAGCACAGGCTCAGTTTATTCTTTATTTCACCAATTCATGTTTAGTGTTCTGCTCATGTAGTATTTTCTCATTCACCCCTAGTAGTGTCCAACCACACAGATGGTTTTATTTGTCCTGGTTTTGAGATATTGTCTGTAAGACTTCTGCCTCCCCCTGAATACAGCAGAGAACAAGTATTTTAAGTAGTAGATAACCCGAAGACATCAGTGATGTCAAAAAGCCAAGTTGCTGTACTACTACGACTACTACAGGAAAGTACCAGAAGTACAACATAAGAGTGATTTCCCATCACTGGGTGCATTTTCTAGTTCAGTTTGTTTGATTCAGTCGACTCGAGGATTGTTTGTGGTCTGAAAACATCTAAGCAACTACAATATTATTTTTATTGCCGTTTCTGCTTTATTTGATAAAAAAGGGGCTGCTGCGCTAACCTTTTGAGACGATCAACACTGTTTTTGTGCCTTAAACTTGATGAAGACAAATGTTACAGGGGGAAAAGGGTCATTATCCTAAGAAGAAACCCTCCTGATTATCTCAAGGGATCAGAATTAGCCGTTATTATGGCTATGAATTTTATGAGAAGAAGTCTGTCTCAAAGACGAAGATATAACAACTGAAAAACAACTTCATTTCAGTTCAAAGCAATTTACCAGGTTTGTCCAGCTCATCTGGTGGAGGTCTAGTTGTGTTCTTTTTGCTCTGGTGGACTTTGGTCAGTGTTAAAGAAGAAAAAAAAGGAGACAAAAATGTTTGTCAGCACTCAGAAACAGATTAAAATATCTTCTAGCAGTCAGACAGAGGGACCTGCTGTGTGCTTTAAGTAGCTCATGAAGGATAAGATGCTAAAATTAACAGGTTACAGCTGTTTTTTAATTTGACACATTTATTCAGCACTGAATATCTTCTGCTTCTGTATATTTATACTGAGCATCTCTTTGCACAAGAAAATCTCAATTCTGACAAACCTTTTTAGTATCTGAAACTGTATGAACTCAGCATGCTCACCAACAGTGACATTAACAACACAGCTGGTCAACAGTCTTGAGATAAAACACTTGTACGGTCCGCTGTCAGCCAGCTGTACTGAGGAGATCTGCAGAGTCAGGATGCCTCTGCTCAGGTCTTCAAGGTGGAGAGTCGACCTGCCTTTGTATTGATCCATCCAGTCATTTGGATTTTCCTGCTTGCCTCGATAAGAGTACACCCCTTTGTTGAGGTCATCTCTTGTCCAATCAAGAGCGTAATCCACCACGTTGTGCGGGGGATTCAAATAACATTGTAGAGTGACTGTATCACCTTCCACTGCCTCAATTGTGGGATTCGGGCAAATGGCTCGAGGCTTTCCTGTGAAACAAACAAACATCACATTTACACAAATTCATCACAAGTCATCTTTTCAAACATTTAGACACACAGTTGATGTTTTTTTAGTCCAAGAGTGCAACAATTCCTAAACTGCAAAAGTGCTGCTCCATCTCGTTCACTCAGCCCTTTCATCACATCTCAGGAGACGACAGACCTGAGCGCTGAATAATTTGATCAGCTGGCAGGGTTTGATATACCTGGCAGAGATGTTGTGCCACATGATGATATTTCTCGTCAGGTTAGAAAAAAAAAAAAAAAACGGATACCGCTGACTCTCAAGTCAACTCCGGCCAGCTGATGCCACACCAGCAAACGCTGTGATGGTAATAAAGTGACCCCCCCCCTCCTCGCGCTGTGAGTTTTGCACTATAAACATTTTTTATAAACTGAGGCACAAACTGTGTGGGACTGTGAGCTTTATCAGAGGATCTGTGGTGAGATTTCTGCCTGATCCTTGTCAAAAAAAACTTGTAGTTGCACTTCATAACAATAATGCAGCAATCTGTTACAACAGTGTTAATCCACATAAATCTGAACCACCTCAGAGCAAGTTCTCTGTAAGTACAAAGTAGGCCTTCTTAACAACATACACAGTAACATAAAGGATTTAAATCTACGGTCATGTTCCTGTAACTGTATGTAAAAGTAAAAACATAAATTCTTGAATATCTTTTACAGTTTCCAATGTATAGAATGTACCTAGAAGTCATTACCCCATCTTCTAATAAACATCTGGCTGTGCTGCACAGTATTGATCACACCGTAGCCCGTATTTCTCATATTAGCTACCAGGTCAGACGCACAGAGGTAAGTTAGTACAGGTGTCCTGCCAAAAACTGTTTGCCGTCTGCTGGAGCTGTATTGCCCAGTCTCTTCAATCACTTTCTGGCAAGTGAAATAGCCTACTGCATTTTTTGGGCTGAGGTAAAAAGTACTAGGTGAGCTACAATCTGTCAAATATAACTCTTCTGAATAAAATCAACTAATTTCAGGGCAGAAATAATCTTTCAGTCAATAACAAAAGGCTTCAACTGCATTTTAAGAGTTGTATTGACCATTTAAAAAGGTATTATAAGAGTGGATTGGGTCATAAGGATAATTGCAAAATTGTCTTCATTTTATATCTAAGTTGGCAGTATGTCACGTTAATTAGGCTACAGAGATATCACACATAGGCCTACCAAACATCACTTTTCAGCACCACACCGCCATTTAACGCGCTTGCGTCATTCCGCAAACAACAATAAAAACAGATTAAAAAGATCACGTTTTGTCCAGAAATCTCTTACTGATCATATGTCAATGAAAGAAATACCGTCAGTCTCGGGTTAAGTCATTAAATGACCTACAAGTGTCCAAGAACAGTTTTAGTCAGCTAGCGAGTTTATAGCAATGCTAACCTGCTAAAGAGTTTAACAATCCCATAAACTAGTCCGCGTGAGCAAACAAACCAGTGTTACAAACCTAAAAAAGCTCCAGTGTTTACAACCTTAAGCTATAATGTTAAGTTATCTTTAAGCGTGTGGGATAAACTGAGTTAGCAGTCAGCTAAGTTAACAAGTCACGAACTCACCGGTTTCAGCCAACAGTCCGACAAAGTAACACAGAGAGCTGAACGTGACAAGTGCAGCCTTCATCATCACCGAGCTGAGTCAAACAAGCTGGGTGGTGTGATCGCAGTCAGTCCTGATGTTTTAAAATTATGCTTTAAGGTGATCGTTGTGAAAGTACGACGGCATGAAAGAGCAAAACTTAAAAACACCCGCTCCAGCAGCAGGAAGAGGAGGAGTCATTCATTACATAACTCGCTACTGTAACACAAGAGACTTCCCTCCTGACAGAGTTTCACTTCTGCTGGCAAAGTCTTAGATGTGTAAAAGCTTTTTTTTAATTCACAGGACTCTCTCTCGCTCTCTCGACCCAAATACCTTACTTGCAGCTTACTGGGCTGAGTTATTTGCCGATTTACTGCTCCCAAAATAAGGTCCATTAACTTAACAACTGACAAACACTCGCTGTAAAACGCACTCTGTACATTTGAGATATCTGTCTGACATGTCCCCAGCACTTTTTGAAAGCATAATTTGTTAAAAAGAAACAATCTGAAATACAGCTTGCAGTTAAATAAAATGAACATATAGTTCCACATGCACATATTAATATTTCCTATATAAAATAATCAGATGAAGCCTCCTTTGGAACAACCTGATATAAAACTGCTCCACATTTAATCTAATAAAATAATAAACAGACACTCAGAAATGAAGTTAGATATTTACCTGGTCTGAAACTCGGGGAGCTCTGCACATGCTGAAGGTTGACAGTTTCTTGCAGAGGATGTCTCTCGCGCTCCTCCCCCTTCATCTAAACCCCGCGCTGCTCGGGGCTCCGGAGGATCTCATTGGCTGAGAGGGGCCGCGGGAGTTTCAATCATCTGCTTTTTGGCGCGCTAACATTTCCTGCGACATGTTTTGTTTACATACCACAAACGTATATAAAAAGGTTTACACCCACAACTCTCTCCCCATGTTCTCTCCACATTCCCTGATGCCACTAGAGGCGTTTCAACTAGTCAGCAACAATCTAATTTTCACTGTAAAAGCAAAAAAAAAAAGGAAACTAAAACACAAATTATGGTAAATATAAGCAACAAATAAATAAATAAATTTAGTTGTATAAAGAAAAAAGCTGGTGGACCTTTCTACTTACTACTTCTACTACCTCTCCCCAGCATGACAGTTTATATTTAGAAAATTGGGGCTGAATTTCCGCTGTGACAGTGTTAGAAGTTTTCAACAGACAATATTTAAACCCAAGACAAACTGCTCATCAATAATCACTCCGGACTTCTTGTGCATTATTTTACACACGCATCTTTGTATAATTTATGTATTGCATCTACCAAGACATTTTAGAAAACTTAATGCTTCCATCTGCTCTCAAGCTTTTTAGAGATGTTGATTTCCTTTTCCAGCAGGACTTGCAACCTGCCTACAGAGCCACAACCACTAGGAACTGGTTTGCTGACCATGGGATTACAGTGCTTGACTGGCCAGCCAACTCACCTGACCTGAACTTTGAATTAAATTACGGAAATAAATGAACTTTTCCACGATATTCAAATTCTCTGAGAAGTTAAATGTTGACATTAAACAGGGTCTGTGAGGAACCATGCAGAAAAGTGACAACTTCTAAAATTTGTAGTGGGACAAGATAAATTATTTGGTGCGTATACACCACTGACACTTCTTACAGATGCCAAGTATTTAGATGGGATTATTTCTACTACAAAAGAACCACCACCCAAGACTTGAGGTTTTCTCACAAACCTGTCAAGTGGATTTAATCTGCTGTCCCAGAGAGATATGAAGACCAAGGAGGGACAAAATTAAGTTTTGGATTAAACCAGATTTAACATATGCTATATTTCATATTTAATTTAAAACTTCATAAAACGTGATTTATAGTGCGGACACAGGACAAAAGAAAATACAAACATTTAAAGAAATGGATTTGTTTTCCGGTGCGTCTGGTATGTTTGTGTTTTTTTTTTTGTAGTTGTTGTTGCGCCCATCACTATCACCTTCACAGCTGTAGTCACAGGCACAGTCTCATTTTGCTTTAAAAGCCAATAGCTGATGAAATAAAAGACCTCATGCAACAGTTTGGGTCACCTATAGGGAGTGAAAACAGCTGCTCTGAGGGAAGCAAATTAAACTCGCTATAAAAAGCTGCTGGGAATCCAATAATTTCTTTTAATGTTTCAAACACTTTTCTAAAACACAGTCACAAGTATACAACCAACAATATGTACACACACTGTACATTATGCATGATACATAAAACTTACATTAAGGCAAACAGTGTTTCATAAAAGGCTAACCTGTAGAGTTTCATTGTCAGTGTAATGAAGGTAAAGAGGAGTTACAGTCTAAACAAGAATGGATCAGGATAAGTTTCACGTGTTTGGCTCAAAATGTAGGTTTGATTTGAAGTTTTATTACACTTCTTGGCTCTTCCTGAGATGACAAAGAGACATGTAAATATATGTATATAGCAAAAAGGCCTTTTCCCACAGTCCCCATAGTTTCACCCATTTGTGTTCAAATTTCGAGTTTCTATTGTAAAAATATGATCCTTTGATCAATACTCAAATGGTAGTCTTGTGGCTCTTACCTTGAAGTGTTACAACATTGTGACCAAAACGTATTTCACAAAATTAAATACAGTCAGTAATTGATAGGTGCCTGACTGATAGTGTAAAAATGATCTTAATCTACTATTTAAAATGTATTTCTCGCAAACCCAACTTAGTAGTAAAGCACACGCACGTTCTCTGCTGCTTGCAACGACCACTATTCTGCTTGTTATGCGATGGTATCGGGTCGCGATGTGGCTGCATCGCGCTCCCAGGCCTCTCTCTCTCAGACTACAGCAGCAACACAGCAGCTAACAAAATGCAGTCCACTTACACCGCAAAACAACCGGCTCCCAGCAAAACAGACTCCAACACAAACTCCACTTAAAGGATAATAAACACTGGGTCAACATCGGAAAGACTGATGTTAAGCTCACCGACTAACGGCGACCAGTTGCTAACATTATTTGCTTCCTAATGTTTAATTTAGATTTATTTTTATTATGCTGTTACTCAGGTACACAGCTTCTCCACCTCTCAGTCGCTGTAACTTATGTGACCCAAATAATATACAATACTACAACATAACAGCACAGGAGCCATCCACTACAGTAAAGTTACTAACTGCAGTCTGACTGTTATAAAGTGTGACAAGAATCTCATAATATTCAGACTAGCTCACAAACTAATTCTTTGATTTTGCTGATATATCGTGTCATATTGAATCGTTGTAACGTTATAGTCCTAGTGAGCATGAGTTAGTTAAACCTCAAGCTAATAAAATATCACTTTAACGTTGCAATGGGAGTTTCCAGCATATTGTGTAAAGCAGCATCAGGTGAGTCTGTTTTCACACTGCTTAATTTTCCGTGAGGATTGTGCCAATATGCTTCCCTGTGTGAAAGGTAACGTTACAGAGCCGAAAAGGGGGTTCAATTTGATCTGGCTCTGAGCCGGTGCTGCAGTCAGCAGCAGAGAAACAGAGCTGTAATATGGGCCTAATCTTTGCAAACATTTGTGCCACATCAAAGTACATCCTGTATAGTGCTTGTTTTGCTCAAATTGTTATTATAGAGAGACATTTTACATCGAGAGTAAGGCCCCATCCTCACTACTCCGTTTCAGTTTAAAAACGAGTTCTAAAACGAATATGATCTCAGTCCACACCAGCGTTTTAGCTGCATTTTTAAAGTTGATATCCGTCTACTTAAACAACTGAAACACACATTTAGTGCCCGATCAGGTACACTGGGCATGCGAGTGCAGGTGTAAAGATGAAGCCGATGGTCTATTTTGTAGTTACAGAAGATTTGGTGAAAGAATAAAGTAATGCAGACGAAGAATCAGACCAGATCTTTTTTTTTTTTGCATGGATAACGAGCTGGGACTGTTACTGAATGTAACATGGGAGTTAAAACCAGCTTTGGCAGCAGAACTGGGAGTCATCGCAAAGTAAATGGCGACATGCAGAGTACAAGTGTAGGCAAATAAGCGTTATTTGGACGGTACAGAATATTTTAATAAAAATATTTGTGCTAGGCAAGGATTCATTTTTAAAATCGCGATTAATCGCATTGTTATGCGCAAAATTGAATAATGAATTCTAAAGTAGAGTGTTAAGCACTTTTAATTTAAATGTACTGCTATAGACACAAAAATGCAATAACGTGGTTTGCAAACACTTTTAAGAAATAAGGTGCTTTTTACCAGCAGTATTCCCTTTACACAGTAGCAATAAAATATTTCTTGTAAATCTCAACTTAATAATCAACAACAAATATTAAACCAAAGCTATTTGCCACAGCCAGGGCATTCATTTCTTTAACAAGCAGGCCTATATGGTAAAGTTACGTAGCCTCCAAGTAGTCTGCCGAAGCCTCCCTCCACTGCTGGTTTGGGTGACCCACGGTTTGACTCTGTGTATTCAGAGCCTGTGAGCAACGGACTTTCAAAATAATAAACAAATGCATTAATGTGCGATAAAATAATTGTCTGCGTTTTTTAATGAATGTGTTAACGCGATGCCCAGCCCTAAAAAATACCAAATCAAAAACTTATTCGTCAAAACCACAAGACTCAATTGATAAAAAAATAGTTATTGTACCTCTCTGGTCTACCGTGGCCTCGTTTGGTTAGTTTGTGTTATTGTGTGACTTTGGTGTTTAGTTTGTTTTAACTTCAACGCACAATGGCAATTTTACAGAATGTCTACAGTCAGGCTCCCTTTAATGATTTTGTATGGATCCCACCCCGCCAAAATAAAAAAAACTCTTTAGTTAGAAATCAGGCGTGCTCCATTTTTTCATCCAAATTCACAGCTATGAATTTTATACAGAAAGCCTGGTTTGACTTTTAGGCCTAAATGTTACATATGTTGAGTTAAATGTTTAAAAAAATTCTGAATGAAAGTCTGCTGTCAAGCCAAAAGTATCTGTATGACAAAGTGATGCAAATACAAAACAAGTTAAACGATTGGTTCTTTGCCTCCCTCATGTGCCTGAATTTATGGATAAGACTGTTAGACACGATTAATATTAACAGATACAAGGTCCCTGATTCCATAATGCCAAGATGTTTGGTGGACTGCAAAACATTATTTAAAATAAATTATTTAAAAAAATAAATTCTTAAAAAAGTACATTCTTTAAACAAAAAAAATCTAACAAAAAATACTTGTGATTTAAAAAACGGTTCAGTCATCTGTGCTAATTTTAGACAGCCAATCACAGACAAACAAAGACAGTTGTCTCCTCTTTTGTTGATGATGTTCTCAGGTGTTCCAGCTCACAGCTTCATCTGAGCCTCTTCTTTAATTTATCTATAAGAACATGATAACAAGTTTATAACACTATTAAAGTTGGTGTGTACTTCTTTGTATGCATTCAGACCAAACGCAAAGTGATTGTGGGAAGATGCCATATATATAAATTATTTTTTAAAACAGACAAAATTAAACATTGCTTGGAGATCCTAACTCCATTCACAAAAACATTTAAAAAGTTGTTGTCCTGGGCCGTATTACAGAAAGTTTGGAAGTACAGAAGCAAATCCTAAATACTTTCAAGAATCTTATTTTTTACTTCATCCTATCGTCCCTCAGGTTAGGTCATGTATCAACTTTTTTGTCTTTTACTTCTACACTAAGTGATGAGAAAGGAAGCTCTTGCGTCTAAACAGCAGAAGAAAACCGGCTGTCTTGCTGGCAGACCTGAGAAAATATATGTTAATTTATATGAATGTGCGTTCATCATCAATCAAGTTGTAGTTATTTTGGCATCATTTTGATCCCTTTATTGCAATTAAATAACAGCAAAATGTTTAGTTAGGTTTCATACAGCTGTTGTAATCGCAGGTTGTGTTAATTCGTATTATCACATTTTATGTGAACACTCGACAGTAGTCCAGCGATAAAACACACGCAAGGATTAAATTTGCGTTTGTTCTGAATGCACAGTTGATGGTTTGAGTAGAAACATACACATTAAAATATTTTAGAAACAGTCAAATCTCGAATCTTTGATTTCAGCTCTTATAATTTCACAAACAACAACAAACCTGCTCACAACAGTGATCACACAGCAGGATTTAAATGTTAATGAAAATCTGTGGAGAGGAGTTTGTTTAGTAACTTACATTTCACCAGAAGCACAATCAGAACTCCAAGAAGAACAACAAGAGAGGAAATGATGCCAGCATGAATAATGTGCCTTTTTCCACCATCTGGAAAAAGATGATATCAGAGAAGGTAATGAGTCGAGAACCATCACAGGTTCAATATGAGATAGTATTTAACTATTTATTTCACTAATTCATGTTGATTGTACTGCTCATGAACTATTTTCCATGAGCAAAGTTGCTGTTCAATCCTACTACTAGATACTACACACTGTTAGTGTGTGTTGTTGAGTGGCTGATGAGTTGAGACATTTGAAAGAAGATCAGAGGAGATTAAAAACCAGCACAGGCTCAGTTTATTCTTTATTTCACCAATTCATGTTTAGTGTTCTGCTCATGTAGTATTTTCTCATTCACCCCCTAGTAGTGTCCAACCACACAGATGGTTTTATTTGTCCTGGTTTTGAGATATTTGTCTGTAAGACTTCTGCCTCCCCCTGAATACAGCAGAGAACAAGTATTTTAAGTAGTAGATAACCCGAAGACATCAGTGATGTCAAAAAGCCAAGTTGCTGTACTACTACGACTACTACAGGAAAGTACCAGAAGTACAACATAAGAGTGATTTCCCATCACTGGGTGCATTTTCTAGTTCAGTTTGTTTGATTCAGTCGACTCGAGGATTGTTTGTGGTCTGAAAACATCTAAGCAACTACAATATTATTTTTATTGCCGTTTCTGCTTTATTTGATAAAAAAGGGGCTGCTGCGCTAACCTTTTGAGACGATCAACACTGTTTTTGTGCCTTAAACTTGATGAAGACAAATGTTACAGGGGGAAAAGGGTCATTATCCTAAGAAGAAACCCTCCTGATTATCTCAAGGGATCAGAATTAGCCGTTATTATGGCTATGAATTTTATGAGAAGAAGTCTGTCTCAAAGACGAAGATATAACAACTGAAAAACAACTTCATTTCAGTTCAAAGCAATTTACCAGGTTTGTCCAGCTCATCTGGTGGAGGTCTAGTTGTGTTCTTTTTGCTCTGGTGGACTTTGGTCAGTGTTAAAGAAGAAAAAAAGGAGACAAAAATGTTTGTCAGCACTCAGAAACAGATTAAAATATCTTCTAGCAGTCAGACAGAGGGACCTGCTGTGTGCTTTAAGTAGCTCATGAAGGATAAGATGCTAAAATTAACAGGTTACAGCTGTTTTTTAATTTGACACATTTATTCAGCACTGAATATCTTCTGCTTCTGTATATTTATACTGAGCATCTCTTTGCACAAGAAAATCTCAATTCTGACAAACCTTTTTAGTATCTGAAACTGTATGAACTCAGCATGCTCACCAACAGTGACATTAACAACACAGCTGGTCAACAGTCTTGAGATAAAACACTTGTACGGTCCGCTGTCAGCCAGCTGTACTGAGGAGATCTGCAGAGTCAGGATGCCTCTGCTCAGGTCTTCAAGGTGGAGAGTCGACCTGCCTTTGTATTGATCCATCCAGTCATTTGGATTTTCCTGCTTGCCTCGATAAGAGTACACCCCTTTGTTGAGGTCATCTCTTGTCCAATCAAGAGCGTAATCCACCACGTTGTGCGGGGGATTCAAATAACATTGTAGAGTGACTGTATCACCTTCCACTGCCTCAATTGTGGGATTCGGGCAAATGGCTCGAGGCTTTCCTGTGAAACAAACAAACATCACATTTACACAAATTCATCACAAGTCATCTTTTCAAACATTTAGACACACAGTTGATGTTTTTTTAGTCCAAGAGTGCAACAATTCCTAAACTGCAAAAGTGCTGCTCCATCTCGTTCACTCAGCCCTTTCATCACATCTCAGGAGACGACAGACCTGAGCGCTGAATAATTTGATCAGCTGGCAGGGTTTGATATACCTGGCAGAGATGTTGTGCCACATGATGATATTTCTCGTCAGGTTAGGAAAAAAACAAAACGGATACCGCTGACTCTCAAGTCAACTCCGGCCAGCTGATGCCACACCAGCAAACGCTGTGATGGTAATAAAGTGACCCCCCCCTCCTCGCGCTGTGAGTTTTGCACTATAAACATTTTTATAAACTGAGGCACAAACTGTGTGGGACTGTGAGCTTTATCAGAGGATCTGTGGTGAGATTTCTGCCTGATCCTCGTCAAAAAAAACTTGTAGTTGCACTTCATAACAATAATGCAGCAATCTGTTACAACAGTGTTAATCCACATAAATCTGAACCACCTCAGAGCAAGTTCTCTGTAAGTACAAAGTAGGCCTTCTTAACAACATACACAGTAACATAAAGGATTTAAATCTACGGTCATGTTCCTGTAACTGTATGTAAAAGTAAAAACATAAATTCTTGAATACTCTTTTACAGTTTCCAATGTATAGAATGTACCTAGAAGTCATTACCCCATCTTCTAATAAACATCTGGCTGTGCTGCACAGTATTGATCACACCGTAGCCCGTATTTCTCACATTAGCTACCAGGTCAGATGCACAGAGGTAAGTTAGTACAGGTGTCCTGCCAAAAACTGTTGCCGTCTGCTGGAGCTGTATTGCCCAGTCTCTTCAATCACTTTCTGGCAAGTGAAATAGCCTACTGCATTTTTTGGGCTGAGGTAAAAAGTACTAGGTGAGCTACAATCTGTCAAATATAACTCTTCTGAATAAAATCAACTAATTTCAGGGCAGAAATAATCTTTCAGTCAATAACAAAAGGCTTCAACTGCATTTTAAGAGTTGTATTGACCATTTAAAAAGGTATTATAAGAGTGGATTGGGTCATAAGGATAATTGCAAAATTGTCTTCATTTTATATCTAAGTTGGCAGTATGTCACGTTAATTAGGCTACAGCCCGTTTTCCAAATATAAACAAAGATATCACACATAGGCCTACCAAACATCACTTTTCAGCACCACACCGCCATTTAACGCGCTTGCGTCATTCCGCAAACAACAATAAAAACAGATTAAAAAGATCACGTTTTGTCCAGAAATCTCTTACTGACCATATGTCAATGAAAGAAATACCGTCAGTCTCGGGTTAAGTCATTAAATGACCTACAAGTGTCCAAGAACAGTTTTAGTCAGCTAGCGAGTTTATAGCAATGCTAACCTGCTAAAGAGTTTAACAATCCCATAAACTAGTCCGCGTGAGCAAACAAACCAGTGTTACAAACCTAAAAAAGCTCCAGTGTTTACAACCTTAAGCTATAATGTTAAGTTATCTTTAAGCGTGTGGGATAAACTGAGTTAGCAGTCAGCTAAGTTAACAAGTCACCTACTCACCGGTTTCAGCCAACAGTCCGACAAAGTAACACAGAGAGCTGAACGTGACAAGTGCAGCCTTCATCATCACCGAGCTGAGTCAAACAAGCTGGGTGGTGTGATCGCAGTCAGTCCTGATGTTTTAAAATTATGCTTTAAGGTGATCGTTGTGAAAGTACGACGGCATGAAGAGCAAAACTTAAAAACACCCGCTCCAGCAGCAGGAAGAGGAGGAGTCATTCATTACATAACTCGCTACTGTAACACAAGAGACTTCCCTCCTGACGAGTTTCACTTCTGCTGGCAAAGTCTTAGATGTGTAAAAGCTTTTTTTTAATTCACAGGACTCTCTCTCGCTCTCTCGACCCAAATACCTTACTTGCAGCTTACTGGGCTGAGTTATTTGCCGATTTACTGCTCCCAAAATAAGGTCCATTAACTTAACAACTGACAAACACTTGCTGTAAAACGCACTCTGTACATTTGAGATATCTGTCTGACATGACCCCACCACTTTTTGAAAGCATAATTTGTTAAAAAGAAACAATCTGAAATACAGCTTGCAGTTAAATAAAAAATGAAAATGCCTTTTGAAAGTTCCCTGTGAACAGAGCAGGGGAGACTGAATCCTGCCTACGTTTCCCTCAGCAGGGATGATATTACAGGAGAAAAGTTGATCTGCAGGAGAAGCAGATCTGAAAGCAGCACAGAATGCCTCAGAGCTGCACTCACTTATATTCTGTTATATTATATATTTTAGACAAATGCTATGTGCTACCTGAATTTGGGGTTTCCTTTTACATAAAACATTTTCACCATAAATTGGTGCAGAAACTTTCACCAGAATGCAGGAAATCAAATGATCAAAATTCGCCCCAGCTCATATTTATTGTGATGTCTTGCAAATGAGTTTCTTCACACCCCTATTCTGAGCCCCTATATCCCCACCACTTTTCAACACAAAGTGACTCTGTAAATGCAATTTTTAGACAAACGTTGTTGCACGTGTTTCAATCCACGTGAAACAAAAGTAAAACTTTGTCTTAAAAATAAAGATAAAGGTATAAATGTATTTTTACCTGAAAGACACGCAACATGTTGGCAGCTTACAGCGCAGACTACTGTTCCACTGTGTTACAGCACCGCATGGCACGTCGTTAGTCCCGCCCCTTTTGCTGTCGTCAGACAATATTCGCGCCATTAACGAACTCTTATTCATCTCATTGGCTGAGCGCAGCGGGAGAGCCGTGATGCGTGAGCTCCATGGCGGGATAGATTTTTAAAGTCACAGTGTCCCCACGTGATACTGACACTGGTGATCCTGAGAGCCTCTTTACCCCAAAATATGCAAACACTGATTTATTCTATTGAATTCAAATTTATTGGCATTAAAGTTTCAAGACCAAAGTATTAAAATACAATTTGTCAGTATTAGCAAACAATATTTGGACCGTACACAGTAATATATGAACATAATACAACATTAAGAAGAAGAAAGAGAGAGAGAGATTTTTCACTCTGTCTTTCAGCACACTGGATTTGAAATGAAAGAATAATCAGGAGTTTAATGTGCAGACTTTCTTTCTTAGATCTTAATTAAAGAAAATTAAATTATTTGGAGCCTAACAGTGACTTAGCAGACTTTCTCCCTTGGAAATTTATTATTTAACCATCAAATTCAAAGAATCTGCAAACAACAAGTAAATATGACCATTTTATTTAGTTTGATGATGATCTATAATGTTTTGTTCTTCTGAATGTGGCAGTCTGTCAAATGGCTATAATTTGTACACGGTTTACTTGATACATCTGGAGTACAGAACTAAAACTTGTCTCACGCTTGTGATCTCAACCTTAATGAAAATGTTTCAAATTGTGTATTTAATCTAATATACTCAATGTATTAACCTTTACACTGTTTCATATTTCTTTACCACTCCCAGGTCTCTGCCTGGTCTCTTCTGGGGCCTCCGACAGGGTCTGCTTCTGACTGCTGTCACCAAAAAAACTCAAGGAACTGTAACTTCTGACGTGGAGTTTGGATGCTTATATCGTTGTAGTGATAAGAATTTGACTCGTGTGTCTGTTTTGAGCAGTAATCATCCAGTAAAGTTCAGTGAGCACTCAGGTATAAAGACTAATAATGGAAACATATTCCTCTTTCTAGGCCTGCAAAAGACTTTGAAGAATTGCCTATTCATGGAAAAGCTTACCTGCCCTCCCTGGATATATAATACAGGTTTGTTGAATGCAAGTGGTCGCCTTGCACTATTTTGCACTTTTAGCCAAACTTCTTTCTTGGTTTAGACTGAGCAGCTTCTGGCATTTGTTGAAATTCTCCTGTTGTGCGTGTTTACGTGACTGTGTCTTTTCATAATATAACATTAGGATGTGGGTAACTATGACTTAGACACAAGAAAAATATAAATGCATACACAATGTAAATGTATTCGATGTTTGAGGGCAACAAACAAACACACAAACGTATTCATTCAAATTTATTTCACGAACAAAGAATCAACAATATTTGCACAGTACACAACATATATATATATGAACATAACACAACATTAAGGCTGAGAAAGAAAGAAAGAAATAAAGACAGATAAAACATCTTAGGCACGTGTTAGTGTGTGTTGCACTGCTTCATTGCACGATTGTCTTGCTGTCTATAAATAATGTTTTTCTTTATTTGTGCATCTGTACATGTTAGTTTGTGTCTGTTTTTTGTTGAGCTTGCTGTCCTGTTTATTTAAGCTTATTCTGTGTAGGTACATTGAGAGCAATTTAAGACCCGAGTCAAATTCCTGGTATGTGTCCACACACCTGGCCAATAAAAGTGATTCTGATGTTTAGGAAAGGATGAAGGCGGTACAGCAGCCGTACTGAAATGAATCCCCCGTTAACAGTAATGTTATGGAACATATGTAGGAACAGTCTTTCACTCAGTAACCATCTCTCCTGATACATTTCAACAGATGCACACTGTTAATGCCGTCGCTCCGTCACTCCCCAGAACAAAATGCTACTGTAAGTGTAGTCGTCGTAGTAATCGATACACATCATGTGTTAATATATATATACAGGGAATTGCTGCAAATATGGTCGCTGCTGTGAATGTATTTCCACGATTTTGGCGCAGTCCCTCTTCCCTCTAAACTTAATCATCATCAGTCCCCAGAAGTAAGGCTATTAGACATATAGAGAGAGAATATAAGCGTAGTCAGAGACGTTTGGTTTGAGATATTACGTTCCATAAACAACATTTAACTTGATGTTTGTTGAGCAAAACAAGTTATTGGTCTCAGTCTTCATCCCTCTCTATTGCTCCGGTCCTCAAGTTTTCCATTTTGAAGTTCGCTCTTCGGAGCGTCTTCTTGCAAATTTCTGAGAGAAAAATTTAAAAATCAAAGAAAGTTGCTAAGCAGGAAGGCAGAGCAGAGTAATTTAATGATGTTGCTCATATCACCACAACATTAATGATATTTTCTGATATAAACATTAATCACATTACGGAAAATTGATGTTAAAAGCATCGACCTCTACTCCACCTGTTGTGCATCACATGATACTAAACTCTTAAAATATCACACTAACTCAACTGAAGCCCTGAAGGTTGATTTGAACTCTTCCCCTCAAACCTTAAGTGTTTATCCTCCATCAGCTAAAAGAAATCTGATCAACAGTGATCACAGCTCACGGCTTCAAATGTTTCTATGTTGTGGTGGAAGAACTCACGTGATTTACTTGAGTAAAAGTACCATTACAACGATGTAAAAATACTTCAATACAAGTAAAAGAGCTGCGTTCAAAATCCTACTTAAGTAACAGTATTATCAGCAGAATGTACATAAGTATCAAAAGTAGCTCTGCAGTAAAATATCTCATTTATTATTGTGACTGAAATGATCAGATTATCAACACTGACGCAACAATGTTAGAGTTTTAAATAACATAGTGGCCCTAATATAAGATGATATTTTGTTCTGGAAAAGTTGTGGTTGTTTTATATTAGAGGACTAAACAGTTTCTCCGGCTCCTGAGTTTTGCATTAAGATTCTATCAAAACAGAAATCCTTGTCATTGGACCAACATATAAACAAATGCTGCCATCTACTGGTCGAGCCTGAAGTGTTTGACAGCAGTTTGAGCAACACATTACTAAGCTTGTCCATTTATGCTTTAATCACATCAGAAATCTATTTTAACTCTAGAGATGCTGATAAAGAACCTGCTTTTATCTTTTCTCGCCTTCAGAACTCAGCTGCTCGGCTTTTAAAACAGAACCAGGAGGTTCGATCACATCACACTTCTTTACGTTGGCTCCCTGTTTGATTTAGGATTGATTTTAAGATCTTATTTGAAGCTTGAGATCTTCAGTCAGGGGTCTCCTGTCTCTCCCTGAGTCCAGGCTGAAAACTAAAGGGGACAGAGCTTCTGCTGTCGGGGCCCCGAGGCTCTGAAGGGACCTGCCTGAGGAAGTCAGGCTGTCAGAGTCTCTTCTTACAACTCACTTTTATTGGACAGCATATCCTGATTTTATCTGAGTCGCCTGCTTCTTTTAAAGTTTTTATCTTGCACCTCGTGTATTTCATCATTCACTGAGGTGTTTTATTTCATGTCTCTGTAAAACACTTTGTACTTTGATTTGACAAGTGCTCCATAAATAATGTTTATTATTATTATAGTTGTTTGTAGCGTTAATGTTGCTAAACTAGTAAGAAGTCAGTTTATAGCGAGTCTTGTAGAGCTAGTCTGGGCTCCGTTAATCCAGTTTAACCTCAGTTTAATCTGGTATTCTGACGTCTTTACTGGCGAAATAAACCATCGAGAAAATCTGTCACACAGCCAAGAACGACTGCTGTCCCAAACAAAGACGAGCTCAAAAAGAGTCTGACAGGAGAGTGCGAGTAGACCACTGATAGACAAGCTACACAAATGTGGGATTTACTTTCTGCGTTAATGGAATTATTTCATGTTCCACTTTTAGACAAAAGGGTTCGAGGATGAAGACTCTCTTCTCTCCTTGCATTAAGATAAACTTTCCCAACAGGACGAGTGTGAAAGTGTGTTTTAGCTTCAAAAAGTAAAATGGCTGATGGAAAAGGGGGGTCATCATATATTCAGGAAAATACTTTAGTTTAGTCCAGTGGTTCCCAACCAGTCTTTTTTTGGATTGTTATTTTGGATTATTAAACCTTTTAAGTCTTCAAACAGTTATTTAAATGAAACCATGTTAAAGGTTTAGAGGGGAAAAGTCTCTTTGGGGGAAAAGCTAACAACTCATAGACCTCAACCTGACGAGGAGCCACATCAGTGCTTTAGCAGCCTTTATGTAAACAGGTCACAAGATACAAATGTTGTGATCCACTGGTTTAATAGTTAACAATGCATTTTGTTTTACAAGCTTTTCAAAGCTCTTAATCTGTAAAGTAACTAGCAGCTAAAGATGCTAAATAATTGTAGTGGAGTAAAAGTTATAAAAAGCATAAAATGGAAATACTCAAGTAAAGTACAAATACCTCAAAGTGTCCTTAAGTACAGCGCCTGAGTAAATGTAGTGATATTAAAATAGTGTAGAGCAGAAGTTTGTAACTTACTGATCTTTCCACGTTTCACCAGGATAAACAAAACGCTGCCGCCAGCAGCAGCAACAACAAGGATGGGAATGAGAGTTTTCCAGACTGCCTCCATCTCTGCAGCATCTGAGGGAAAATCAGACGGAGCTGAGGTGAGGAGGTGACGCAGTTTATAATCTGGTTGTTCATTCGTCTACAGTGAATTAGTCATGATTTAAAGAAAAACAAACGACACGCTGTCACACAACTCCTGCAGACAGATTATCTTGTAGAGAGAATGTAGAATAAAGTGTAACAGAGGAATCATTAAAGACATTTACTGTGATCGTCTGGAGGTCCAGTTGTGCTGGATTCATTTCTCTTTGTCTCGTTCTGTTGGTCTTTTCCCTTCGTTTCTGACGACAGATACAAAACCGTTGAGCTTCTTTTTCAGATGATGGATACAAACAAACTTTTTATTATCTGCAGTTTCATTATATATCTGATAATTCTGGCAAGATTGCAAGTTTCATCTGCTTCATCATTTCTCCTGTTTTACAGGTTTATTATCTGTCCACATGCCCTGTGCCTGGGGCCTGTAACATATACATTATTCATTAGTTATTATATTCCTAAATTGACCTGCAGAGAATTAAACCACTAACTTTTAACACCACCAACTACGACCACCATGCTTCTATCACAGAGCAAGTCCAACTTAAAGGGTAATTCTGGTGTTTGTAAACCTTGAGCCCACTTTTACACAAATTGGGTGTCGAAATTACAAGTAGGTACAAAAAGTTTTGGAACCTGTGCAGTAGATGGTTTCAGCCGACAGCAGTGGCTGCAACATATTCATTCAGGACAATCGTGCACGTAAAAAAATTCCGCTTCTTTTTGCCACCGACAGGCTCAGACTGTTACATCAACACTTTCCTTTCAGTGCTATGAGGTCGCCCCACCGAGTTTACACTGGACGTACAAAGAAAACATTTAACAAAAGGATTCATTTTAACAGGATCTGAACTGTTGTTGGGTTTAATACACTGGGTGCTATGTCTGATCATAAAAAGGATCCCTGTGAGTGACTTCCTTTTTTTTAACAAGAAACTGATGTCTCATTTAAGGACACTCACTCAAATCTCGTGAGTGGCGAGTTTTTGCAGGAAAATGAGTAAAGAGCGAGACTTCTGTTTCCTGTTAAAAACAAACTGTGTCAGCAGGAGTTCCTCGTAGGGATCCTTTCCATAATGTTGTCAGACACCTGGTGTAACAGTCTCAGCCTGTCTGTGGCTAACAGAAGCTCTTTTTGTGGACGGAATTTTGACGGGCTCAATTCGCCTGAACCGCACGTCTGCCGTCTGAAGTCATCTACTGTACAAATTCCAAACTTTTTGTACCTTCGGGTCATTTTCACACCAAAATATGTGAAAATAGGACCCAAGGTTTAAAACTACTGAAATGACCCTTTAGTTCTGGCTCTCTCTGGGTTACCTGGCTTCAACTGTGCTGTTGTTTATGGTGTCATTAAAATGTACATGGACACCTAATAATCACGTTAAAACACAAAACTATAAACTGAAGCTAAAAGCTCAAGAAAAGTTCAGCCAACGTCTCAATGAAAGATCTCGACGCTGCATCTCCTGCTGCTCTGTATATATTTATACTGATCATCTCTTTGCACAAGAAAATCTTTCAGGATGAATTAAATATCAGATCAGACTCAGTGGAGTATTAAATGACTCAAATCAGGGCCTTGATTATGATGTCTAATTCTGACAAACCTTTTTAGTATCTGAAACTGTATGAACTCAGCATGCTCACCAACAGTGACATTAACAACACAGCTGGTCAACAGTCTTGAGATAAAACACTTGTACGGTCCGCTGTCAGCCAGCTGTACTGAGGAGATCTGCAGAGTCAGGATGCCTCTGCTCAGGTCTTCAAGGTGGAGAGTCGACCTGCCTTTGTATTGATCCATCCAGTCATTTGGATTTTCCTGCTTGCCTCGATAAGAGTACACCCCTTTGTTGAGGTCATCTCTTGTCCAATCAAGAGCGTAATCCACCACGTTGTGCGGGGGATTCAGATGACATTGTAGAGTGACTGTATCACCTTCCACTGCCTGGATAGTTGGATTTGGGCAAATGGCTTGAGGCTTTCCTGTGAAACAAACAAACATTTTTAGAGCTTGATCACCTCTGATCAGTAGTGCAACAAGTGCTAAAACAAAATGAACCATCTGAACCAGGAGTGAAGTACTTAATACGATATAAGAAGACCCGATGATCCAGGAAATATTGTTATTTGGCTGCAACTAACGATTACTTTATGTCCTCAAATGGCTTTTTTGACAGGTGCCCAAAAAAAATGTTCACTTTACTTAAACAGAAAACAGAGAAAACCAGAAAGTTCAAATGTTGAGGCTGCAAATGTAATAATTTAAATTAACTACTTGACTAGAGAGAATTCTTTTTCACTCCTTGACTTGTGATGAACTGATGTGAATGTTTGATGCACTTAAAAGTTAAAAGCAGACTAAACTGAGACCATATCTGCCGCCAGAGCAGAGTGTAGATGAGGAGAAAACAAGTCCATGGTGCGGCCTATATGACCAAAGCAATGCATTTATACTTTAGAGGGAGCGGATTGATTTTGTGAGGGGATGTAGTTTTCTGTCCAGTAATCTTTACAAAGCTGTCTCAGGTTCTCCTGAGCTTATCCTCAACCTTTAGTATAAAAGAAGTGACACACAACAGGGTGGACACAATAACATGAACAGCTGTAATTACATACAACATGTGTTATTTCTGTTTTAACACTGGGGTTATTATGGATTTATTACAATGTATATGGACACTTAATAATGATGTTAGTACAGGACAGTAAGGCAAAATAACAGAAAACATTAGAAACTAAATCTCAACTACGTTGAACAAAAAATATTGATTAATTTCCATTTTTTAGAAGCAATGTTTGGGTCAAAATAACAACAAACAACAGCTAACAACAAGTTCAAAGTTTTACAAAGTAATTTAAAGTGTAAACAGAGCTAAACAAAGCCAGATTAGTCTCATGTCATCATATAATAAGTACTAATGTAGATGAAGCAGTGTCCAAACAGTAATGGCGTATTAACGTTGACCAGTTTTCCTTTTTTTGACCGGAGTCGATGTTTAAACTTACCGGAAGCAAACGTTGAAACTATCAGCGCCAGTAAACAATAAGTTTCCAGAGTCACGTCCATTATTAAACTAACGTGGAGAGTAAAAGCAGATAAAGTTCCTGCGGTCCTTAAACACGGACTGAAAGACCAATACTTACATTTCGGGAATGTGTCGATGTTATTTCACATCTGTAAGCCAATCAGAACAGAGGAACAGAGGGCGCTAAAAATATATTTAAAATTAGAAGAAGCTTAAAATTTCCCGCGACAGACTCTTTTCGTCAGGAACGTGCACATTTATTATCATGATGACGCATTTGTAAGCCAATCAGAATGGAGGAAAAGTCCGGGGGCTGGACCGGCTGTTAAAGGTCTGTTTGTCGCTGAAACTGGATCATAAAAGAAATTCATGCTCAATTTAATTACTATTCTTCACACAAATATTATCATATTATACTAATTATTTTATTATGGACGGCATTATATTATTCGATAGTGAATTCACTAAGCCAAAATGTACCGATATTGTAAATGCAACTCTCATTATTGCACTAATTTAACATGTTTTGTTCTACTTTTTCTACTACAAAGCCAGAGATACTAATATATTTTACTACATATAAAGTCAGCGTTAAGGTATGTGCTATGTGGATACTCTAGTTTATTACATCTAGATTGTAAGTTATCAATATCAACTCACTTGTGATGGCTTACAGTCAACATTAAATATTCAGAAGTCGTCTGTCAGTATTTTGTTGTTCCTCCAATTGAGCAGCTGCTTGCTGTAAAGTAGACTATCAATACAAGTTTTTTTTTCATCATTGAAACTGAAATGCAACGAAATGATAAAGTGAGCTGGGTTGTAAAAATATTGCTAGTATTCAAGTATTTTATCAGTACTGCACATAACAGCCCATCACATAATAATGAACATATAGTTCCACATGCACATATTAATATTTCCTATATAAAATAATCAGATGAAGCCTCCTTTGGAACAACCTGATATAAAACTGCTCCACATTTAATCTAATAAAATAATAAACTGACACTCAGAAATGAAGTTCGATATTTACCTGGTCTGAAACTCGGGGAGCTCTGCACATGCTGAAGGTTGACAGTTTCTTGCAGAGGATGTCTCTCGCGCTCCTCCCCCTTCATCTAAACCCCGCGCTGCTCGGGGCTCCGGAGGATCTCATTGGCTGAGAGGGGCCGCGGGAGTTTCAATCATCTGCTTTTTGGCGCGCTAACATTTCCTGCGACATGTTTTGTTTACATACCACAAACGTATATAAAAAGGTTTACACCCACAACTCTCTCCCCATGTTCTCTCCACATTCCCTGATGCCACTAGAGGCGTTTCAACTAGTCAGAAACAATCTGATTTTCACTGTAAAAGCAAAAAAAAAAAGGAAACTAAAACACAAATTATGGTAAATATAAATATAAAAGAAGAAAGAAAAAAGCTGGTGGACTTTTCTACTTACTACTTCTACTACCTCTCCCCAGCATGACAGTTTATATTTAGAAAATTGGGACTGAATTTCCGCTGTGACAGTGTTAGAAGTTTTCAACAGACAATATTTAAACCCAAGACAAACTGCTCATCAATAATCACTCCGGACTTCTTGTGCATTAATGCTTCCATCTGCTCTCAAGCTTTTTAGAGATGTTGATTTCCTTTTCCAGCAGGACTTGCAACCTGCCTACAGAGCCACAACCACTAGGAACTGGTTTGCTGACCATGGGATTACAGTGCTTGACTGGCCAGCCAACTCACCTGACCTGAACTTTGAATTAAATTACGGAAATAAATGAACTTTTCCACGATATTCAAATTCTCTGAGAAGTTAAATGTTGACATTAAACAGGGTCTGTGAGGAACCATGCAGAAAAGTGACAACTTCTAAAATTTGTAGTGGGACAAGATAAATTATTTGGTGCGTATACACCACTGACACTTCTTACAGATGCCAAGTATTTAGATGGGATTATTTCTACTACAAAAGAACCACCACCCAAGACTTGAGGTTTTCTCACAAACCTGTCAAGTGGATTTAATCTGCTGTCCCAGAGAGATATGAAGACCAAGGAGGGACAAAATTAAGTTTTGGATTAAACCAGATTTAACATATGCTATATTTCATATTTAATTTAAAACTTCATAAAACGTGATTTATAGTGCGGACACAGGACAAAAGAAAATACAAACATTTAAAGAAATGGATTTGTTTTCCGGTGCGTCTGGTATGTTTGTGTTTTTTTTTTTTGTAGTTGTTGTTGCGCCCATCACTATCACCTTCACAGCTGTAGTCACAGGCACAGTCTCATTTTGCTTTAAAAGCCAATAGCTGATGAAATAAAAGACCTCATGCAACAGTTTGGGTCACCTGTAGGGAGTGAAAACAGCTGCTTTGAGGGAAGCAAATTAAACTCGCTATAAAAAGCTGCTGGGAATCCAATAATTATTTTTTAATGTTTCAAACACTTTTCCAAAACACACAGTTACAAGTATACAACCAACAATATGTACACACACACACTGTACATGATGCATGATACATAAAACTTACATTAAGGCAAACAGTGTTTCATAAAAGGCTAACCTGTAGAGTTTCATTGTCAGTGTAATGAAGGTAAAGAGGAGTTACAGTCTAAACAAGAATGGATCAGGATAAGTTTCACGTGTTTGGCTCAAAATGTAGGTTTGATTTGAAGTTTTATTACACTTCTTGGCTCTTCCTGAGATGACAAAGAGACATGTAAATATATGTATATAGCAAAAAGGCCTTTTCCCACAGTCCCCATAGTTTCACCCATTTGTGTTCAAATTTCGAGTTTCTATTGTAAAAATATGATCCTTTGATCAATACTCAAATGGTAGTCTTGTGGCTCTTAGCTTGAAGTGTTACAACATTGTGACCAAAACTTATTTCACAAAATTATATACAGTCAGTAATTGATAGGTGCCTGACTGATAGTGTAAAAATGATCTTAATCTACTATTTAAAATGTATTTCTCGCAAACCCAACTTAGTAGTAAAGCACACGCACGTTCTCTGCTGCTTGCAACGACCACTATTCTGCTTGTTATGCGATGGTATCGGGTCGCGATGTGGCTGCATCGCGCTCCCAGGCCTCTCTCTCTCAGACTACAGCAGCAACACAGCAGCTAACAAAATGCAGTCCACTTACACCGCAAAACAACCGGCTCCCAGCAAAACAGACTCCAACACAAACTCCACTTAAAGGATAATAAACACTGGGTCAACATCGGAAAGACTGATGTTAAGCTCACCGACTAACGGCGACCAGTTGCTAACATTATTTGCTTCCTAATGTTTAATTTAGATTTATTTTTATTATGCTGATACTCAGGTACACAACTTCTCCACCTCTCAGTCGCTGTAACTTATGTGACCCAAATAATATACAACAATACTACAACATAACTGCACAGGAGCCATCCACTACAGTAAAGTTACTAACTGCAGTCTGACTGTTATAAAGTGTGACAAGAATCTCATAATATTCAGACTAGCTCCCGAACTAATTCTTTGATTTTGCTGATATATCGTGTCATATTGAATCGTTGTAACGTTATAGTCCTAGTGAGCATGAGTTAGTTAAACCTCAAGCTAATAAAAATATCACTTTAACGTTGCAATGGGAGTTTCCAGCATATTGTGTAAAGCAGCATCAGGTGAGTCTGTTTTCACACTGCTTAATTTTCCGTGAGGATTGTGCCAATATGCTTCCCTGTGTGAAAGGTAACGTTACAGAGCCGAAAAGGGGGTTCAATTTGATCTGGCTCTGAGCCGTGCTGTTTAAAAACAGAGTTCTAAAACGAATATGATCTCAGTCCACACCAGCGTTTTAGCTGCATTTTTAAAGTTGATATCCGTCTACTTAAACAACTGAAACACACATTTAGTGCCCGATCAGGTACACTGGGCATGCGAGTGCAGGTGTAAAGATGAAGCCGATGGTCTATTTTGTAGTTACAGAAGATTTGGTGAAAGAATAAAAAGTAATGCATACGAAGAATCAGACCAGATCTTTTTTTTTTGCATGGATAACGAGCTGGGACTGTTACTGAATGTAACATGGGAGTTAAAACCAGCTTTGGCAGCAGAACTGGGAGTCATCGCAAAGTAAATGGCGACATGCAGAGTACAAGTGTAGGCAAATAAGCGTTATTTGGACGGTACAGAATATTTTAATAAAAATATTTGTGCTAGGCAAGGATTCATTTTTAAAATCGCGATTAATCGCATTGTTATGCGCAAAATTGAATAATGAATTCTAAAGTAGAGTGTTAAGCACTTTTAATTTAAATGTACTGCTATAGACCCAAAAATGCAATAACATGGTTTGCAAACACTTTTAAGAAATAAGGTTCTTTTTACCAGCAGTATTCCCTTTACACAGTAGCAATAAAATATTTCTTGTAAATCTCAACTTAATAATCAACAACAAATATTAAACCAAAGCTATTTGCCACAGCCAGGGCATTCATTTCTTTAACAAGCAGGCCTATATGGTAAAGTTACGTAGCCTCCAAGTAGTCTGCCGAAGCCTCCCTCCACTGCTGGTTTGGGTGACCCACGGTTTGACTCTGTGTATTCAGAGCCTGTGAGCAACGGACTTTCAAAATAATAAACAAATGCATTAATGTGCGATAAAATAATTGTCTGCGTTTTTTAATGAATGTGTTAACGCGATGCCCAGCCCTAAAAAATACCACATCAAAAACTTATTCGGCAAAACCACAAGACTCAATTGATAAAAAAAATAGTTATTGTACCTCTCTGGTCTACCGTGGCCTCGTTTGGTTAGTTTATGTTATTGTGTGACTTTGGTGTTTAGTTTGTTTTAACTTCAACGCACAATGGCAATTTTACAGAATGTCTACAGTCAGGCTCCCTTTAATGATTTTGTATGGATCCCACCCCGCCAAAATAAAAAAAACTCTTTAGTTAGAAATCAGGCGTGCTCCATTTTTTCATCCAAATTCACAGCTATGAATTTTATACAGAAAGCCTGGTTTGACTTTTAGGCCTAAATGTTACATATGTTGAGTTAAATGTTTAAAAAAAATTCTGAATGAAAGTCTGCTGTCAAGCCAAAAGTATCTGTATGACAAAGTGATGCAAATACAAAACAAGTTAAACGATTGGTTCTTTGCCTCCCTCATGTGCCTGAATTTATGGATAAGACTGTTAGACACGATTAATATTAACAGATACAAGGTCCCTGATTCCATAATGCCAAGATGTTTGGTGGACTGCAAAACATTATTTAAAATAAATTATTTAAAAAAATAAATTCTTAAAAAAGTACATTCTTTAAACAAAAAAAATCTAATAAAAAATACTTGTGATTTAAAAAACGGTTCAGTCATCTGTGCTAATTTTAGACAGCCAATCACAGACAAACAAAGACAGTTGTCTCCTCTTTTGTTGATGATGTTCTCAGGTGTTCCAGCTCACAGCTTCATCTGAGCCTCTTCTTTAATTTATCTATAAGAACATGATAACAAGTTTATAACACTATTAAAGTTGGTGTGTACTTCTTTGTATGCATTCAGACCAAACGCAAAGTGATTGTGGGAAGATGCCATATATATAAAATTATTTTTTAAAACAGACAAAATTAAACATTGCTTGGAGATCCTAACTCCATTCACAAAAACATTTAAAAAGTTGTTGTCCTGGGCCGTATTACAGAAAGTTTGGAAGTACAGAAGCAAATCCTAAATACTTTCAAGAATCTTATCTTTTTTACTTCATCCTATCGTCCCTCAGGTTAGGTCATGTATCAACTTTTTTGTCTTTTACTTAGCAATCTACACTAAGTGACGAGAAAGGAAGCTCTTGCGTCTAAACAGCAGAAGAAAACCGGCTGTCTTGCTGGCAGACCTGAGAAAATATATGTTAATTTATATGAATGTGCGTTCATCATCAATCAAGTTGTAGTTATTTTGGCATCATTTTGATCCCTTTATTGCAATTAAATAACAGCAAAATGTTTAGTTAGGTTTCATACAGCTGTTGTAATCGCAGGTTGTGTTAATTCGTATTATCACATTTTATGTGAACACTCGACAGTAGTCCAGCGATAAAACACACGCAAGGATTAAATTTGCGTTTGTTCTGAATGCACAGTTGATGGTTTGAGTAGAAACATACACATTAAAATATTTTAGAAACAGTCAAATCTCGAATCTTTGATTTCAGCTCTTATAATTTCACAAACAACAACAAACCTGCTCACAACAGTGATCACACAGCAGGATTTAAATGTTAATGAAAATCTGTGGAGAGGAGTTTGTTTAGTAACTTACATTTCACCAGAAGCACAATCAGAACTCCAAGAAGAACAACAAGAGAGGAAATGATGCCAGCATGAATAATGTGCCTTTTTCCACCATCTGGAAAAAGATGATATCAGAGAAGATAATGAGTCGAGAACCATCACAGGTTCAATATGAGATAGTATTTAACTATTTATTTCACTAATTCATGTTGATTGTACTGCTCATGAACTATTTTCCATGAGCAAAGTTGCTGTTCAATCCTACTACTAGATACTACACACTGTTAGTGTGTGTTGTTGAGTGGCTGATGAGTTGAGACATTTGTCAGGCTCTGTGATCAATAATTTACTTCATCAGTTTGACACGTGTTTATAGTTTCAGTGTGAGATAGGGTGATGGAAAGTAGAGCTGCAGACTGATGCTTTTAAATAATACTTCAATCCTGTATTGACAGCCTCAAGAGTGAAGCAATTTTTAAATGGGACTGTCCTCACCAGAAAAGAGACTATATTGGTTTTTGTGTAGCACAAATTTACGACCCATATTTACATTTACTAACCACCTCTAGTGGCCGTACAACGCTAGCTAGAAGGATGGGTCGTTTACAAGCAGGAAGCTTCCGGTCAGCGATCTGCTGCGAACGCGGAAGTCCCTGAAACCTGCATTCTATTAAATGGCCAGCAGGGGGCGACTCTTCTGGTTGCAAAAAGAAGTCCGAGTCCAATTTTTCATTTCTCCATTAGAAACAATGGTAAGATGACCCTACTTCTCTGCTGAATAATTACCTCAGTAAACACTTTCCACATGAGTTTACGGTCTCAGACGCTAGTTTCAAGTCTTCTTTAATACAAAATGATGTTCATTTAGTAAATAATGGTCCCATTTATTTTAAAATAGACCATAAAGCAGAGTATGTTTCAGGGCGGGATTATCCGTGATTGACAAGTCGTTATTGCGGTGATCTGTCAATCAGGCCAGAGCAGACTTGTACCCTCGGCACTGTGTAAGTTTAACCAGCACTGTTGAAAAAGCTTATTAGGAGTTGGCTGTTCACTTTCTCTGGTGAGTACATTTAGATTTAAGAACACTGTCCGGCTGATCCAGTAGAGGTCTAGTTGTCTAGAATCAGATCAGACTCAACGATGTATTAAAAAGGACTCAAATCAGGGTCTGGGCCAAAAACTTGATAAGAATATCCCTTATTCTGACAAACCTTTTATAGCATCAGAATGAAACTGTATGAACTCTCCTTGCTCACTAACAATGACTTCAGTAACACAACTGATCCTCAGTTTTGAGACAAAACATCTGTACGGTCCGCTGTCAGCCAGCTGTACTGAGGAGATCTGCAGAGTCAGGTTTCCTCTGCTCAGGTCTTCAAGGTGGAGAGTCGTCCTGTCTCTGTATTGATCCATCTGGTCATTATGACTTTCCTGCTTGTGCCGGTACGAGTAGACCACCTTGTTGAGGTCAACTCTTGTCCAATCGACAGCATAATCCACCACGCTGTGTGGCGGATCCAGATAACATGGTAGCGTGACCGTATCACCTCCCACCGCCTGGATTGTTGGATTTGGGCAAATGACCTGAGGCTCTCCTGGAGAAACAAACATGTTTACAGTGACAGTTTAAAAGCCTCCGAAGAACAGCCTGGTTTCAGCAAAAGCCACAAATCCATTGGCGCTCTTAGTTTAAATCAAGTGTAGACGACGTACAGATTTATTGTTATAAATAGTACTTTTCAAAAATGATACAACAAAATATATTACATTTGATAAATAAGAATCAAATGTATAAAAAAAGTTATAAAGTCAAATTGTACGGAAACATTATCGCCATCATGTCAGATGTTGATTGGGATAAAACTGCAAGAAGGAAGTCTTAGGACTGTGGAAGTCCACAATGCTTTTCTTCTCTGGTTCTTATTTATTCAAAAGAAAAGCTGATGAATTGAAAAGAAAGGTTTACTGAATCAACTTACCAGAGACAGTGAGTCTGGATTTACGTAAGCTGCCACCATAACTTGTCTTCACTTCACACACGTACTCGCCCGAGTCTTCAGTTCTGAGTCTGGATACATGAAGTCTGATTCGTCCTTCTCTGAGGACATCTTTGTCACACTGGACTCGTCCTGCAAACTGTTCACCCTGAGACTCTGGGACCTCAACACCTTCATGTAGATGATACAGGACTGAGGACCCACGATCAGTAAACAGTTCACAGAAGATAGAAAGGGAGTTGAGGGAGTTGTCCGTTTTGGTTGTGAACGTCCATTCCAGTGTGGCGTTACCGTTCTCCTCTGCCTGATAGGAGGTCTGTGTCACATTCACTATAAATGTTCCTGTTGAGGAGACAGAGAGGGAAAGTGAGGAGCAGACATACAAAATACAACTGCATAAAAAGAAGAGACATAATACAAATAAATACAATTCAAGTAAGAATTGAAGATAGAGGGTCTACCAGATGTTGATAAGGACTGTTAACTTGCTGTAAAGAGATCTGCAGATGTTAGTTGTTACAGATTTAAAAATGGAAGTCTGACAGCTGAAAAAGTATTTATACTTTCTGGATAATAAGCTGAAGGTGTAAACTAACCACAGACACAGGAGGTCAGGCTGATGAGCAGCAGGATGCTGCAGATCATCTTCTCCCAGTGAGGAGACAGAGGTGAAGAATCATGTGATCAAAGTTCAGTCATTACAGGTGTGAGAGGGAAAACCCCTGTTGATAAAACAATATTAAAACCATTGATTAAACATTACACGTTTTATTTTTTTCATTGACATTTGTGAACCAGGTCCAGCTTCACTTCACGCTGACATACATGCCCCCACAGCCGGTGGAACACTTCCCCTCAGGGGTTAAGGACTTTGGCACAAGTACAACTCAAAACAACATGCCCACAGAGGAGGAGTTACTGGACACATAAATACTCAACAACAACGACTTCACTGAATATCACCGTATCAAATTCTTAAATGTGTAAAAGGTATTTTAAATTCACAAGGTTCTCCATCAACCCTAATAACCACCAACGATTATTTACTGATTAAAGGCCCACATCAGACAAAGCGTTTTGCAGGTTTGGAAGCACAAGGCGATTTTATATCTGACAATCCAGAATATTGGGGTCAGGAGAACAAGACGAGAAGATATTTTAATGCTATTTAAAGAAATATTCATTGATGAGAATATAAGGGGAATCTGGGGGGTTCTTCCCAAGATGATTTTGAGCATTAAACGCTTAATTTCCTGCATTCTGGAGACATTTCTCTGCACCAGCTTATGGTGGAAATGTCTTTATTTATATAAAGGGGAACACAAAATCCAGGTGGCAGGTGACAGTTCAGAATATAAAAATATAATTGAATATAATGCAGTAATCCCTTTTTTTAGCTTAAGTAATTTTTTGTACAATGCAGATCTGTTTTTTCTATATTTTTCATTGCATTGTTTTCTTATTGTGGCAAAAAAACTTTCATATAGCACTTCCATTTGTTTTTTAACATTTTATGCTGCAAGCTATTTTTCAGAACATTTTTAACAAATGCTTTCAAAAAGTGGTGGGGCCATCATCCCCAGTGGAAAGTTACGAGTTTAACAATCCCATAAACTTGTCGGCGTGAGCAAACAAACCAGTGTTACAAACCTAAAAAAGCTCCAGTGTTTACAACCTTAAGCTATAATGTTAAGTTATCTTTAAGCGTGTGGGATAAACTGAGTTAGCAGTCAGCTAAGTTAACAAGTCACGAACTCACCGGTTTCAGCCAACAGTCCGACAAAGTAACACAGAGAGCTGAGTTATTTGCCGATTTACTGCTCCCAAAATAAGGTCCATTAACTTAACAACTGACAAACACTCGCTGTAAAACGCACTCTGTACATTTGAGATATCTGTCTGACATGTCCCCGCCACTTTTTGAAAGCATAATTTGTTAAAAAGAAACAATCTGAAATACAGCTTGCAGTTAAATAAAAAATGAAAATGCCTTTTGAAAGTTCCCTGTGAACAGAGGAGGGGAGACTGAATCCTGCCTACGTTTCCCTCAGCAGGGATGATATTACAGGAGAAAAGTTGATCTGCAGGAGAAGCAGATCTGAAAGCAGCACAGAATGCCTCAGAGCTGCACTCACTTATATTCTGTTATATTTATATATTTTAGACAAATGCTATGTGCTACCTGAATTTGGGGTTTCCTTTTACATAAAACATTTTCACCATAAATTGGTGCAGAAACTTTCACCAGAATGCAGGAAATCAAATGATCAAAATTCGCCCCAGCTCATATATTTATTGTGATGTCTTGCAAATGAGTTTCTTCACACCCCTATTCTGAGCCCCTATATCCCCACCACTTTTCAACACAAAGTGACTCTGTAAATGCAATTTTTAGACAAACGTTGTTGCACGTGTTTCAATCCACGTGAAACAAAAGTAAAACTTTGTCTTAAAAATAAAGATAAAGGTATAAATGTATTTTTACCTGAAAGACACGCAACATGTTGGCAGCATGGCACGTCTTTAGTCCCGCCCCTTTTGCTGTCGTCAGACGAATTTCGCGCCATTAACGAACTCTGATTCATCTCATTGGCTGAGCGCAGCGGGAGAGCCGTGATGCGTGAGCTCCATGGCGGGATAGATTTTTAAAGTCACAGTGTCCCCACGTGATACTGACACTGGTGATCCTGAGAGCCTCTTTACCCCAAAATATGCAAACACTGATTTATTCTATTGAATTCAAATTTATTGGCATTAAAGTTTCAAGACCAAAGTATTAAAATACAATTTGTCAGTATTAGCAAACAATATTTGGACCGTACACAGTAATAATATGAACATAATACAACATTATGACTAAGGGATAGATAGATAGATACACTCCAGCACCATTTAGGTAGAAATATGGCTTGTAGACCTGTGAGAAAGACTAAGAAATGAGAGACAGATCTCAATGTACTCTGAAAGAAGCACATGTACACACAGAATTTACAGCTGATTGATTTTGTATTTATACAGACCGGTTTAATGTGCAGACTTTCAGCTTTGTATAAAAGTAGTTTTTTATTTGAGTACATTTTGATCTTGATCTTAAATAAAGAGAATTAAAACAAATTATTTGGAGCCTAACAGTGACTTTGCGGTATTTTCTCACTTGGAATTTATTTGGCCATCAAATTCAAAAAATCTACAACCAAGAAGTAAATATGACCTTTTATTTAGTTAGATAGGGACTCATGTAATAACGTTTGGTCCTCTGAATATGGCAGTCATAGCGCCAGTAGAACTACAGCACCAACTAGGGGTGATTTGGTACCGCAATTTCCAAAGACAACCTTTGGTCAATCCGCCTTCTCTGTTAAAGTAGTGGGGAAGTCAATACCCACAAACATTAGAAACTCAGAAGTTTTGCAGTATTTAGAGCTAGCCTCAAACTTTGGCTAAAATCATTGCAAGAGTGTCACCATTAATGATTGCATTGTATTTTCTGTATTCTGTATATGGTGTATATATATAACAGTTTTTATCAATTTTGAATTGATGGATACTATGTATTTTGTAATTGTATGTAGGCTAGTGTATTTGTTGTTTAGTGGTTGCTTTGTGTATCTTTTGTTTTGTCTACCTGCCCAGGGACAACAGATGCAAATTAGCTGTTAGCTAACTCTGGCGCAATTGTTTTAATTGTGCGCTGTCCCTGTCAAACAAACAGTAAATTAATGAAATGAAAAACTTTAACCATAGAAACAAGAAAAATATGAATGCATACACAATGTAAATGTATTCGATGTTATGGGGCAAAAAACACAAACAAAAAACATTCATTCAAATTTATTTAAATTTGTTGGCACGAAAGTTTCACAAATAAAGAATCAATAATATTTGCACAGTACACAACATATATATATGAACATAACAACATTAAGGCTGAGAAAGAAAGAAAGAAAGAAATAAATAAAGACTGATAAAACATCTTAGGCACGTGTTAGTGTGTGTTGCACTGCTTCATTGCACGATTGTCTTGCTGTCTATAAATAATGTTTTTCTTTATGTGTGCATCTGTACATGTTAGTTTGTGTCTGTTTTTTGTTGAGCTTGCTGTCCTGTTTATTTAAGCTTATTCTGTGTAGGTACATTGAGAGCAATTTAAGACCCGCGTCAAATTCCTGGTATGTGTCCACACATCTAGCCAATAAAAGTGATTCTGATGTTTAGGAAAGGATGAAGGCGGTACAGCAGCCGTACTGAAATGAATCCCCCGTTAACAGTAATGTTATGGATCATACACTCACCTAAAGGATTATTAGGAACACCTGTTCAATTTCCCATTAATGCAATTATCAACCAATCACATGGCAGTTGCTTCAATGCATTTAGGGGTGTGGTCCTAGTCAAGACAATCTCCTGAACTCCAAACTGAATGTCAGAATGGGAAAGAAAGGTGATTTAAGCAATTTTGAGCGTGGCATGGTTGTTGGTGCCAGACGGGCCGGTCTGAGTATTTCACAATCTGCTCAGTTACTGGGATTTTCACGCACAACCATTTCTAGGGTTTACAAAGAATGGTGTGAAAAGGGAAAAACATCCAGTATGCGGCAGTATGCGGCAGTCCTGTGGGCGAAAATGCCTTGTTGATGCTAGAGGTCAGAGGAGAATGGGCCGACTGATTCAAGCTGATAGAAGAGCAACTTTGACTGAAATAACCAGTCGTTACAACCGAGGTATGCAGCAAAGCATTTGTGAAGCCACAACACGCACAACCTTGAGGCGGATGGGCTACAATAGCAGAAGACCCCACCGGGTACCACTCATCTCCACTACAAATAGGAAAAAGAGGCTACAATTTGCAAGAGCTCACCAAAATTGGACAGTTGAAGACTGGAAAAATGTTGCCTGGTCTGATGAGTCTCGATTTCTGTTGAGACATTCAGATGGTAGAGTCAGAATTTGGCGTAAACAGAATGAGAACGTGGATCCATCATGCCTTGTTACCACAGTGCAGGCTGGTGGTGGTGGTGTAATGGTGTGGGGGATGTTTTCTTGGCACACTTTAGGCCCCTTAGTGCCAACTGGGCATGGTTTAAATGCCCCGGCCTACCTGAGCATTGTTTCTGACCATGTCCATCCCTTTATGGCCACCATGTACCCATCCTCTGATGGCTACTTCCAGCAGGATAATGCACCATGTCACAAAGCTCCAATCATTTCAAATTGGTTTCTTGAACATGACAATGAGTTCACTGTACTAAAATGGCCCCCACAGTCACCAGATCTCAACCCAACAGAGCATCTTTGGGATGTGGTGGAACGGGAGCTTCGTGCCCGGGATGTGCATCCCACAAATCTCCATCAACTGCAAGATGCTATCCATCAATATGGGCCAACATTTCTAAAGAATGCTTTCAGCACCTTGTTGAATCAATGCCACGTAGAATTAAGGCAGTTCTGAAGGCGAAAGGGGGTCAAACACAGTATTAGTCTGGTGTTCCTAATAATCCTTTAGGTGAGTGTATGTAGGAACAGTCTTTCACTCAGTAACCATCTCTCCTGATACATTTCAACAGATGCACACTGTTAATGCCGTCACTCCCCAGAACAAAATGCTACTGTAAGTGTAGTCGTCGTAGTAATCGATACACATCATGTGTTAATATATATATATACACACACACAGGGAATTGCTGCAAATATGGTCGCTGCTGTGAATGTATTTCCATGATTTTGGCGCAGTCCCTCTTCCCTCCAAACTTAATCATCATCAGTCCCCAGAAGTAAGGCTATTAGACATATAGAGAGAGAATATAAGCGTAGTCAGAGACGTTTGGCGAAGTGAACTTAGTAATCAATGCACATGATGCATTAATATTTACAGATAGTTGCTGCTGCTTGAAACTATTCACCCCCTGATGGTCTATAGAGGTTGTGGTGTGTTGCACTGATTGTAAAGCCCCCTGAGGCAAATTTGAGATATTACGTTCCATAAACAACATTTAACTTGATGTTTGTTGAGCAAAACAAGTTATTGGTCTCAGTCTTCATCCCTCTCTGTTGCTCCGGTCCTCAAGTTTTCCATTTCGAAGTTGTTTGGCTTCATCTCTGCTTCTGGCCTCATCGCTTCTCTGAGCGTCTTCTTGCAAATTTCTGAGAGAAAAATCAAATTACACTAAATTTATACAACTCAGGAAAGTCAAAGAAAGTTGCTAAGCAGGAAGGCAGAGCAGAGTAATTTAATGATGTTGTTGGTATCACCACAACATTAATGATATTTTCTGATATAAACATTAATCACATTATGGAAAATTGATGTTAAAAGCAACAACCTCTACTCCACCTGTTGTGCATCACATGATACTAAACTCTTAAAATATCACACTAACTCAACTGAAGCCCTGAAGGTTGATTTGAACTCTTCCCCTCAAACCTTAAGTGTTTATCCTCCATCAGCTAAAAGAAATCTGATCAACAGTGATCAACAGTGATCACAGCTCACGGCTTCAAATGTTTCTATGTTGTGGTGGAAGAACTCACGTGATTTACTTGAGTAAAAGTACCATTACAACGATGTAAAAATACTTCAATACAAGTAAAAGAGCTGCGTTCAAAATCCTACTTAAGTAACAGTATTATCAGCAAAATGTACATAAGTATCAAAAGTAGCTCTGCAGTAAAATATCTCATTTATTATTGTGACTGAAATGATCAGATTATCAATACTGACGCATCAATATTAGAGTTTTAAATAACATAGTGGCCCTAATATAAGATGATATTTTGTTCTGGAAAAGTTGTGGTTGTTTTATATTAGAGGACTAAACAGTTTCTCCGGCTCCTGAGTTTTGCATTAAGATTCTATCAAAACAGAAATCCTTGTCATTGGACCAACATATAAACAAATGCTGCCATCTACTGGTCGAGCCTGAAGTGTTTGACAGCAGATTTGAGCAACACATTACTAAGCTTGTCCATTTATGCTTTAATCACATCAGAAATCTATTTTAACTCTAGAGATGCTGATAAAGAACCTGCTTTTATGTTTTCTCGGTTTCAGAACTCAGCTGCTCGGCTTTTAAAACAGAACCAGGAGGTTCGATCACATCACACTTCTTTACGTTGGCTCCCTGTTTGATTTAGGATTGATTTTAAGATCTTATTTGAAGCTTGAGATCTTCAGTCAGGGGTCTCCTGTCTCTCCCTGAGTCCAGGCTGAAAACTAAAGGGGACAGAGCTTCTGCTGTCGGGGCCCCGAGGCTCTGAAGGGACCTGCCTGAGGAAGTCAGGCTGTCAGAGTCTCTTCTTACAACTCACTTTTATTGGACAGCATATCCTGATTTTATCTGAGTCGCCTGCTTCTTTTCAAGTTTTTATCTTGCACCTCGTGTATTTCATCATTCACCGAGGTGTTTTATTTCATGTCTCTGTGAAACACTTTGTACTCTGATTTGACAAGTGCTCCATAAATAATGTTTATTATTATTATAGTTGTTTGTAGCGTTAATGTTGCTAAACTAGTAAGAAGTCAGTTTATAGCGAGTCTTGTAGAGCTAGTCTGGGCTCCGTTAGTCCAGTTTAACCTCAGTTTAATCTGGTATTCTGACGTCTTTACTGGCGAAATAAACCATCGAGAAAATCTGTCACACAGCCAAGAACGACTGCTGTCCCAAACAAAGACGAGCTCAAAAAGAGTCTGACAGGAGAGTGCGAGTAGACCACTGATAGACAAGCTACACAAATGTGGGATTTACTTTCTGCGTTAATGGAATTATTTCATGTTCACTTTTAGACAAAAGGGTTCGAGGATGAAGACTCTCTTCTCTCCTTGCATTAAGATAAACTTTCCCAACAGGACGAGTGTGAAAGTGTGTTTTAGCTTCAAAAAGTAAAATGGCTGATGGAAAAGGGGGGTCATCATATATTCAGGAAAATACTTTAGTTTAGTCCAGTGGTTCCCAACCAGTCTTTTTTTGGATTGTTATTTTGGATTATTAAACCTTTTAAGTCTTCAAACAGTTATTTAAATGAAACCATGTTAAAGGTTTAGAGGGGAAAAGTCAACAACTCATAGACCTCAACCTGACGAGGAGCCACATCAGTGCTTTAGCAGCCTTTATGTAAACAGGTCACAAGATACAAATGTTGTGATCCACTGGTTTAATAGTTAACAATGCATTTTGTTTTACAAGCTTTTCAAAGCTCTTAATCTGTAAAGTAACTAGCAGCTAAAGATGCTAAATAATTGTAGTGGAGTAAAAGTTATAAAAAGCATAAAATGGAAATACTCAAGTAAAGTACAAATACCTCAAAGTGTCCTTAAGTACAGCGCCTGAGTAAATGTAGTGATATTAAAATAGTGTAGAGCAGAAGTTTGTAACTTACTGATCTTTCCACGTTTCACCAGGATAAACAAAACGCTGCCGCCAGCAGCAGCAACAACAAGGATGGGAATGAGAGTTTTCCAGACTGCCTCCATCTCTGCAGCATCTGAGGGAAAATCAGACGGAGCTGAGGTGAGGAGGTGACGCAGTTTATAATCTGGTTGTTCATTCGTCTACAGTGAATTAGTCATGATTTAAAGAAAAACAAACGACACGCTGTCACACAACTCCTGCAGACAGATTATCTTGTAGAGAGAATGTAGAATAAAGTGTAACAGAGGAATCATTAAAGACATTTACTGTGATCGTCTGGAGGTCCAGTTGTGCTGGATTCATTTCTCTTTGTCTCGTTCTGTTGGTCTTTTCCCTTCGTTTCTGACGACAGATACAAAACCGTTGAGCTTCTTTTTCAGATGATGGATACAAACAAACTTTTTATTATCTGCAGTTTCATTATATATCTGATAATTCTGGCAAGATTGCAAGTTTCATCTGCTTCATCATTTCTCCTGTTTTACAGGTTTATTATCTGTCCACATGCCCTGTGCCTGGGGCCTGTAACATATACATTATTCATTAGTTATTATATTCCTAAATTGACCTGCAGAGAATTAAACCACTAACTTTTAACACACCAACTACGACCACCATGCTTCTATCACAGAGCAAGTCCAACTTAAAGGGTAATTCTGGTGTTTGTAAACCTTGAGCCCACTTTTACACAAATTGGGTGTCGAAATTACAAGTAGGTACAAAAAGTTTTGGAACCTGTGCAGTAGATGGTTTCAGCCGACAGCAGTGGCTGCAACATATTCATTCAGGACAATCGTGCACGTAAAAAAATTCCGCTTCTTTTTGCCACCGACAGGCTCAGACTGTTACATCAACACTTTCCTTTCAGTGCTATGAGGTCGCCCCACCGAGTTTACACTGGACGTACAAAGAAAACATTTAACAAAAGGATTCATTTTAACAGGATCTGAACTGTTGTTGGGTTTAATACACTGGGTGCTATGTCTGATCATAAAAAGGATCCCTGTGAGTGACTTCCTTTTTTTTTAACAAGAAACTGATGTCTCATTTAAGGACACTCACTCAAATCTCGTGAGTGGCGAGTTTTTGCAGGAAATGACAGAGTAAAGAGCGAGACTTCTGTTTCCTGTTAAAAACAAACTGTGTCAGCAGGAGTTCCTCGTAGGGATCCTTTCCATAATGTTGTCAGACACCTGGTGTAACAGTCTCAGCCTGTCTGTGGCTAACAGAAGCTCTTTTTGTGGACGGAATTTTGACGGGCTCAATTCGCCTGAACCGCACGTCTGCCGTCTGAAGTCATCTACTGTACAAATTCCAAACTTTTTGTACCTTCGGGTCATTTTCACACCAAAATATGTGAAAATAGGACCCAAGGTTTAAAACTACTGAAATGACCCTTTAGGTCTGGCTCTCTCTGGGTTACCTGGCTTCACTGTGCTGTTGTTTATGGTGTCATTAAAATGTACATGGACACCTAATAATCACGTTAAAACACAAAACTATAAACTGAAGCTAAAAGCTCAAGAAAAGTTCAGCCAACGTCTCAATGAAAGATCTCGACGCTGCATCTCCTGCTGCTCTGTATATATTTATACTGATCATCTCTTTGCACAAGAAAATCTTTCAGGATGAATTAAATATCAGATCAGACTCAGTGGAGTATTAAATGACTCAAATCAGGGCCTTGATTATGATGTCTAATTCTGACAAACCTTTTTAGTATCTGAAACTGTATGAACTCAGCATGCTCACCAACAGTGACATTAACAACACAGCTGGTCCTCAGTCTTGAGATAAAACACTTGTACGGTCCGCTGTCAGCCAGCTGTACTGAGGAGATCTGCAGAGTCAGGATGCCTCTGCTCAGGTCTTCAAGGTGGAGAGTCGACCTGCCTTTGTATTGATCCATCCAGTCATTTGGATTTTCCTGCTTGCCTCGATAAGAGTACACCCCTTTGTTGAGGTCATCTCTTGTCCAATCAAGAGCGTAATCCACCACGTTGTGCGGGGGATTCAGATGACATTGTAGAGTGACTGTATCACCTTCCACTGCCTGGATAGTTGGATTTGGGCAAATGGCTCGAGGCTTTCCTGTGAAACAAACAAACATTTTCAGAGCTTGATCACCTCTGATCAGTAGTGCAACAAGTGCTAAAACTAAACGTGCAGCCTCCCCTCAGCCCTTTCCTCTCTTTTCAGTAGAGGACAGTCCTCCTACGCTGAATAAACTGATCAAAGCAAAGGTTTAATATGCTTAGCAAGCTTGATGCACACCTACAGCTCTCCACACTGAACCACCTGAACCAGGAGTGACGTACTTAATACGATATTAAATGACCCAGGAGAAAATGTTGTTGTTGTTATTGTTATTGAGCTGCAATTAACAATTATTTTCATTATCACATTATCAGGAGATAAATTCTAGTAGTAAAACAGCGTCCATTACAGTTTACCAGAGCCCTAAAATGACGTCCTCAAATTACTTTTTTGACCCGTGAACCATCTAAAAACCAAAACACACAGAAAACAAGCAAGAACTCTCATTTCTGAGGCTGCAAATGTTGGCATTTAAATAAACTTATCTTTTCAACTGTTGACCAGAGAAAATTACTCCTTGACTTGTGATGAACTGATGTGAATGTTTGATGCACTTAAAAGTTAAAAGCAGACTAAACTGAGACCATATCTGCCGCCAGAGCAGAGTGTAGATGCTCTGTAGGTCATATAGGCCTGGTGCGGCCTATATGACCAAAAGCTGATTGTGTTATTCTGGATTTATTATAATGTACATGGACACTTAATGATGTTAGTACAGGACAGTAAGGTTAAAATAACACCCTACACCAACATATGTGGAACATAGTGTTTTTTTTTAAAGCAGATGGTTAATTAATTAATTAATTTACAGTATCCATTTTGTAGAGGAAATGTTTGGGTCAAACTAACAACAAACAAACAAAAAAAGTCGTTTAAAGTGTAAACAGAGCTAAACAAAGCCAGATTAGTCTCATGTCATCATATAATAAGTACTAATGTAGATGAAGCAGTGTCCAAACAGTAATGGCTTTTTAACGTTGACCGGTTTTAATTTTCCTTTTTTTTTTTTTTTTTTTTTACCGGAGTCGATGTTTAAACTTACCGGAAGCAAACGGTGAAACTATCAGCGCCAGTAAACAATAAGTTTCCAGAGTCACGTCCATTATTAAACTAACGTGGAGAGTAAAAGCAGATAAAGTTCCCGCGGTCCTTAAACACGGACTGGATTAATGAAAATGATTTTTCCTGCAGGTTAAATTCCCCGCGACATGGCGCTACTGTAAGCCAATCAGAAGGGAGGAAGGTGCCTCCATGTTGTAGTCCGGAGGGGGGCGGCTATTAGAGGTCTATGTTTGTCGCTGAAACAGGATCATTAAATAGATTCATACTCAATTTATTTTCTATACTTTACACAAATATACAGTATATTAATTATCTGATCATGGGCGACATTTATTATATTTATTTTGGCTTAGTGGATTCACTGTCACACCCCTATCAGAATGGTACAGTCGGGAAAAACTCTTCACTTCCATTATTGCTCTAATTTTACTTGTTTTATTCTACTTTTCTATTAAAGAAAGAGATAATAATAGATTTTACTACATATAATGTTACAGTATGTATGGGGATAGCCTATATACCAGCGGAGTAATAACGTAATGCACAGCGGAGTGTAGGGAAGGCAGACTTAAAAATTATTATGAATTCTCGTAATAAAACGACTTGTTTCTCGAAATGTCAGAGAACGCAGATATGTGAGAGCAAGGGCGTCACTTTGTGTTGAAAAGTGGTGGAGACATAGGGGCTCAGATTAGGGCTGTGAAGAGACACTTAGCGACGAGAGACATCATGATACACGACATTAGGTTCAGGAGAACGAGATGAAAAGTTCCTAAACCGTATTTTAAGGATATCCTCAATGTCAAGATGTGCGGGGGTCTGTGGGAACTTCCCCAGGACATTTTGATCTTTAAACACTTGATTTCCTGCATTCTGGTGAAAGTTTCTGCCAATTGGTGAAAATGTTTTTATTTATGTGAAAGGAAACACAAAATTCAGGTAGCACATTATTTGTACAAAATATATAAATTTAACAGAATATAAGTGAGTGCAGCTCTCAGGCATTCTGTGCTGCTTCAGATCGGTTTCTCCTGCAGATCAACTTTTCTCCTGTAAAATCATCATTCATTTATCATTGAGGTGAAAAGGTGAAACAAGACTCAAAAGAGGAGAGAAGTCTAATGTGCTGCTGACTCAGCAGGGATTTTATTATATTAGAGAAGTTGATCTAAAGGAGAAATTTCAAATCTTGCTCAGGGCTCCAACTCGGTCAGGACAGGCCCTGATGTGGCTTGGTATCAATATCAATTCAGTTGTGATGTCCTACAGTCAACATTAAATATTCAGAAGTGGTCTGTCAGTATTTTGTTGTTCCTCCAATTGAGCAGCTGTTTGCTGTAAAAAGTAGACACTCAATGCAATCAGTTTTTTTATACAGTGCCTTTTGCGTCACCAGTACAAATCAGATTGTATTTGGTCTAAATTTGTACAAATACTAGTTCCATTTGGTTTTTTATGTAAGGGTAATTCTTATTAATTATGATTACAATGAGATTGGCTTCTAAGTTGTTTTATTTACATTTTAAAAGCTTTGGTTTAAGAGGTACTATGGGATTTTCTATTTAATCAAATGCTGTTTTAACTGTTGTACAGAAATTAAGGTTTTGTGTTTATCCCCAGCGACCACGTCCACCCTGTTGAGTTGCCTTCCCTTTAAGTGGAAAACTTTGTTGTTTTTTTTTTAGAGACAGCACTCTTATTAGGTGACATCACACCAGTGCAAGGGAATTTAGCTGTGTGATTTTCTAGCTCTCTTACTGTCTGATTTTGACATTTTTATTAAGTCAGTTTAATGTGTTTGATCATAACGTGTCCACCCTGTTAGGCCAAAGTTTTGAGGAGATCATCAAATTAACTAATTTCAAAAACGGTTTGTGAAAAACATATAGATTCCTCATCTAGTACTGAAGGTCATGCTAGCCATTATGCTCACACAGGCAGGTAAAAGGCTAACTTTAGCTCAAAATGTCCACCCTGACATTTTTATAGTATATACTGGCGTTTTGCTAATAGACCTCTGTCCACCTTGTTATGTTGGTATTTTTCCTTCATAGTTTATTGAAATTGGCAAATATTAAGTGTATATTTGCATTTACATTAAAATATATATAAATAAAAAGGGATTGACTACACAGGCAAGAGACAGAGTAATTCTTATAATAATTCACTTTTCTTGAGAAAAGAAGTGGAAAAATACATCCCCCTTTTCATTATGTGAGCTTGTTTTACTCATTATAGGCTTGCCTATGCTGTATAATATTTTATTGTAAAACAAATATCTAATATCTAATAAGAGTGAGGGACATATGATTTCTATAAAAATGTAGTTTTAGTAGCAATCCTACCCTGAAAACACTTTTAAACAGTTTAAGTTTAAGTCCTTAACAGGGTGGACATTTCCCATGTGTCACATGTTTATATATTTATATTTAATACAATAAAAGGTGCCTGAGCTTGACCAATATGTTTTTCATAAAGTTAGATATATACTTTATATAATAGAACTTTAAAATATAGGTAAATCAACTATTTATTTATCCCAAGTTATGAAGTCCAAATGGCACCCTCTAAAAAATGACCCAAATTAGGTTTTTTAAGACTCTCAGCATTGAAACTGTAATGCAACGAAATGATAAAGTCAGCTGGGTTGTATTATATAAGAAAAACATTGCTAGTATTGAAGTATTTCATCACCCCTGCACATAACAGCCCATCACTACTGAACATATAGTTCCACCTACATATAATAATATGTAAAATAATCACATGAACCCTCCTTTGGAACAACCTGATATAAAACTGCTCCACATTTAATCTAATAAAATAATAAACAGACACTCAGAAATGAAGTTAGATATTTACCTGGTCTGAAACTCGGGGAGCTCTGCACATGCTGAAGGTTGACAGTTTCTTGCAGAGGATGTCTCTCGCGCTCCTCCCCCTTCATCTAAACCCCGCGCTGCTCGGGGCTCCGGAGGATCTCATTGGCTGAGAGGGGCCGCGGGAGTTTCAATCATCTGCTTTTTGGCGCGCTAACGTTTCCTGCGACATGTTTTGTGTTTACCACACAGCTCTGTCCACATTCCCTGACATTGACGCCACTAGAGGCGTTTCAGCTAGTCAGCAACAAACAGGTTTTCACTGCAAAAGCATCAAAAATGGAAACTAAAACACAGGATGGAAAATATAAAGTAAGACAGTTATATACTTTCAATTGGCCATTTTTAATTCAGAGACACACAGCTTATCAATAACATGTAATTACTCCAGACTGCTTTGGAAAGCATTTTAGATACATTTCACACCAAAACTTTAACTTAACATTTAGGAAGTTTTGTTTGTTATTTTGTCAATACCTAATATACTATTATGCAACATCTACATGCTATCTATTATTGTATGTATCTATTTTTCTATTATCTATTGATATTTATAGTATTTATTGTCTATAAGTGTTCATACTTTTTATACTTATTACCCAAAATTGGCATCTACAGATTTGCCCCAAATGACATTTTACAGTACTTGTAGGTCTACTGTGAAAATAGATCAATAAAAATCTCTACATCAGTTAAGTTACACCTAACTTTAAATCACTTTTACTGCTGCTTCAGTTTCAGGGTCCTGGTTTTGTGCATATAGTCATAACTTACTGCAATGGTTCTCAAACCTTTTCTGTCATGCTCCCCCCTTCAGCAGCCAAAAAAAGTTCAGGTGACTGAAATAAACAGGATTCAGGTTAACATCAGAGCACTTCTGTTTGTTTAAATCACATGACATATTCATGCAACTTTTGATCCGCTCTATATCCACAATCCCCCCCATGCTCTATTAACCCTATTAGTCCCAGTTTGATAACCACTGGCTTCTGGGGACACTTAAAAAGAAGAGAGCCATCGTTAATGTTATTAACACCAGTGATTTTCCCCTACTATGACAAGTCAAAACGTCCGCTGTGAGAAAGGGTTATAATGATCGCAATGACATTTTATCGGAGTAAGTAAATATTTTTGCTCAAGTATTGTGGTGATATTTATCAGTTACAGTCAGATTTTACACTAAACTCCTAAATAAAGTTCTAATTTATCAACAATAACATGTAATAGCACCAGTCTGACATGACCATAGAGCCCAGACAAGTTACAAGTCTAGTAAAATTTAAGAGCATTTCTTTGTGGTTCTATTGTCACTTTTACTTCAGTAAAATGATTTCAATGCTTTTTTTTTGTTGTTTTTTTTAATAAAATCACTGCAAGATCATTAGACTAATTTAAAACACAAACTAAAGCAGGAGGAGAAAACAAACAGGACAAGCATCGGGTACCCTTTTTCCCCCATATTTATTTGAAATTATTTCAAATGATAAAAACATGGTTGATTAACATGAAATGACCACAGGGCTTTTTACTCTCAAGAGTGGATAAAGGTGAGAACAGGAGGACTCAAACGTGTCGGGTCACCTGCGTGACAAGGTGAGTAGGCTGTACATCCAGGACGTGCGGCTCCATTGTGTGTGCTGACGTTGGCATCCGTCACCCACGCCCACCTTCACTACAGTACCCGATCTTTACATCCCCAAAATGTTGGCTCGTTGGCAAAACCTCACACACATCCACTCGGCTCATTCACCTGCCGCCCCACCCTATGGCCAAACATCCAGAGAAGTGCGACAGAGAGGCCGCTCTATCAGACCAAAAGCTCGCCGACTGGAACATCGTTATAATCATCTCTCTTTCCTATATTACACGCTTTTTACAACATAAAAATAGATCAATAACTATGATTACCATTATTCCTTAATGTAAATATACAATATTTATTGCATTTTCAAATAAACTTGTTTCTTATTTTGTTGTCATCAACTCCCCCCTAAAAAAAAAAAAAAAGAAGACAAAAATAAAAAGCACTGGTACCGATGGGAGTGACAACAGATTTAGGTTTGTGTAAGGCAAGGACCAGCAGGAGGCGCTGCATCACTGAGAACAAAGAATATGACCTGAACAAGCATTTGCTTGTTGTTCATTTTAGTTTGACTATGATGTAAGTAGTGATTTTAAAGTCAAGCTTACAGAAAAGTAAAGAACCTCCATCTGCGTCAACAGTTCTCCGGCACTTAAGTGTTCCTTTTTCTTTTTTTTTGGTTAGCTTCTACAAACTACAATCTGTACAAACTGCTCCTTGCATAGCAATTGAACATTATATCATCTTTCTCTTCTATATAAAAAAAAAAAGGGGGGGCCACAAGCAGCAAAAGTATAAAGATGGATTCTGAACAGAGCTTTCAGACCGACGACAGAAAGTTGATAAATGATCCCTTATATAAAAAAACACCTCCAAAACTCTGCACCGCAAACCTGCAGCTACACCATCTACACTTGGTCCAGTTCACAAATAATAATTTAGTTTTCCGCTGTGGAGAAACATGCTGGCTGTGTGAACTACAGTTTGTCAGACACATAAGGGAAAAGATTAACCCACTTTGTGATTCTAGATTTTTATGACTATAATCCTGATCTCAGGGTCTTCTGTTTTAATAAGCATCATGCACAGTGTCTCGGTTCAGCAGTTAAGCTTCCGTGCAAAATCACCTGAAGATGGATATAAACACCCCCAAACTACAGGAGAGAGGGGGAGGTACAAACAAACATGAAATAGTCCCTGTCCAAATGTAAAAATAATCGACCAGGCAAGGCTTCTGTCATAACTTGGCACGTTTTCCAGTAACGCATTTTGTTCATGATCAAAAAGAGTCAATTGTATTTGGGACATACACGGAAACTGTCCTCACTCTGTGCACTTCATTTGACTCCACCTGCATTTGGCACACTCTCACACAGAAATTCAAACAAACCCTCACCTGGCACTAGCTGGAATGGCTATTTAAGACAAAATACACCCCCCCCCCCCCAAAAAAAAACAAAAACCACCATCAGTAACTCCCACATTCATGGCATTATCAGTATTTTGTGGAAAGTGTAAATCCATCTGCTGAAAACATCATTTCAAAAGACAGTTTCCATTCGTAGTGTTGAATTTTCTCCTCCCGAGGACACCAAAGTAATAAAAATTAAACAAAATAAGATCACCATTATTATCGGGAATATGCATAAAGAAAAAAAAAAAGGTGGAATGCACAGTTTTGGAAGTGTTTGGTCCTGATATGTCGTGTCAAACAGAAGCCTCTGCGTTCAGTCAGCAGAGCTGGTCGCAGTCAGGAAAAAGGTCGAGTCCGTTTCTCGTCTACGAGTGGTTTTTGTTCTCTCGTGCAAAGACCAAAAAGGTGAGCGGCGAGAAGTGTGAAACCTGTGTGCCGTCGTAGTGCCGCTGTGCTTCCAGCTGGTGGTTTAGTGTTAAGTGTGTGTGTGTTTTAGTGTGATTTGAGTGTTTCTCCACCCCCTCCCTCCCAGCTGTTCACCGAGTCGGCTGACTGACAGTTCATGTCCTGAGCTGGGGTCTGGTGTTCGCCGGCGGTGCTGGAGGAGCTCCTCTGTTCATGGCTGAGGGCAGAAGGAGAGACGAGGTCACTACAGGTCAGTTTTCACACTTTAAAAAAACCCCACACTGGTAGAAATGATTAACTCTGTAAAAACAGGCTAGAAATTCCTCACGGCTGCTGCGACATGAAGACAGAGAGGAAGCTGGAAATAAGTAATAAACAAAATAATGTGATGGTAAACCGAAGAAACAGTTCCCAATGTGTAGAAATCAAGCGAAGCTATAGTTTTTATTTTACTTCCTGTTTATTAAGTATTTTTGGGGTAGTTTTTGAGTGTATTTTTGTGCCGTAGTGGAGGGATGACAGGAAATGAGGGGATGCAACAACAAGAACCAGGACTGCGGTCAAACTCTTAACTTCTAACCCACAAAGACGTCTACAGATGTGTTTAAAACTAATTAGGAGAGTCTTTCTACATATATAGATCTGCTTTCACCCCAAAAATATTTTTCTCCTAATTTATTTCCTTTCAAAAGTCTGGGGAAATGTGCAGGTTGGTAAAGTCTTCCAGAATTGTGCATTTATTTATGCATTTCTTCTGACTAAATAATGGATTATAAGTGGAAATTTCTGAACAGGAGCCTGAGGCGAGCTCACATAGTAGTACGACATGAGCATGTTGATGGGGTTTGTGAAATTACTCTTACTGCCAGAAGAGGGAGACAAAAGTTCCACACTGCAGGTTTAAATAACCCTTTTCTCCTCTTGATCATTCATTCTTGTTCTTGTTCTTGTCCTGTGTGTTATTCACGCTTTAAACACCTTTTTCCCCCTCCACTGCACAAATAAACCTGACAGCACTCTCATTAAGCAAAATGGAAATGTAAGAGTGCACCTAACGCATAAGCAGCGAAAACAAGGAATAGATAAGTCTATTTAAAAGAATATTTTCTCCTCCATCAGATGTGTTTAAATAAATTCTGTAAATTCATGTTAACTAGTGAAAAACAGGCTTATAATAAAATGTTCTTGAACAATCACAAGTTAAAGGCCCCCCTGCTTTATATTTTCCCTGTAAATGGGACCATAATTTACTAAATGAACATCATTCTGTGTTGAAGAAGACTTGAAACTAACAATAAATAAATAAACTGATTAGGAAAGTGTTTACTGAGGTAATTAATCAGCTGAGAAGTAGCCTCATTTCCTCATACACTATGACTTATTTTTACAACCAGTGGAGTCGCCGCTGTAGGAAGCCCAAAAAAAGGCTTTTAAGAGGAGAGACGACGCTTAAAGGATCCCTTAGTACAACTCTATAGGGAAAGCCCGTTAACGACAAAGATGGTGGTTTTCCTGCTGCTCCCGCAAGAAAGCCAATGGTCTGCTTGTAACAGCTGAGGTGGGAAACATATTAAGCCAATCGTCTACCACGCAAGCATAGTAGTCAAACTTTTTCAGCGGTTTTTATCAGATTTTACTGCTGCAGTTTTTATGACCAGTGAAAGTACAGTTATGGCTCTCTCCTCATTCATTTAGATAGGGGGCGTGGTCCGAAATAAGGCGTTAGCAAGAAGGCTGTCGAGTTACAGCACTTGCCTGTAAGGGCTTTGCTGCGAGGGGCTAAACACTGAGAGAAAAAAAACAACAACACTGCACTAAAACTCAGTTCATTCACACATTCAAGTTCCATCATTTATTCCACTTCGGCATTTATTAAATAAAACTTGAACTGCAGTTACCAAATAATAAAATTACTTTGTGAGCTCATAGGTGCGTGAGTGCGGTCAAGAACAGGTGAAGCAAACAAAAATACCATTATGACTTCCGCCCCAAACCCTGGTGAATGCGCCCACCACGTACAATATCAGTGCAGTTAGTAATATGAATGTGAGGAGACTTACAAGGGGGTCCTGCAGTACCCTTGTTGGCCTTGCTGGGGTAGACCTTGCTGAAATGCCTGTACTCCTCTGGAGGTGGAAGGTCCTCAATAGGGTGGAAGTTGAACTTGGATTCAAAATCATCTGAGGGAAGAAACAAAAGCAGCTTATAAAATGCATATACATCAAGTTACCAGTTCATTACAAAGCACAAAGCTGTTAGTTACTTAGTGGTGTTGTTTTATACTGAGAGGCATGTCTGTATGTCAGTTTATGAGAGGGCAAAACATAAAACCTCAATAAAAGTCAGATTACTCAATAAAAACATACATTTATGGTACATTGAAATGCCATTAAATATCTGTTATTGATTGCTTTTCGATTACACAATACTTTACACGTTAAAGATACATAAAACTACAAGAACAAGAACCTTTGTACTCACACTTGTACTTAATTAACAATGTTTTGTTCCTCAGACCTTCAAGTAAAATTTGTTTGGTCCCCAACACCTGTGGCTTTATGGTGGGCAAGAACATTCTTCAAGATATTATAGTATTTTGACAGTTGCATATTTTTACTGCAGCAGATTGAATTTAAATTTCAAAACAGTGACTGTGAGGTTCAACTGCTGACTTTCTGCTTTAATTTGATGGTGTTTACATCCACACCTGAAACAGTGAAGGAACTGAAGCACCTTTTCAAAAATAATCAGTTAAACAAAATAAATAAAGTCTCTTTTTAAATATTTTCTGTCAAGTCCTTTGTGAAAGAGAATTCACAACTTTTTGCTTCAGCTATGAAACATGTGACCAGTTAGTGATTGACTTTTATAAGACGCCTTGGTTACCAAGTGTATTTAGCATTATTATACTGCCACATAGTCCCCACATATTTGGGGACTGTGTATAAATAGTCCTACACTGTACGGGGGTGAACGTCCCAATAACACCTTTAAAAGGAAAAGGAAATGTTTTCACTTAATACTCAACGTGCTGACATATAATATAACCAAACAACACATCATTGTCCTAATATTGAGGCAGCGCTGTATAACCCGACAGGTACAACGTGAACCTTAGACAGTAATCTAGGACCCGTCCCTGCCCTCCTGATTTGTTCTAGTGCAGGAGGAAACAAAAAAAAGGGGCTCATTTGCATGTCTGGCTGCAGTGGAATATTTAACTACGGCCATTCATCACAACACAAGGTCATAAACTAAACCCACGTTAACAGCAAGTGTGACAGAGGATTAAACACACGGCTAAAATGAAAAATAGTAGAGGCCAATTCTAGTTCAACAGCAGAACAGCTGGTGCATTTAAAAACAATTCACAGAATATAATTTCAAGCCTTCATTTTAAAAGAGGTATCAACGCCGTGGGTCGTTTTATTTTCCCTACGTCTCTTCACATTTTAAATCTCCTGCCAGATTTTAGTCGTGGCACGTGAGCTCCCCTAGCACTGGCCCCTCTAAGACCCTTGCCTGGCTCCGCGCAGCGACAAAGACTAAAACTAACACTGAAACTAATAAAAACTAAACTAAAACTAGCAAACCCACGTTAAAAAACAAAACGAAATACACATAAAAACTAGTGAAAAATCCCAAACTATAATACACTTGGAGAGTACAAAACATTAAAGATATTTTGGGATATTAAAAATAGAAACTTCAACAATTTTACAAGTGAAAAGTTCAGTTTACTCGTCACAAGGATGATGACGCGCGGTAAAAGAAGTGGATGGCAGAGAAAGCGTGATGAAAGTTGCTACCGAGTTGCATTATGGGAGATGTAGAATCCTATATTTTTTTAAGCCTGACCTATACTGGAGACTTAAAATCAGCACTTGGCTTCGGACGCTGTGATTTTGATCTTATATAACAATTAATAGTAATTATCTCAATGGACTTTTCATATAGAGCAGGTCTAGACCGTACTCTTGTAGTATTAAGAAGCTTTTAAAAAGCACTGCTCATCAAAACATAAAAGATTGTGCCTGGGATTTTTTATTTTGTATGCTACACCACACCACCAAGGATGTAGTGTCCTCTTTTAATACTTATGGAATATTAGTTCACTTTACTAATCAAGTGATTTCCGATCTTATTTGTCTGCCACAGCTCTTTCAGATTTTCTATTTGGAAAATGTAGAATATTTTCACATTTGAGAAGCAGAGAATGTTCTGCTTTGTAAATTATTTACCGATTAATGTAATAAATGTTTTTTGAACGACTCAACCTTTATCTGCGCCATCTGTTCTTCTAAATGTGTTCATTTCGTGCAATTTAATTTTACACTGGATGCTATTGAAAACTTAATTATACCACTGATTCCCTCCCTGGATCAAATAGGTTTAGATTGGTTTTCTTCTTTTCCTAGTAGGTTTGGTCACATTTGCATTTGAACCACCACCTGAAGCGGCAGAAGCCCGACGTTTCAACAATAATTATATATGTTCTTTAATTCTAGCTAACTATAACAACCTCTCTGTTCGCTCACCAACTAGTTTCCATGTAATCTCAAATCCAGCACGCTCTGTTTGCGGAAGGCGAGTCCTGTGTTCCTGATATTAATGATTTCTGTGAATTTTTAATCCTGTGTTTACACATTTCACTAACTCATGATATTTACTTTCATATGAGTCTGTTATTTCCCTGGAAAGCAGAAGTACACAAATCTTTTAGCAGCTCTCGATGGTGGGAGCATGACTGGGGAGGAAGGACATTATGATGCCGAAGCGGTCAGTCCTGACTCACCTATGACAGGCTTGGAGGAGGAGACATGGGAGTGTCCGTTCCGGACTGGCGGGGGGTGGAGGAGGTCCAGCTGGGGTTCGGGAGGAGGTGGAGGATGTTGAGGAGGAGGAAGAGGAGGGAGGCGGAGGTGGTTTGCTCACTCGGCTTTGGGTCTCTGAGGTCACAGAGCTGTGAACACGGTATGGGGGCGGGGGAGGAGGGGCGTCCCGACTGCCATTTCGGGACCCAGGAGGGGGCATCTGGGGAGCTGTGTTGATAACCCACACAAACACAAATGATTAGGATGACATGTATGATGTTACTCTCTTTATTATGGTACACTACACTATTCAGAGTGAAGGAGTGAACTGCTGTTATCCATAAAGCTCGCTTACAACAGCGACATGCCTTCAGATTTCTGGGCTCTTTTTGTTGTTTTTTGTATTTTCCTGTGTTCCCATGAAAATCACATCATGTTCAGAAACTTCCAGCAGCTCCAGAAAAATCTGACTATGAAATGTTCCACGGTGCGTTCGAGGAGGCTCTGACAATATGGGATTTGAGAATAGGTAACAAACAAATATATCCTACTAAATATGTGATGAATGTTCTGTATTGATCTGTACTGTACTGCCTGGAAGGAAGGAAATCAGTCTAAAAAAGTGATGTTAAGTTTTGGAAAATAGTCTACCTAGTCTAGTCTAAGTGACTTCTACCTTCGTAAATCTCCACAGACAACAGAATGGCACATAGAGCTGCAATATTATTTACTTAATTTGATTACATCATTTTTTTATTTCATCATCAAGTCTTTAAAATGTCTCTACATAGTAAAAGATATGTACATCATAATTTCCTAGAGTCTTTAAATGTCTTATTTTGTGCGGCCAACCCTCTAAAACCCAAAGATATTTGATTTTAAATGATATAAAAGAGAGAAAAGCAGCATATTCTCACATTTGAATAGCTGTAACAATAGATTGTACTAAGACTAATCATTTCAGCACAAAACACCTTTGTTATAGTTCTTTTAAAGACCATTTCTGTATTTTTATACCTAGGCCCTATTTTTACATATTTTGGGGAAATGTGCGAGTTGTTCCAGGAAGACGACGGTAGAAACGAGAGTCAGAGTTGGACAGAGGAGTTTGTTTTGTTGGAGTAACGCTAGGAAATAAAGTCTTGCTAGCAGTTGCTCTACGTACACAACAAACTCCTCTACCTCCTTTCCACCAGCGTCTTCCTGCACTCGCCTCTCACGAGACTTCAGAGAGAGACTTCAGTTTCCTGTTAAAACAAAGGGGTATCAGAGGGAATCACTTGTTATTTCCACACCAAAATATTTGAAAATATGTTTAAAAATGCGAAAATATCCAACTGTGTTCATATCATTACGCTACAGATCTCAGTGGCATAATGTCACATTTTAGCAAATCACCACCAGATTAATACCAACCATGACCAGCTGGTAATAGTAACGGCTGTCTGGAACAGAAACAGTTATAAACTGTGGTTTGTGAAATGATTTGCAGCTTCTCCAGACACTGCAGCTGCTGTACAGGACTAGTAACACATCTCTCAGCTCTCTTAAATATCAGAACATTAAAAAGAACATCACAACGAGGAGCAGAGAACAGGAACAATGAAAAGAAACATGAGACGTCTGGCAACTTAATGTAAAAGCAGAGGAGAAGCAGAGACAGAACGTGAGGAGGAATGCTGGAATATTCCACAGGGCTTCAGGAATGCAGAGAAACCAGGCGGCCTCGTGGCGAAGCGCTCCGTCGTCCAATCACAACACACACAGCTCCAGCTAACAAGTGCCTTCCTGTTTTGTGTGCTCGCTCTGAATTCAAATTATGAATATGTTTCCACTCAGCTATAAATCTGCTCTGGGGAGGAAACAAAATCATTATCTTTAAGCTATTAAAAGGATTCATTTGATAACGCTATAGTGTTTTGTAGGTCTTAAATCCTTCAGTATTTCCTTCTACATCAACACAAACATAGCAGCTTCTGGCGTTACACATACGGAGGCATCTAATGCGCGTTATCATCCACATAGCATCAACTAAATCAAGCCTCAACACGCACGCCAACAAATAAATGTCTGATCCACGTATGGAATTACTTTATGTCCGCGAAGAGGCGCACAAAACAGCATGTTAACAACCTGGCTTGGAAGCCACAGTCAGAAGAAGAGGAGGATTTAAAGGTCACAGAGGCACACAAATCGTGTCGCTCCTCTTTCAGAATCGTGCCACAGTAAAATGTGATCACACTGAGGTTTTTTTGCTTTAAGGCTGCTGTGCTGCACTTCGAAGGTTTGGAGATAACGAGTCAAAACTTGCTTTGGCCTCTAAATGAAAATTCCTCCAGCTGAGAAAGTAGAGTGATGTTGTGTTCATCGCTTTGACTGTTCAAATCCTGAATCAGAAGGAGTCGTCACACTCACATCATTAACGTATATATACAGTAAAACAGGTGCTGATGGATTAATCGGTTAACGTTGTGTTCAGCTAAACAGCATTTTTTTGGACAGCGGAGAGATGACAGGAAAACTTTGCTTTTAAATCATTTCATTAAATGTGCATCATAATGTGGTGAGGTTTGCTGTGTTCTTTTATTCATTTTTAATCTTTTGTATCACCTGCTCCACGTTTGCACTTTTTAAAATTGTAAATATGCATATAAAAAATATTTGTTTGTTTTTGTACCCTGTAAAGTAGGGCTGCTCGATTATGACAAAAATCAAAATCAAGATAATTTTGGATCAATATTGACATCACAATTATTTACTCATTGACTTAAGTACACATCACGCATTTATTGAACTTTTAAAATTGAAAGCTTCATCTTTCAAAATTATTATATATGCATTACCCCAAACAGCCCATGAAATAAGAAACTGTAATCCAACATTAGGCTGAGCTCTCTCTCAGTAGAGGGAGAGAGTGCCAGAAACAGTAATGAAGTTTAGCATTAAATACACAGTTGTAGGTTACAGTCTGTCAGCGAGTTAAGGCTGCAAGCTAAAGCAGATATTCCGAATTACGCTGAAATTCAACCGCGGTGTTCTGTCGGAGATGCAGTGACTTAAACAAAGTCAGTGAGTAAAGAAAGTATAAATAAGTGAAGGTAAGTATTTTTTTAAGCTATGAGTACAGCACTAGGGTTATGCAAAATGCAGTAGGCTTGTGCTAATAATGTTGACTAGCAAGTTAGAGCAGTTATAGCCCCGTCATCTTGGCTCGAGCCGAACTCAACATGCAACAGCCTGGCTGAGAGTAAGGCTGAGTATCGTATTCATTTTATAGATTTCGATTCAACTTCTTCATCGAATCCGGTTCTTATTATCATCATCTCGTTTCCGAATCAAACCCCCACATTTACTTTTATTCATTTAGCTGACGCTTTTATCCAAAGCGACTTACAATTGCTATACATGTCAGAGGTCGCACGCCTCTGGAGCAACGATGGGCTAAGTGTCTTGCTCAGAGACACAATGGTGGATGGGTCATAATTAGGGGTGGGAATCACCAGAGGCCCCACGATATGATACTATCACAATACTTATGTCACGATACGATATTACTGCGATTTTAAACATCCTGCGATTTTTTCCAACTTAAATTAAGGAAAACTATTTTTCTAGCAGACTGAAAAAGCAATTGATTCTATTATTATAGCACCAAAAAATAAAATTTATATAATAAAAGATCGATACTTGGCGTTCATGTATCGATACAGTATTGCCACGGAATTGCCCCTACACCTACACAATGGGAATCAAACCCCGGTCTCTCACACCAAAGGCATGTTTTATCCGTTGCTCCATCACCACCCTTAATATTATATACTCTGCGTTTGTGATTCCACGAGAATGAGAAGAATAAAACAGCATAAAACAGACATGAATACTGACGGTTCTGTGTGTTACAGATGGTTGTACCTGCTCTGCGCCCAGGTGGCTCTCTGACAGGAGGTGGTGGTCTGCTGCCCTGCTGGGAGGATGGAGACGGTGAAGGAGGCGGGGGAGGAGCCTGGCTGCGTCCTTGGCTGCCTGATGAGTGTTTTTGTGCAGGGAGTTGTGTCTCTGTGGTAGCTCCGGAGCTCCGCCCACATCTACTTGGGACGGCCCATTGGAGACGCCACCTGATCCAAAAGGTCTGTAAGGAGGTGGGGGTGGAGGAGCGGAGGAGCCACCGGTGGGGGGTCTGCTGGAAGACGGAGGCGGCTTCGCGGAGCTGGGAGAGGTGGGGCCTCTGTTGGGTGTCGGTGGGAGGGGCTTCTCTCTGCTGTGAGAGGAAGATGAGGAAGGTAGAGCAGGTGCTTTCTGATTGGGGGTAGGTGGAGCGTTGCCACGGCCACCTCTGTTGAAAGGTGGAGGAGGAGGTGGGGCGGAGGTGCTGTGCTTCATCCCGCTGCCTGTGGAGGAGCTGCTGCTGTTGCTGCTGGGGGGGCGGGAGATGTCAGGGAGCGAGGGGCGGTGGGAGCGCTGGTGCTCTGGAGGAGAGGGCTTGTTGGGCGGGGTGGGTGAAGAGGAGCGCCCTGTGGGGGGGCGAGGGGCCGCAGGCCGGGACCCTGGGGGCCTCAAGGCGGATCTGCCCACCGAACCGGCTACACCATCTGGAGGAAGGACAGATGTTCAGATGGTGTTTAGGATCACAGACACACGTCAGACATACTAAAATGTAAAAACCACAATTATCTTCATTATCAAGTAATCTGATTATTTTCTTGATTAATAAATTAATCCTTTGGCTTATAAAAATGTCACAGAAAGGTGAAATAAACCGCTCATAATTTTATAGAGATGCTTGTTTTGTCCAACCCAAAAAAGAGTGCACTTTAACATTTAGGAGTCAAACAAACAAATCCTCACATTTGAGAAGCTGGAAACGACTGACTCATTATAAAAATGGTGATTAATTGAGTAATTGAGTCAGCTCTCATAAAGTATATAAAATTTTCAGGTTACGATATCAATACATATTGTCAGTTACAAAAACATTGCTGTTAAAAAAGACATTGAACTAATTTGAGCCCTCCACCTTTTTAGAAGTGAATCAATATTTTACGTTTTACATCCTCTGCATTTAACTTCTCTCAGCAGTAATAAGGAGGTCAAAGGTCACAATCACTACACTTTCTTCTTCTATACAGGTTCTAGCTGTAAATATTTTATCTCTAAAATAAGAAAGTTCTAGTCTTTCATTCATAACGCACATCCCTCGTTCCTCACTGCACCGCAGATACGTTTGCTCCGCCAGAGATGAGTGGACCGGAGGGAAAAAAGGGCCATTAAGTAAATAACCATGTTCATGTTGAAATATTCTCCCTGCTGATTCATACGTTGGTCTTTAAAACATTGTGTGTGAATTGTTGTAGTTAGACTGTGTTCACTTGTTGTTGGATAAACTTCAGACAGATTATCAATGACTGATGTAATATTAGCCCACTCACTCTCTTCAGAGGTGGACTTTGACTTCAGGTCCCTTCTCTGGTTTATTCATTTCAACAAATGATAAGATGATGCTTTAACCAATAAGAGTGCAGGCCATACAGAAAACAAATTTGTAGACAAACAATCATATTAGAAATAAGCAAATATATGATAAATCCAACACACAAAAAATGTTTTTACCTCCAACTGGGCGTAATTTTGGCACACCTCCTTGGAAAAGGCCTCCCATTCCCATTGGCCCTCCGCCTCCAAAACCTCCACCACCACCTCCTCCGCCACCACCACCACCACCTCCACCGCCACCTCCTCCTCCTCCTCCTCCTCCTGATTCTGGTGAGAAGAGGAGACAGGTCAATATACACAAACATGAAAGCAGAAGTAGAAAAACATTTATTTTTGAAAGAAGAGACAAGCGGTACCAGGTGAGCTATCCAACGCCCCTGAACTAGAAATACATTTTAATATTCAAATTTTTGGAAAGAATGAGAGCTATTCAACATCATGGTACACGAGACAGGATACGTCTGCACAGACAGAGGGGAACAAACTTTTATCAGCAACATTTCTAATCTTTACCAAGTCAGAAATATCCTTTAATGATACTGAATATCTCCATATTTATTGTTTCGTGAAAGTGTGTTACTAATTAAAATAACTTTAGATTGACTAGCCTTTAATAAAGGCTATTAAATCTGCATCATTACAAATATCCCTTTCCTGAAGATTAGTAGAAATGTTTTATTTATCTAGGAAATGGAAAGAAGATGACTCTCTTAAACTACTCCTGCTGACGTCTTTAGATACATCTCTCTTTGTGTGTATAATTTGAATAAGCTCACTGTTATACATCAGCTCAGGTGTGTGTGCGTGAAATGAACTTGCTGTGACTCACTCTCTATAATCGGACTGCTCCGGTCATTGATCGCAGTGACCTTCTTTAGCTTGGCGCCTTTGCAGATGTCCGACAGCAGCGCTCCCCTGCCTTTAGTCTCGGAGGAGCTCAGTTTGGGAGGAGTCGTGTTCGCCTGTGGAGGAAGTTAACAAACCTACAATCACACCTCCGGTTCCTCTGGTCTGAACCACAGTGGAAGGTTTATGGACCTGAGGTTTATTTGGGTTCACACTGCACAACAGAGAACCAGCTTGTACACAAAAGTCACATGACTTGGTCACTGGTTTACTGGACAGCAGGTCACACATTCTGGCAGATTTTGACTGCAGTCCCTGAAACTGTTTATTTTTCTATAATTAGCTTTCTCTGATGTTACATTAGCACCATCTCAGACTTCAGGTAGGACTCAAGAACCAATAACCTCACAGACTACATTCACAAAGCAGGCCTTAGTGCTCAATTCCAATTTATTGCCCAGATCTGATTTTATTGACTGACTGTTCACATTATTATTTCTGCATTTGCAGCCCATATCAGACTCCAGTGTGATCTGGCCACGGCCTGAAAGTGCACCGCATCCGCAAAGGAATAGTAAGACTTCACATGCCACAGAGGTTAGAGCCTACGGCTTTATTTTTAAGTTGATTTAAGGTGGAAGAAAGGGAATGGATCACTTTGGCCTGCAGTCTGAATGCGGCCTTGAGTCTTGTTTAAGTCCTGGTGTGCTTTTACAGTGTGTTAATAGTCCTTCTCTTTCCATCCACCAATCCAGTCAAAACAAATGTACTGTGATTATTATAATTAAGTCTTTGTGTGAATGGAATTTTCTACAGATGATGTGAAAGAAAAAAATTAAACACAAAGCATTGACTCAGCTATTGGGACTCCACAGCAGCATTTTAGCTGCGTATCATAGTTGATCTCAGTCTATATTAAAACGACTGAAAACGCACATGTATTGGCCGTTCAAGTACACTGGGCATGCGCGTGCTGGTGTAAACATGAAGCAGCTGGTCTAGTAGTTACAGAAGATTTGGCGAAAGAATAAAGAAATGCAGACGAAGAATTACACCAGATTTTTTTTTGCATGGACCAATAACGAGCTTGGACTGTTACTGAATGTAACACGGGAGTTTAAAGCGACGGTGGCGGCGGAAAACCGACTGCGAGTCGTTGCAAAGTAAATACGCCAACATGCACAGTACGAGTGTAGGCTATGTGTGTTATTTGTACGATACAAGACATTTTAATAAAAATACAAAATCAAAACTCTGTCTGTAGCATCGTGTTTCTGCTTGCGTGACTGATAAGACCGAATCAGAGAGCCAAATGTGTGCGTCTGCGTCATTGTTTCTAAAGAGCTCAGCGACCAGTCGTTGTGTGTGAACTACACAATGACGCATCAAAACGGCTCCCCAACTCATCATGTGCCACATGCCAAATATCTGGAAAAGTCGGCCGACTCTACATCCACATCCAGCCAATGAGAGCAGGCAGCTACTTTTTCACCAAAACACTTTTTACTCACCTCCAGCTCTCTCTGTAGCTCAGACGATCCCTGCTACCTGCATGTGCTGATCCATCCTTTCACCCAGATTCTGTATCTTTATAATTGCTATCTTTATAAAAACCAACAACAGCTGTTTCTTGGGTAGGTTCCTGTCATTTCCCGTTTCACATTTGACATGCGTTTTCTTGACAAAATGTGGTTTGGAGAGCAGCGTCGGCTGACAGAGCCGCTGTCAGCTCGTGTATTGTGTGACCCCCTGTCACCGATCAGTCACGTAGTGTGAACGCCACAACCACTTCAAGACTCCCGTCACAAGACGGCAAGTTGCGTAGTGAAATTTAAATGAGCTGTTCTGTTGGGGGATGCAGTGACTTGAACCAACAGTGAGTAAGAAAAATAAATAAGTAATATATCGTATACATATAATAATATATGTATACGAGTAGAGGAAAAGTCTGCTAAGCTAAGAATGGTGACTAACATGTTAGAGCAGTTATAACCCCGTGATGTCGGCATGAGCTGAACTCAACACGCAGCAGCCAGGCTAAGAGGGAGTTTGGGCTTTTAGGGAAGGGCGATGGCCACCGCTGCAAAAGGAAAGGGTTGAGCTGGATTATAACAAAAACAAAATGAGAGCATCGTGGGGGAAAAACAATGCAGCACAATAATCATGTTATCTAGATTCTTTTGCCCGACCGACAGCAGACTTACTGCAAATGTCTCACTTATGTCAGAACTGAACTGCCCGTGGATTAAGTATATTGAACTGAATTATCAATCGTATAATCCCAGTTTCTGTGGCTGACACCTTTGCAGTGCGATGTGCTGTGTGTGCGTTCAGTCCGATCACTGACCTGATGGAAGGTGGGGGGAGGCGGGGGTCCTGGGGGAGGAGGGGGAGGGGGAGGAATAGGCATCCTGTCCCTCTGTTGGCACCTCTCTGTGTGGGGTAAGGACCGGTGACTTCACCGTCTCTGCTGGGATGACACACACTGGCTCCTGCAAAACAATTTCAACTGATCATTACGCTGAACATTTTTAACTGCACAGACTCGCTGATGGCAAACTCTGCTTTGCAAGTCAGTGTAAAGATCCTGTTACTCATGAAGCAGTCACAAGTGAATAATGAAATTTACAGATGCTGCGGCCAGAAAATATAAATAGCTCCTTTCTTGGATACAATAAAAACTTTAGTGAATAAAAGTTGAAGCGCTTTTTGGCATCAATAGCTCCATAAGAAGGTAAGAAGACTAAGATCTGAACTACTGTATAAAGAAAGCTAGATGTAGTAAATGTATAAAGTTGAGCCAATATTTAACCAGATGTCGGCTTGCTTTCTTGATGTACCCTGGTGTGGGGTGCACCAGCACTGGTAGACTTCTTCAACATTTATCACAGAAAGCCTAGACTACTGATAATAATCTTTCTACCTTCTGTGCAAATGTGTTTGGAAGCAATCTTTGGTTTTAAGAAAACACTCTAAAGGAGGATGGGATGGCTACAACACAGAATATTTACTTTACATAACTAAAAAGGAATAATTTAGGCAACAAGTATGTAGCTGCAATGTAAAATCCACAAGGCTCCTCCAGCTGTCTGACCACTGAGGGGTATAAGAACCTCAACCTGGCAGTAGGTGTGTTTCTATCCACCTCTTTGTTTCTGCATTTTCAATTTGCACCTAAACAAACCTGAACATGAAATCAAAATATTAAAGTTTTTAAGCTTGGCTGAGGTGGAAAAGTTGGTGTAAGTGCAATAGCAACAGACGTAGTGAATTAATCATGATGCAGCAGTTGGTAACAATTGGACACCAAATGCAAAATCTTAAGCATGTCTTTCTGAAGCTAGTACACCACAACCCCCCCCTCAAAAGTTATTCCGTACCCTTTGTCATCATGCATCTTTGTTACTCGTTGATACGAGCGCCATGACATTGAACCTACTGAGCCCAAAGCTTCGTGTGGAGCCGGACGTGTTTTGTAGGATACGAGGTTGTTGGCAAAGAGGGATGGGCAGATTGGTGTTGGTTGTTTCTCAGCCATTGTGTTTGCAAAACCTCTTCAGCCGCGAGATGAAGCATGCATAAGGAGGGGGACTGATTGACACTACGTTAAAGACTGTTGCAGGCTGCGATTGGTTGTTTTGACTCGGGAGAGGTGAATTCTTGCAAATGTTATTAGGAGCAATAGCAGGAGTCATAGCAATCAGATTTCTTTCAATTCAGTTTTATTTTATTTTTATTTTTTTTACAGATCATCTGTCATCAAGATATCCCTACCGCTGCTTTAAACGTCCACTGGAGAGACAAAGAGGACAGCAGATGAAAACATCAGATCTGTGTGGAGCGATGTAGAGACGAGACTGTTTACTGAGGTAATAAAATCAAGTTAGAAGTAGGGGTCATTTGTCATAGACTTCTATTCAATTGGACTACTTTTGCAACCTGCGAAGACGCTCCCTGCTGGCCCGGAGGTTCCCGCTTGTCACAGGCACAACGAACAGAAGACACATAAATCTTCTACTTATATACAATATAATATATACAGTATATTAAAGTGTGCAATTTCACTTCCCTGTACAGGTGGCCTTATTCACGAGCAAATTCATGCTTCTGAACTTAACCAGCCAGTGAAGAGTTCAGTCTGCTGTAGTGAACAACTTCATTACTGCCTACGTAGCAAGGACCAAGGGACATAAGCCGATGTATAATAGAGGATGAATGAAAGTGCTTTATTGTGTAGAGCACAATATTAAAGTGCTTTTTATTTTGGCTCCTGTGGCAAGAAACACAGACTATGAGCCTCTCCCTCTGTCAGTCTGTTAAAGTGACTGTGACAGTGCCCAGGATGACTCACATGATTTCTGACAAGACTAATAGGAAAAATGTCTCAAATGACGGTAAAAGCTTTGACTTTAACTGTAAATGTCAGAATAGTTAATAACACAAAATAGATCTCCCTACAATTACAATAAGTTAAGACAATCCTATTTGTGATGGGAGTCTGACAGTGGACCTGCAACTAAATCCAATATGTGGTGTTGTAACATGATTATCACAGGTGAGGAAACTCACTCCACCTATATTGTAGAACAAACCCTGAACAGGTCAAAACACGAGATCACCAGTTGCAAGATGCCTGAAGCTAGATGCCAACACGTCTCATCCTGCTCCGTCACAGGGGAAACAAATGGCCGAGGTTTAATGTCCTCTCAAAGAACAAATTCTTTGTAGGAGGAAATAGTTGCTGAAGCAGCTCCTGCGATGCATCCTTGAAGTGTGCGGACAATACGAGCATTTCGACAAGAATCCTAAAAATGTTACAATGCCAAAAATTTAGCAGTCTATACCAATATCAGTAAAATCCCACAATTTTTGATACCAAGGTAAAAACAAACAACACAATAAATCCCATATACTTCAACTTACACATTAAATAAAAACATTTGAACATTACAAAGAACAACTAACAGTTGTGAAAGTTGTGAGAGGATGTCCAGAACAGATGAGATGGTTTGATGTCAATATACACTGAATATAAATTATACCAAATTATAAATGCAACACTTTTGCCCCCATTCATCATGAGCTGAACTCAAAAAGATCTAAGACTTTCACTATGAACACAAAAGGCCTGTTTCTCTCAAATATTGTTCACAAATCTGTCAAAATCTGTGTCAGTGAGCACTTCTCCTTTGCTGAGATAATCCATCCCCTCACAGGTGTGGCATATCAAGATGCTGATCAGACAGCATGGGCATTGCACAGGTGATCCTTAGGCTGGCCGCAATAAAAGGCCACTCGAAAATGTGCAGTTCCATCACACAGCACAATGCCACAGATGTCGCAAGTTCTGAGGGAGCGTGCAATTAGCATGCTGACTGCAGGAATGTCCACCAGAGCTGTTGCCCGTGAATTGAATGTTCATTTCTCTACCATAAGCCGTCTCCAAAGATGTTTCAGAATTTGGCAGTTCATCCAACCGGCCTCACAACTGCAGACCACGTGTAACCACACCAGCCCAGGAGCTCCAGATCCAGCATCTGGAGACCAGCCATCTGGACAGCTTCTGCAACGATCGGTTTGCATAACCAAAGAATTTCTGCGCAAACTGTCAGAAACTGTCTCAGGAAACTCATCTGCATGCTCGTCGTCCTCATCCGGGTCTCGACCTGACTGCTACTTCACACAACCATTGAAGAGGAGTGGACCAACGTTCCACAGGCCACAATCAACAACCGATCAATTCTATGTGAAGGAGATTATGAATTGCAAAATTACACAATGCGTCTTATTTAGCTATCAGCTTTTAACTTAAACTTGAGGTTGTTTTAGGCATGTGCTAACTAACAGTCACAACAATAAATACTGCTTTCAAAAATCCATCTTTTAATGAACGTTTCTGCTGCAGCAAAACAAAGTTCCACTGAAACCAAGTCCTGATCTCTGCAGCTGATCTGCTGTTTAGTGAGGGAGCAGTTTACACGCCAGTACTGCAACACACCGGGACAAACTGACACTAAATATAAAGAAAGGAATAAAGTCATGCATTACATTTTCCGAATTTCCAGGTCAATAATAATTGTATATTTTCCCTAACTCAACAACTCACAAAAAACTCACTGCGAGTTTGGGGCGATTAGCGCCGCGCCTCACGCAAAGACAGGAGAACTGTTTTCTCTTGTTTAAAAAGTGTGAAATTATCCAATGTTGTGTAATCTTGCAAACTCGGCAGCAACACGTTCTCCTTTTGGGAACGTCGCCATGAGCGATGCATCGTTTGTGATTGTAAAGTCAGGGCACATCTGGAATATGACACGGTCGTTGTGTATCATAATTATGTGCTACTCGCCATTAATCAATCAAACAAAAAAATTGTAAAAAACGTTACAGCTCATAACATGAAGTAACACAGCTTTAACGTGAAGCTAGCTTGCTAACTAGCTTTCCAACACGAGTATTCATCATCCACAGAGCTCAGATGCTCCGGTGTTTCCAGGAAAGCTCAGCTTTGCAGATGCTGCAGTTAACCTTTTGGCTGAGTGGAGAGTGAAATGCTCCCACACTTTGGAGGTTTTAGGTTGTGAAGGTTACTACCAGCGCTGATGTATTGTTGTTTTAGTAACTTTACTGTTCACATCACTTTACTCTGTTACGGCCCGATAACATCATGAACAAATCAATAATTGAATTGTATAATTCAAATCGATTTTCAATTTACAAATTTAATAATTGATTTTTGTCGACTAATTGTTGCACCCCTACTTCCAATACATTGAAAATGCACATTTTCGAGTGGCCTTTTATTGTGGCCAACCTAAGGCACACCTGCAGCCTGCTGCACCAGTGATACGTAAGTTCTACCTTAAGTTATGGTGCAAAGTCCACACTAAACAATACGTTGAAACTAGTTAGTTAGTTTGAGAATGATATTTTGTTGCACCACTGAGACGTAAGGTGCATCTTAGCTACTCTGGTGTAAGGTCCATACTAATCAAAACAGTGTTGCAGAAAATGATGTTTACACATCCCATGGCCAATCAGTTCATTACGGTTTTGTCATCTGTTTGTCTCTCTCTCTTTCAACGTTTGCAATACTGAAGAGGCTATGGGCTAATTAGCAACAAAACACCAACAAAAAGGTAGGCCTACATATACAAGGACAATCATTATGATTAGGTGATAACTATAAAACCTTAATCTACAGCTAGTCCAACAGTGACAACGAGCGGTAAAACCGTTAACTACAACATAGACGTAATTTAATGGTGCCCGTAACCAACGGTAAAGTATAACGGGCAGATGAAATTGTAACATTATAACTTCTGTACGCGTAGGAGCCATTATCCCCCACATATTTCAAAATTTTGCCCAGTCACCCCACCTTTCAAAACGATGCGCCATGACAACCACTTGACTATTTTATGGAGGACTTACACCCATTAAGGACTAGGTCTAAGATTTAAGATGCAACTTATGTCTACGATGGATGCATTTCAGCTGGTGCAATATCTGAGAGAAACAGGCCTTTCATATATAGAGAAAGTCTTAGATCTTTGAGTTCATCTCATGATGAATGCAAAACCAAAAGTGTTGCGCTCAGTATATAGTCAAATATTAGGGCTGGGCATCGCGTTAACGCATTAATTAATTAACGCCGACAATTATTTTATCGCATGTTAACGCAGTTTTTATTTTATTATTAGTTTGAAAGTCCCTTGCTCACTGGCTCTGAATACACACAGGAGGGGCGGGATGTTGATAAGCCTGCAAATCAGCCACCCAAACAAGCAGTGCAGGGAGGCTTCAACAGACTACGGTTTCATCTTTTTTCCGTATTTTTCCATCCGCGATCCGTTATCACGGCAGCAGGTGAGCCGTTTGCTTAATGATGCAGCCTATCAAACAACTCAAACAGCCGAAAGCTACATCTGCACCCTGTGTTCAATGTTGCTTTAACGTTAACTGGTCTGTGCTTGTAAAATATCCACTGCGACTTGTAACGTCATTTCAAGTTTTTAACCGAGTGAAGTCTGTGCGAGTGAACACACGCACCAACCCCGCTACACATATAAACATATTTGTAGACACACAAGCAGCGAGGATGGCGGTGTTGATGCTGAACTAAAACTAATCTTGCAAGGTATTGTCATGAAATTTGGTACAAAGAGTCATGAAGCTCAGAGGATGAATCCTAGTGACTCTGGTGTCTTCACTGCCTACGAGGAGGACTGTATGTATGTATGTATGTAGGTGGGGTTCATGTTTTGCAGAAATCCTTTCCTGAGTGGATGAATTTGAAAATGCAGGCCTTGCATTTTACTATTGGAAAAAAAAAAGCTGTAAGACCGGTTGGGGGTCTGTGTAGTAGTAAAGTTAAGAAAACAACTTTCTGATGATCACACAATAAACGGTGCTGTCATTAAAAAGGTATTGTACTATGGCAAAGTTGAATAAAACTAGTTCATACGTGGAACTGACACACATTGTTTTCTCATTCATATGCAAATCTCATGCATGCAAAAGACCCCGGAAAAATGTGCGAATGGCAACAAGCGCTAGATGTGACGTAAAATCTAGGATCGTTAATATTTACGCACCCAAACTTTAGATTGACCAGCCCATGTTCCAGAGAAGCGATCATACTAGCTCATCAAGCTAGAGCTAGAGGTTGTTCAGTATGTCTCACAGATGCTAAGGGTCTGCAGATGAACAGCAGGGCAGTGTTGGGGTAGTATGGGGAAGCGGGTTAGGGGGCTAGTAGCCGGCGACAACAATGGTGGCAAGTTTTGAAGACGAGCTGACAGACCAATGCTGCAATTACTTGTATGATACATCATTGATGGTGCACAGTCACAAATATTCCATTTCAGAAGTAGACCTGCAAAAATGAATGCAAACAAGTCCGAGACGTTACGCCCATGCATGGCGGAAAACAAAATAGTAACCTACTCGAGTGTCGCCGTGCGTATATTGTTTACATCATGCAAATCCAGAACTTCAATATGATCCTGTGATACGAACCACCCATACCTGAAACGGTTTTAAAAGTGTTACCTCCGCACACAATGGCTGAGGTCACATCTCCCCAAACCAGTTAGCTGTCTGAGCCCATTGATGGCTCATGCAGGCAGTGTTGGCTCCTCACCCCACCCTCACTCTCTGCTCCCTTCCTCAGGCTGCCTGGTTGAGTGTCCAGGCAGGTTTTCACTGAGGGAAACCAAGAGGAATCTCACCGAACAAGCTCGCTAGTCAGTCGGTGACGTGGTTTGAGCAGAGAGACACAGCAGCACAAACAGAAACTGAGAGTAGGGGGAGTTATCTCTCCTCTGGTGGAGAAAGAAATGTTTCAAGATCTGCTGATTGCACAAAGGCTGAAGCCACAGACTACTCTGAATCCCAGTTTGCATTACGCTTGTTATTATTCCACTAATAAACAGAATAATTATCCAACTACTATTAAAACATCTCACTCAATGACGTCATTCTGTTTGAGACGTAAACCTATAACCAATCAGACAGATAAAACCCTGTCATGTGAATGTTTTAGATTAGTTTTAGTGCAGTCAAAACAAAAACCAAACACTGCCGGGCTTTCCGGTATTTATCAGCATTTTTAATCACACTGCATCTAATTCAGAGCTGCAACAATTAGTTGATGAACTGCTTGATCCATCAACAGAAACTTAATCAAAGACAATTTTGATAGTAAGTTAATCAACGTATTAAGAAAAATGTGCTCGTTACAGCTTGTTTGATATGAATTTATATAGAAAACAGTTTTAGTTACAACATAAATAAGTAGTAGGACATTAGCTTGGATTGTGGTAAACATCTGATGGGAATTTTCCATTTCCATCGACATATTGCACACTAGATTGATAAACGGATATTAAAAATAGCGGATCATTGCAGCTGACATTACAGTACTTTCTATTTTGGACACTCACAGCCGAGATGCCAAACTCCGATCCTCTTGCTGACACAAGTACTTCGTAAAAACATTAACAGATGTAGGAATTATTGAGCGTCTTAAAGGGATCGGAAAGAACACACACTCTGGAGTGATTGTTAGTTAGTTATGGCTTTCAGCAAAACCTCTGAAGCATGTATGTATTTACAAAACTGACAGCTATACGCTGGTAAAAAAAAACAAAAAAACCCCCAACAGGTCCTGACTTTTGACCCCTATAATCTGACTAATCCTTTCCATACAAGATCAAAGTAAAGTGGAGGTCCTAAGTAGGTCATGATGTTTGGCCTCCATAAAGCTGTACACCAAAGTTTCCCCACATCAACAGAGAAACACAACCAGGGGGGGGGGGTAGGAGGAGGAGGAGGGGCTGTATGAGGAAGTCAGATGCTTTTGTGGTTAAGGAAATAAACTGAGCAAAAAGGCCTGCGGCTCTGTATGTCTTTCTAGGGTTTTTTTGTGCCATGACATAGCCTGCTTTGTGTGCTCTCACCTACTTTCCTGGACAGATTGTGCCATTCGGCTACATCAGTGGTTCTCAAAGTGGGATCCGGGGTCCCCCAGGGGTCCTTGCCAGGGCTCCTTCCCCAGTAATAAAGGGAATCTTTTTTTTTTTTAAATACCATCCATAAGAACACTGACTGAATGTATGACTATGAGTGGTGGCCCAAAGACAGTGGAATAAACTTGCCTTGGTTATCAGGTTGTCCTCCCACCACCGAGACTTTTAGTCTTAAAACCCTTCTTTTTTTTTTTTTATTTGGCTTTTGAGTCTGTTTAGGGACCCTTGCAGGGTCCAAAATCAGCACCAGCCAAATGCTGGTAAAATATGCTAATAGTTTGTAGATTCACTTCACTCATGAGCCCGAAAAACAAATGGTAATCTATTGAGTGGCTGGTACACTTTGAGCATTCACTAGCCATTGGCTGATAGACAAAAAAGTTAATTTGCACCCTCGACAGTTTAACTGTCTTGTTTTTCTGTTTTTTGTTGCTTGTCATAAATTCATAGGCTTGCTGTATTTATTAGTTTTATTTAACTTTAGTTTTTATTTTAGTTTAGTCAACATTGGTTGAATTTATAAATGTGCTTTATAAATTCTTATCAAATGCGTGTCGTGGTCTAATTTGTGTCACATTAGTGGTCCTTAAGTTTGAGAGCCACCGCTTTTCATTCCTCTGTAACTTGCAGCTGCGCTAACATGAATTTCCCCATATGAGGGATTACTAAAGGCTTAACGTTATCTTATCTTAAAACCATAAGTCAAACGTGTTGTTGGACAGATCTAGTAGATTCCCCCGAGAGACAAGAGAAACATGCAAGTCGAGTGACATCCAGCTCAGTAAAACAGGATTTATCAGGCCTGGGCAGGTTTGTTTAGCCGCTCCCAGGTAACATTATCGTTAGTTACCTACCTGGCGATGGCTTTAAACTTAAAGTTAGCTTCAACATCCTAAAGGTTTTACTCACCCTGGCTCGAAGAAGAGGAGGTCTGGTAGTCTCGTCCTCAAAAACAACATGAATGGAAAGTGCTGTTGTGGCAATCCTTCGTCTGGACAGAACAGAAATTAGGATGGGAGTGGGTTGCTGGTGATGTAACCGCAAGCACTCGCAGGTTAGCCCGGCTAACGTTAGCTTGCTGTCGACGGGTTAGCAGCTTCAGCTAGCGGCGGTTGGAGAGGAGCTAGCTGCGGCTAGCTGTTAGCATCGAGCTGTTTACTTTCCAGCTGTCAGTGTCAGCGCAGTCCGGCTGCCTGTGGGTCCCGTTAACAACAGTTCAGAGTATTAAATAAATGCTGGCCGCGTTTAAGAGTCACTTTCTGTAGTTTCAGGTAGCTACGGAAAACTTTGCCCGCACTCTTGACCTGCGAGCAGAGCCATAACGTTACTCCCCGTTCTCACGGTTTTATCTGCCTCTTCTTCCCAGAAACCCGGAAACGGGTCGACCGACACAAAATGGAGGCAGATCTGCGCTGCGTTAAAGTGCGGTTGGAAAATCCAGTTTCCAAACTTCGAGGTCCCCTTAAATACTTAACTCTGAAATCTAAAATTTCTTTTGATCATAGCAGAGGGCTGTGTGTGTACACAGTGTGGATATATTTTCCGTAGATAAATCACATTTAAAATTCATCTAACGGCCCATTTCCCCTAAAATCGAAGAAACTCAATTCAAAAAACAATTAATAGGAAAATTAAAATCTTTAAAAAATTAATATAAATAAAAAATCTAGTTTAAAAAAGTAAAGAAAATAATGACAAAAGACAATTGAGAAATTTTAAGAAAAACGAAAAAAGAAGAAAATTAAAAAAAGAAAATTCACAATCTTTTAAAAGAAATTTAAAAAAACAAAATCTATAATCTAATCTAAATCTAAAATCTATCCACTTGCTGACTTTCTTAGAGAAAAGGTTTAAATTTTAAGTTGATCCCTATGTATTTTGTGAGGTGGCTAAGGAGACTTTTGAACACATGTTCTTTTATGTCCTGTGTCCAAAAACATCTGGTCTGATTTACATAATGGTTGTCACATTGATTGATGACTTTTAATTATCACATTTTTTCTGATTTGGTTAATATAATTGTTCTCATGGGTAAATATCACATCCATAGTAGTAAGTGGAGATATTCTTTTCATGGTGCCTCATTGAAAAAAAGTCGTGTCTAGTTTGTGTGTTATTATATCAATATTAATAAATAAATTATAGGAACGTTTAATTAATGGTGCGAAATCACGTATTGTAGGCTATAAAAATTTTTGATATTGGGTCATTTGTAATATGGTATTAGATTATAACTGTTTGCTGTCCATGTAGGTGAACTAGGTTAATTAGGATTAAGTTATTTATTAGCAGTAGGTTATTGGCAGTACAAGCAATATTTTAGGGTTTCAGATAATAGTATAGCTACTGGTGCAGTAACAACTCTAGGACAAAAATCACTTTGAGATAGAAAGCTTCGAACGTTTCAGCATACTTATAAAAATAACACAACGTCCATGTTGTTTACACATCGTGACTCAAATCACATGAACACACCGAAGTAGGAAAAATACTTAGTAAACATCCGAGGAGCACGTGAATGCAGCATTACTTATTAACAAGGCTGAAGAAGTTCCTTAAGGTTATTCATACGTTTTACCCCACCAAACACTACATCCTCATGTAGGTTTAAAATGAAATTGAACCTTCAACAGTACCTTCAGTGAGACACGTGTTAGTTGTGTTTATGTAAAACAATATATTTATACTTTATATTTTCAGGTTTCAGCTGTTTTGGCAGAATGTCCTATTTGGGGTTTCAGTAATGAAAAACAACACTCTGACCATTATTTTTCTGATTACTTTATGTTGCTTTCGTTTAAATTTCATATAGGCTACCTATTTTCCTTGAGAAAGAAATCGAACTTTACAACAATTAAAACAATTTGTTCTTGCCCAACAAAAAGGTTCTGAAGATACTTAATGTCTGTTCTCGTTTGAAGGTCTTGTTGTCTTGTCTTGTTTGTTTATGCTTATTCACTGTATGTACTATATGTGTGCATATCTGGCCATTAAAAGAGATTCTGATTTTGATTAAAGGGAAGTACATTTGACTCCACTTAACTACATTAGACAAAGTATATGATCAGTTTATATTAATCATCATTTTACATAGGATTATACTGTCATAGATTACCGACCCAACAGTATATGAGGAGAAAGAAATGCTCCATCTCAATGTTTCAACCAACTAGGCTACAATAAATTGCAGCTTACATGTTGACATGTCCCGCGACCCTGTACGCAGGATAAGCGGTTGACGATGGATGTTTACATGTTAATGCAACAATAATATTTTATTATAATTACATTATTATATATTTACTAATTAAATAGGGCCTAATAGCGAAATAAACTAATATTACACTCAGGATGGGGTCATTCTGCATAATTAGCATTTCTACTTTTAATAATAACAAGCATAATAATAAGTATAAAAAATAATAATAAGTTATTTTGATAAAAACAAGTAGGTATACTTAGGTAAGTTAAGTGTAGGCTATACAATTTTAAATGCAGACATTTTAATATAGTTTCCCCCCATTATATTATTACTTATTTAACATTTTAGATTTTTTGATCATTTTGGCTCTGTTAGCCGCCGGCATGAATTTGATACTGCACCAAATACTTCAAACCTGTAGTTTGTCCACCAGATGGCGCCACGACGACAAAGAACGAAACGAACTAATTTCTACAGAGGCTTCTGCTTATCTACCACCCCACGTTGTTCTCCTGTTTTGTCTGCCCCTCCCCTCCCTTTTCCTTCCTCGGTGACTGAGATTACTCGGAGCAGCATGCAGGGGAAAACATTAGCCCACAATGAAAAACACTTCACTTCACTTCCCATAATGGTCTGAACAACTCATATTCTGATAAATGACAAATAAAGTCGCTGTGGGTCTGAATAAAGTATAGAGGACCAAACTTCTGTGAAGCATGTGGGGGGGCGGGGCATGTCCATTACATTTTTTTTTCCTAGGATGGAGTGAGCTGGTAAGAATGTCAGGGTAAGCCAATCATTGGCAGAGTAGCAGTAGGGCGGGTCATGCTTGAGCCTTTTGGGGGGGGAAATACGGTCTTCTGTTCCTCCTAAATGCCTTTGCAACAATGAAAACATCAGGCACGCAGCTGCAGGGAAACCAGAAGACAGTCTGGGATTGAGACAGTTGTTATGCGGCTGCACTGTGTTTTAGACAAAACTATCACGCAGCTGGTACTTTAATAACTGACACGATGAAGAGACGTTTGACGGTGCAAGAATCTCCGAGGAGAGAACTGGACCCTCCCGACAGCGAGCAGGACTCTGATGAAGCCAGCGAAAGCGAGGACACGGATGGTGACTTCGAGGTCTCGCTGGAGTCTGAATCCTCCGATGCGTCCAGTGATTGTGGGGAGTCCACGGAGAAGACAGAAGATCTGGATGAATGGAAATCCACGAATGGACAAATTGTCTGGCATCGCACTGAAGCTGAGACGCTGCGTTACTTTCCAGAGAAATGTGCGCCCTGGGGACCGACACGGTACGCCACCTCCCGCATCACCTCTGTCAAGTCCTGCTTCGATCTGTTCATCACAGATGAGATCATCCAGCTGATTGTGGACATGACAAACGTACAAGGGAGACGTTCCGTCAGTCAGTGGAAGGACATCGATGCCACTGACCTGCAGGCGTACATCGGGCTGCTGCTTCTGGCTGCTGTGTACAAGTCACGGAACGAGTCCACCTGCAGCCTGTGGGGTGAACACACCGGACGGGCCATCTTCAGGGCCACCATGTCCCTACACACATTCAGTAGGATAAACTCTCATCTGTGGTTTGATGACAGGCAAACACGACCTGCGCCCCACAAGCAAGACAAGCTGGCTGCCTTCAGGACCATCTGGGAGAAGTGGAAGTATCGCCTCCCCCTTCTCTTCAACCCGGGCAGTGATGTCTGCGTCGACGACCAGCTCGTCCCGTTCAAAGGTCGCTGCGTGTTCCGCCAGTACATGCCCAGAAAACCAGCGAAATATGGCATAAAGATCTGGGTCGCCTGCGACGTCCTCACGTCTTACGCGTGGAAGATGCAAATCTACACCGGTAAAACTGCCGGCAGTCCCCCGGAGGTTGACCGGGGAAAGAGGGTCGTCCTGGACTTGACGGAGGGGCTCGAGGGCAACACCGTGACCTGTGACAATTTCCTCACATCTTATGCACTGGCGGAGGAGCTCCTGAAAAGAAAACTTGCTCTGGTCGGCAAAATAGGGAAAAACAAGCCAGAGCTTCCCCCGCAACTTCTGCAGACGAATCAGAGAGCGCCCCAATCCTCCCTCTTTGCGTTCACCAGGACGCACACAGCGGTGTCCTACATACCGAAAAAGGGGAAGAACGTGTTGCTCCTCAGCACCAAGCACCGAGAGCCGGAGGTGAGTAACAAGGAGCCCCGACAGCCAAAGATAATCCTCGACTACAACAGTTGCAAAGGAGGTGTGGACAACTTCGATAAGGTACCGTTACACATAAATTACGCACTCACTTATTTGTTCTTACTGAATGCATGTCCTTGTCTGAGATATATATAGTGCTTTTATTATTCGTTATTTATTGCATTTACATAAAGAATATATTTGTGGAAGAACATTTGTTTTATAAATAATGTTTTCTTTTGCAGAGTATCAGCACCTACAGCTGCAGGAGAAGAACCTGTCGGTGGCCACTTGTTCTATTTTATAACATCCTGGACGTCTCGGCATTGAATGCATTTGTGCTGTGGACAGCCTTGCATCCCTCCTGGAACAACAACAAAAGCTTCAAACGGAGGCTGTTCATGGAGGAGCTGGGGAAAATGCTAGTGTCCCCACAAATGCAACGTACACAAAGCCCTCCTCACACACCAGCCGCCGCCGCCATCGCGAAGGATGAGCAAGAGTCAGGGGAAACCCCAGAGAAAAGCGGGGACGCAGACTACACCAGCAGAAAACTAAGGAGGCCGTGCCAGTTCTGCACTGGAGGAAAACGAAAAATCGCCAGCACCTGCAACATGTGTAACAAGCATATTTGCAAAGACCACACATTCTCATACTGCAGCTCCTGCGGCCACTGAGCTGAACTTTAACCCACACACCACCCTTTCGATTCAGTATGCTTTATTGACATGAATGTCGGGGAACAATATCGCGAAAGCGTTAAGTGCAGGTAACAGAGTCATTTGGGACTTTATCTCTTAACCCAAGAATGTGTAGTGTTGAAGTTCAGAGGCCCCTTCCTCCAATTCTTCTGTGGTCCCTACTATAAATTCCTTTAGCCGTTCCCATCCCCTTTTTGTCCCCTGTGTGAGAGGTGGGTGTCATTTCTTTTAGTCCATTCATTATCCTAATCCACGCCATTTTTCCTTGTAATAGCCCATCTTGTTTGTATTTTTGTTTCCTAGAATGTTATAATTTCTGTCTTCACCTATAAGCACATAAAAATAGGCCTAGTTGTTTTAAGAGTGAGTGCTGCTAACTTGTAGTCGTGGCAAACTAACTTCCGTTTGGTATATTTGTTTTCTTGGTGCTGATAACTAACACGGAGATAACAGACACAGCGAGGTTTATGCGTCCCTCGGTTTGTGACATGAAATCACATATTGTGCAGCTCATGTGCTCCTAAAATCCAAAGTTTAAAACAAAACAAAAAAAATACACGTGCCTGGTTGCGCGGATCGGGTATTGTCAGCACCAACAGCCAATCACAACAGACTGTACTGCAAAGGGGGCGTGGTTTTAGTGCCACAGGCCTCAACGGGACATTATTGGTGGGTTTCTCAGGACGTTGTGTATTCCACCTGCTGCAAGTGTGGCAAAGATATTTTCATGCTGCAGCTCTCGCTGCACCCGAACTGACTTGACCTCTCTGCTCTTCAGTCAAAAAGCCGAAGAGTTGCCTACAGAGCCTTTCATTTCATTTCATTTATAGTATTTTATACTGCGTTTAATGCTGTAGACTTTTGAAAAATAAATCTTGTTTTAAGCGATCTTGTATTTTTTCTTTAGGCTAGGCTATAGTTATCTAAAGAATACTATTAAGTATAGTAACATACAGGGTGCGATCTGTGAAAAAGCGGGGGGGGGTGTCTTCATGAAAATGACTCCTGCCCCGCTGATGAACTGTGGATTACAAGTAGTTACACAGTATGAGAAAAAAAACTTTCTCCCAATGTTTATTTATATAGTAATAAAGATGTTACGTTACATCGCGATGCAGAGTTGCAGTGAGAATATATAAAAGACAGATGGAAGCTGTGTTTAATTCAGTGAGTGGGTAAGAGGAGAGAGACTGAGCCCCGTGGCTGTGCTTGGGGTTGTTCACACTGGTTCAACAGGGACACAGAAACAGATCTTAAGACTGTGAAGTTTATTGCAGCTTCAGTAATATCGGTTGCCTTCCCTTAAACACAAAGCTCACATACACAGAGAAGAGAAGCAGCTAGATAGAGCCAAGTAGCACATTTTAAAATAAAGCCACGGATCGATCCGACTGCACTGCACAAAAAGTTAGAAAAACGCATTAAAATCAATGTTGTTGCTAATACGTTTTTCATAAAAAATGTAAAATGTAATAAATGTAATTTAAAGGGTCTAAAAAATCTGAAATCGATAGTTATTAGCAGAACTGAAGTTAGTTAAAAGACAACTCTGTGAAAGTGGAAAATAATATGAATTCCTACCCTGGTCTGGATCAATACTCAATTCTGATTGGCTCTTGAGTGTCCATTAATTCCTCATAATGGTCACCTAAGTTGTTGTAGTGAAACATATCAGCCTGTATCTAAAATTAACTGAACATCGTATTTCATACAGTCCTTCAGCGCAAAGGTGGAAGTACCTTAAACCTGCATTTTTCTACCGACCGGCAGGGGGCGACTCCACTGGTTGCAAAACAGAAGTCACATTGTTCAGAAGTCTATGAGAAAATGCGCCCTCCTCTCCGCTGAATTATTACCTCAGTAAACACTTTCATAATGAGTTTATGGTCTCAGTCGCTAGTTTCAAGTTTTTTTTTCAACACAACATGATGTTCATTTAGTAAATTATTGTCTTGTTTAGAGGAAAATAGACGATTAATAAGAAATAATATTCTTTAGGGCGGAGCTCCCTTGTGACTGACACGTGACCAGTCAGGTCTCCCCAGCTCAGCCTGAGATATCCGATTACACAAATGTATATATGTACTAAATATTAAATCAAATAGGCCTACCTGTACTCGTTTCTACTCTTGCCAGAACTTTTGAGGCATTAAAATTTTACACCACTGCTTTTACGACATCAATTACACGATTCTTATATAAAGTGTTAATTATCTAAAGATAATGTACAGCCATCCAACAGTCCTTAACAGACTCAGGACCACCTGACCACCACACGTGTATGTTCTACTTGTTGCAATAAAAATAAATAAATAAATAAAATGTATTGCATTGAACAGTCAGGGAAATTACAAGTAAGGAGAGACATTACATCATGTAAAAGCAGCACATGTAATACGGTGGTGATATCGAATTTAAAATACATAAGATATAAATAAGACATAATGACATGTTCACATCAGAAAGGAAAAATCATCATAACAATGGCTTTTTGTTGATGAATTTGCCAACAATAATGTAAAGATTTATGATTAACAGAAGTTTGGAAATGTTCGGAGAGGAGTAGAAAAAGATGCAACAAGTTTCTTTAAAAGTTTCCAAACCTTTCCACAATCTCAGTATGTGGACCTACTTTGCTGTTTTTAAAATACTTTCTGACCAAAATACTGTAAAGAACAATATTTCACCATGTGTACCAATTGTAATATGTGTTTACTTTTACTCAAATATATGTAGTAATTTTGTATATTTATGGTATTTTACTACTTATGTTACTTGTGATAATTATTTCCATTACTGATAAAATGTGTTTGAGACTGTATATAAAGGTTTGAAACATAGACTGTATATAAAGGTTTGAAACATAGACTGTATATAAAGGTTTGAAACATAGACTGTATATAAAGGTTTGAAACATAGACTGTATATAAAGGTTTGAAACATAGACTGTATTTAAAGGTTTGAAACATAGACTGTATATAAAGGTTTGAAACATAGACTGTATATAAAGGTTTGAAACATAGACTGTATATAAAGGTTTGAAACATAGACTGTATATAAAGGTTTGAAACATAGACTGTATTTAAAGGTTTGAAACATAGACTGTATATAAAGGTTTGAAACATAGACTGTATATAAAGGTTTGAAACATAGACTGTATATAAAGGTTTGAAACATAGACTGTATTTAAAGGTTTGAAACATAGACTGTATTTAAAGGTTTGAAACATAGACTGTATATAAAGGTTTGAAAGCACAGAAAGTCAGGTGACTGTAAGGTGACGCATGCGCATGTAGGGTAGTGAAAGAGGAGTCACGCATGCGCGGTGTAAACTGAAGCATTTCCTGTCAAGATGGCGCTGAGCAGAGGAGCAGGGCTGTGGAGGACATGCAGCATGTTGTTACCCAGACACCCGCTCCTGTTCCCCGCAGCTGCCCGAACACAGAGCTCCGTGAGCCGGGACCTGGTGCCCCGGACCTCCCTGTCTAGGCCGCCGTGGCCGGAGCAGGCGATACTGGTCCCGGAGGAGGAGCGGAGCCGACACGCAGCGGTGGTGAGCACCGTGAACCAGCTCATCGACCAGCAGGACTACGGCCGGCTGTTCGCCATCGTGCACTTTGCCAGCCACCAGTGGAAGGTCACCACCGAGGACCTGATCCTGATCGAGAACCACATCGATGCGGAGTGCGGGGAGCGGATCCGGATGGAGAAGGTGCTGCTGGTCGGGGCGGAGAACTTCACCTTGATCGGCAGGCCTCTGCTGGGGAAGGACCTGGTCCGTGTCGAGGCCACCGTGATCGAAAAGACCGAGTCCTGGCCCAAAGTCCACATGAGGTTCTGGAAGAGACACCGGTTCCAGCGCAAGAGGATCATCATCCAGCCACAGACGGTGCTGAGGATCAACAGCATCGAGCTGGCCCCCAGACTGACATGATGATGAAGATGAAGAGTGGACGATGTCACACACAGACTGAGGGTTTATTTGTCCCCACTGATTATAAAGAAATATGTAAACAAACACGTGCAGGTCGGGGAGCCGGTTCATGTTAATGCAGCAGCAAACCCAACGTGACTCTCTGGACCGGGTTCCTGCAGAACTGTTGACAGGATAGTACTGCTGTAAATAAAGATCCATCTTTTGCAAATGACTGATATTTAATAGGTTTCTATTGATTTTGAATTCTCTTTTCTCGGTGTTAAAGACTCTCCATGTTTTTTGCATGCAGGAAAACAAAGTTTCTTCAATACAGTCTTTTTTAATATCTTCATATATGGCCTGGCTGGGTTTTACATTTATATTTGTCTTTATCATTATTCTTCAATACAAGACTCCCGAGTTTTAACAGGTGGTGAATGGAAACATTTAACCATTAATTTTCTTAAAAATATCATCTAAAAAACTGCGTCAGTGTTTCCAGTAGCGTGTTTGATCATCAGGTACTGATTAGAAAGATGTTAGGAAGCTTAACTAACTGATTGATACCCCATTTGTAATATCAAACATTTTCTAGATGAAAATATTTATTTAATAGGTTTCTATTGATTTTAAATTCTGAAAGTATTAAAATGTGTTAAAGACCTACATTTGCCTTGAATGCAGGTAAACAAAGTTTCTCAAATTCAGTCTTATTTATGAATCTTTAAATCTAGACAACAAACCAACATACTTATATTAAAAAAAAAATTAGTTCATTAAAAAGTTAGTAAGTTGATTAACAAAATATAATCACAGATACTTTGATACCCCCCTAACTCTTTAGCAGGTAAAAAATCTTTGCTGGTTTCAGCTTTTCAGATTGTCAGGATTTTCTGGTTTTCTATGTTTACTGCACATGAATCTGTAAGAAAAATAATAGCTGCAATGAAAGGTCTATCCTTCCTTATTTACTGGGTTTAGAAAAGTCTTAAAATGAGGGATTAAAAGGTTTGATCTTAGTTTATGTTGTCTTACTCATGGGCATGTCAATATGGCTGGGTTTTATATTCATATATGTCATTATTACTATTCAATACAAGGTGGTGAATGGAAACATTTAACCATTAATTTACTTTAAAAATCATCTTAAAACTGCAGTGTCAGTGTTTCTGTGTGGCGTTTTTGTTTGTTTGTCAAGTACTGATAAGAAAAATATTGAAGTTTTTTCATTTTGTAGACTTGTTGTGGCCCTGTGGAAAAGCTGCAGTTATGTAGTCACACAGCATCTGCTGCTGAGAAAACAAATCTAAAACAGATTATGATACATTACGATCTCGGTCATTGTAACAGTATAAGGACCTTGTTTAAACATCATTAGGACACATTTATAGCCTGAATTAAAGTTAGTTAAGCTACATTTCTCTCAGAGCTACTAAGGAAAAAAAAGAGACAGTTACAGTGCTCATTAACGGGGTAATGAAGGTCCCAGCGTCTCCACCAGCCTTCTGGTAACAAGGTTAAATCTGAAACAAACAAACAAAAAAATCAACCACAGACAAAAACATTTTTTTAAACAGTCTGCAAAAGAACTGCTTTATTTAGAAACCTTATTGAATCGTCTCTGGAAAACAGGAAGCCCGGCTCGGCTGTTCACCCCTGCAGAAGACGGGATCTGAAGGCACTGTTGAACATTTCTGCTCAGTGGTCGCAAGTTTACTCGTAAGCTGATGTTTAAACTGGGAGCTTGTCCAACAGGCAAGGAAAAAAATAAATAAATAGAGAAGAAAAGAACAGTTGCTACTAATGTTAACAGGCCGGTGGCATTTTCAGCAGCGTCTTCACCTTCGCAGACGTCCCAATGAACTAAACCGTCTGCTTTGGTGAAAGTCAACAAAGTACCATAATCCTTACGCTCAGGCTTTCCTTTACGTCCAACAACAAACCTGCCCTGTAGGAAAGTTAATGTCATTAAAAAAAAAAAAAAAAAGAGCTGTATTGCTGTAAGCTTTTAGACATTTAAACCCGAACACATCCTGCATGGTGTTGATGAGCAGAGATAAGACAAGTGGTTTCTTTCATTTACAGGCCGAGACGAGAGTCCGCCACAACAGTTTGAATGCTAAATTTGATTTGAAGTAGAGCTGCAACTAATCTATTAGTTGTCAGCTGCTGATAATCGATTAATCGGTTTGAGTAAGTCAAAATTCTCTAGCTTCATAAATGTGAACATTTAAAAAAAAAACAAAAAAAAAAAAAAAAAAAAAACGAGGTCATCTTGGGCTTTGGGAAACACTGATCGACATTTTTCAGACCAAAAAGAATCGAGAAATTAATCGACTATGAAAAATAATCGTTAGTTGCAGCCCTAATCTGAAGAATCAGGATAAAGTTTAAATGGTTTGGTTCAAGTCCATCTTAACACAACACACAGATACCTTGTATACATTGTGAGAACTATGGGTCGCTGTAATCTTTCCATCTGTCTGTGATCCCTTCTAATGTCATTTCATTGTTAAGAGGAGAAGGACAAAAGCCTTCTGTGTTTAAATAAGTTGAAGCTTCAGCAGTCCGAGTTAGACAAACAAGGTGAGTATCTTCATCCTGCTACTTGGAGTGGCGTCCTTGCCTCAAACCTATATGCGACTAACCAGGACGCTTCTCAGCCACATCTCAGTGAGGAAACTTAAAATGTTATGTGTCCAATCTGTAAACAGATAATTTTGACGATCACTTGATTGACCGGAGTTGAGGAAACTCACAGGATTTTAATTACTCAAGCTCTACTTCTGTCACTACTCATGTCAAGTGCCACACCAAGAATGCCCGTTATCCCCATTTATACGATTCAACACATCAAGACTTAGCCTGGGAACCAGACGAATCTACCGAATTCACGTTTCATTTGCTCTGGCAGTTGCTTCTGCCCCCCCCCCCCCCCCTCCTTCTCATTCAAACCGGCACCCACCTGTCCTGGAACTGGTCGGGCCAATCACAACCATTTATCTCATATTGGGCGAGTTAGATACGATGACCGACAAGACGAGCGTCACCGGTCCAGATTTGAAAAGTCGCATGTCACTGCTCTAAGTGGTCGTAGGTCTGTGATGCACCAGGCTCAAGAAACTCAGATCCAACTGTCGAACTAGGCAGTGAAGTCGCTTTGGGAAGGGGTCACTTCACGACTAGTGTGAACATGAAGGATGACAACAGTGACTGTTAAGAAAAACCCAAACTTTTCCTTTAGACTCCAGAAATGTCTCTAACTTGGCCTTTTGGTTGAACTGCAGTTCAATAGAGAAAATCATAAAGGCCCAAAGACAGGGTAAATGTTATTTTGTCATGTCACCAAACATACACTTTTCTGATCAGTCTGGCTTCACTGGTGATTTCAGCAGTGAAGTTTTAACTTGCAACTTAAATTTTTAAAAACTTCTTTGTTCTGGTTTTATCTGGTATGTATGTTTGTGACAACTGTATATAAAGATGGACGAAAGTGAAGCCAAAACACCCTGATCGCCCCTGCATTAATCATCAACCATATATTATTTTTATTAGTTATTTAATTAGTATTTGACGCTATAAATACGGGGTTTCACGTCATGATTGACAGCTGAGCCTCGTTCATAACCGAGTCGGCCAGGCGTACAGCGAGACTAGGCTCAAAAAGTGTCGTCCATCTTTATATACAGTCTGTTTGATCACAGGGAAAGGAATTGTTAAAATGACTTGTTAATACATTTTCTCATCCATACAGCATGAAAGATGTATCTTTTTATGTATCAAGGTTGACTGAGCCAAATAAGCAGAATCTCCTCCTTCTGTCGCAGCAGCAAGGCAGGAAACCGTTTTCAAAACAAAATCTCAAGTATAATTTTCAAAAGTCCGATTAGGATTGTCCAAAAGATCGACTCCTCTTCCTGAAAGTCCTCCTCTGCCTCATGAGGGGATTGCCCTTGCCTTTGTCCGTCTTCTGAAGTGTATAAGCCCTTTTCAAACGGGTCCACGGGCACCATCTGATCGTAAAACACTCGCATTTCAAACTCGCTCTCCTTGTGAGACGGGTGGCCGTAAATGCCGATGCCCACGGGCCTCGCAAAGTCCCCCGGCACCACCACCACATCCTGGCCGCAGGTGACCGACTGCAGCTTGTACGTGTCGAAGCTCGGCCGCAGGGTTTTATCCGACACGTAGAGATCCGCGTCCCCCTTGAGGCTTTGCATGTGCAGGATGATTCTGCCATCGTGGTTGAGGCGCAGGTAGCTGTAGTTCCCGGCCCCGATGTGGCCCTGAACCACATGGAGCAGCACCCAGTCTTCGGGTACGCCGTCGTCCTCCGAGGAGTTCAGGAAGCCTCTTACCTGGGACAGCAGGAGGCCAACGACCAGAGCGCTGCAGCTCAGCATCATGGCGAAGGCATCAGTCAGTCAAACACCGCCTGGACGACACCAGACAGCCTGACAACAGGACGAGAAGCATTATGAAGCACCCCAACAAAAAAAAACATGAAAACATTCAACTAGGGCTGCATCTAATGATACATTTCATAAATGTTCTAGTATTTAAAATATCTGACAACAGTGAAAAATGCTGATCACAAAAGGCACCTTTTATTCATAAGGTTCAAAAGTGGATTTGAACCAGCAAATGTTTGGCATTTCTTTGATAGATTACTTGTTCAGTCAGTTTTCTCACGATAGACTTTCCAGATGGGTTAAAACATTTTCTGTTATTCAGCCATTTTCTTATCCTGTTTCTTGTTATTTGGACCCACTTTAAGTCTGGGACCAAACAAGATTAAAAAAGCAGCACATCATACAAACCACTAGGGCAACAACTAACGATTATTTTCATTATCGATTAATCTGTCGATCATATTCACAATTAATCGATTAGTTCTTCATCTATAAAATGTCTATCAGTGTTTCCCCAAAGCCAAAGATGACAATCTCAAATGTCTACTGTTATAGGAGTAAAGAAACCATAAAATATTAACAATAGAGCTGAAATGAGAGAATTAAAATTTTTTGAGATTAACTGATTATCAAAATAGTTCATTTAATTGTTGACAACTAATCGTAGCAGCTCTAAGCACTGACATTTGTACCACTACAGTTACAAATGCAATGTGAGTATACACGGTGTTTGTGACTTATGAATCATACATGATGTGGTCCAAAACAAATCTTGGCAGTGTGAGATCATCTTAACACCCAGACTGACTGATCTGAGCAACATTAATGATATAAATAATGATCACTATGACTAAACTCCAGCCCCCCCGTGACCCTCTACACAGAATAAGAGGCTGACGATGGATGGCTGGATGACTAAGTGGAGTGAAATATATTAGTTCATGTTAATGTGACAGAGTCAGGATGATGTTATCAGTAGTCCCTATTGGCCTCCCAGCCACCTCCCATTCTCTGTGACACCCTTCAGTCAGTACTGGGAGAATATGTTTTCACGGTAAAAAAAATTAATATCAATCGAGATCCAACAAAGGTTGAGGTCAAGGCCAACTGGACTTGGTTGAAGAAACTTCAACTAGTTCTTCAACCAAGTCCAGTTGGCCTTGACCTCAACCTTTGTTGGATAACTATGACCTGGATGACTGAGACCCTTCACAGACATGTCATTCCAGACCGATAATTATCACAATAAATATCAAATCATTACTGCTGTAAGTTTAACAGCTTATTTTTGCTCCTGAGTGAAAGTTGAATTGTGGTTTTAAACTTTTTTTTACAATCAGAACAAACACGTTTTCACGATTAATCGTTTAGTCTAACAGGTCAATAAATTGTGAGAAATGCTCTTCACAACTTTCCCTGAGCCCAAAGTGACGTCGTAATATTTCACATTTCTGCTTGAATAAAATGACAAACGATTAATCTATTATTCCCCTCGGGGATCAATAAAGTTCCTATCCATCTATCTATCAAAATAGCAGCTCTATCCACTAAGACAACTGTATCAATGAAAAATGAAAAGGAAAAGGATGCAGCGCACAAAACAAAGTACCTAATACTTCTTTATTAACGCACCGCATTCAGTATTTTTGGTTTCCTGTTAAATGAAACTCATTAACCAGCACAAACCTGAGCCTCCGCTTTCTCACTGTTCAGTGAAATGTGAGTCTGAAAGAGCTAAAAATAAACTCACCGGTGAGTCTGACCTTTGATACGAAGGAAAAAATGATTTCAACGGCTGTTTCACCAACGAATCACCTGATATTCGCTATAACGTTCAGCTTCATGGCTTACAAACGACATTCCTGTGAGAAGTTAAACATTAAAAAAATCCTGTATATTTGTTTATCGACAACTAACTAAAACCGATTCGTCCCAATAACTTAACGCTGAATTTTGAGTTGAAGGCTAAACCTGCTAGCACAACACCTGTCAGCAGTTTCAACCTGTGCAAACAAATAAAGATACATGTTAAAATATATAAGTATTTAGTTATATAACCTTCTTACCTGTTATCTCACACTGCGCTTAGTATAAAGTAGTCTAGCGTTCGCCTGAGCTAACAGCAAGCTACTTAGTTAGCTATCCCGCAGCTAACCTTCCTGCTAGCTTGCTCAGTTTGAACTAAATCCGCACAAGTTTCCGGAAAAGAGAAGAAGCCGAATAACTTAAAACTTGCTAATTAAGTTAGGAAATTGTTATTAAAAATGTATTCATTCGCAGTTTAACGCTCCCACTCCGTTTACTCACATTGCTGTCATTTCCTAACCAGCATCTTCGTCAGAACACAGCAACCTGCTGGAAACAAAGTTCACTTCTTCACATCCTTTTCCTTTAGCTCACAGCCAACAGCAGAGAGCCGCTCGCTGGCGCCACCTACCGGCGAGACCTGCGAACCACACCCACCAGGATCCGATTAAACCGTAACCATGTGATCACTTTTTGAGACCAACACAATAATAAAACGAGGATAAGAGAATATTATGCAAAACTTTTATATCCAAAAATTCCACAGTGTTGAGGATATTTGAAGGCTCTATGTTATTTTGCATTTTAGGCCTACTCTTCCATTTTTACTGAATCTGAAATAAAAGGTTTTCTTGGCCCTTAATGGATTTCTGATATTATATATTAATATTATTTTACAAGTACATTTTTAAAACATCAGTCCTGATCATACCATTACTTTTCAGGATTTTAACATTTTAACTGCCAATTAGTTTACATAATGCCGCTGCTAATTTTCTTTTTTTGGGGGGGGGATTTGGCAATGAGCAGCAACAAAATTGATTTATATGCATTTTTCTAGTGCAGTCTCACATTAAAGTAAAGAATCTCAACTCATTTTTCATGTAAAATGTTAATTATTGGGTTTTACTGAGCCTCTAAGCCTACATCCTTGAAATGTCCATCTCTCCAGGTTTGAATTGTCCGGTCCCACCCTCCCTCACAAAGCTGCATATAATTAGTAGGGCTCAAAAACAGCCAGACTTTGTTTTACTTTTCCCTGCAGCGCTGCAAGATGCCCATGTTTTTATTACTTGAGAGTGCATGTGTGGGGGCGTGTGCGGCGTGCATATGATAAGGATCCATTATAGAGCGGCTTTGAACTTACAAATGTAAGAGCAAATGGAGGAAAAAATTCCACAAGAACCACATGCTCTTGGCTCATGAGGTCATCCAATGTACACAGGTACACTCCTACAGCACAGACACACACAATCTTCAAAGCTTAGCACACTGTAACTTATATACAGAAATGTACTGCACCATTTACTATTTTCTAGTTGCGTGCGCATGTTCAAGCGTGTGAGTGGATGGATGGTGGTATGTGCATGTGTTTGAACGAGGGAGAGACAGGGAGGGAGGAATCGTATCTTCTGCACAATGTATTTTCTATCTGTGGATGCTGCCATAGCTGGACATGTGTACACACACACCTCTTCAACAGCCATCAACACGCACACACAATTACTGACTAATCTGCCAAAAGCTGCAATAGGAAGCCTGGACTCCTTAATTAAAACCCGACATGATAGACTACATGAATTGGGACCATCATTGCCCAAATACCATATGCATTAACACAGCCAAAAATAACAGAAAAATCAAATATGATGTTCCTAATGAGGGACATCCCTAATAAGTATGGCTAAAAACATTTGAATTTAAACCAGGAACAAATACAACCCAAAAAAAACAAAGTCCAACTGGAGAAACTCTGTAGAGGTTTAGTCAACTTGCCAGTCCCACACTGGGATATGACCCTGTTTTATGTCTGTAATGTATTTTGATCAAACACACACGTTTTAGATTATGCACAATGTACGTAAGCGTAACTGAGTTCAAGTAAGTTTTTGGGTCATCACAGACCATGTCTGGCTGACAGTAACATTTTTCTTACATTTACTGGCAGCTCTCCGTTTCCTCTCAGATAAATGGCAAAAAATGTCCCCAAAATACATAAATATAATATAATATTCTGACAAATGTGTCTCTACAAGACAGGGCCCCAAGATCAGGTAAACAAGAAGCAGCTGCAGGGCTCTGTCGTTCCTCTTGTCTCGCTCTCTTCCCTCATTTATCATTTTCTGTATTATCTCTACTGTCAGCCACCTAATAGAGACCCCGCAAAAACATATTATTTAAAATGTAGCTGCCACCCTGAGGCCATTACCATTTTAGTTTTTAATTGTGCTCTAGTGGGGCATATTGTATTACCAACACAGACAACCTGAGGCCTTTGGCACCCTTGACAGTCTGGGGGTCCGCTTTCCCCACTTGTGTTCCCTACTTAGTTGATTAAAAAAATAAAAATAAATAAAAGATAGAAGACATGATGTTCTATATCAAAAAGACTTCCACGTGTACCCGTCGCTGCAAACAGTGGAAAGACTTGTTTTAAACAATTAAAGAGCAGTGACACATCTGAGAAATGTCTCGTAGTGACAGACACCGGATCAAGTGTTACTTTATTGGACTGCATATTTACGTTTGCCTTGGCATCACTGAAGTCAAAGCCGTCCTACCCGACAAGATTTTGCTCTTCTTTAACTCAGAACCACAAAGACATCCCACATGTTGAACTAACTTCATATTCATTAGAAAAAGACAAGACGGTCAACACAAACTCAAAGCTGCCTGATACGTTATGAAACCAAAATGTGCAGACGTTTGAATTTTCTCTCTGTAATCATCTGTGTCAATCTGTAACCAATTCATTTTTCATTGGGTGTAACTCAGCTGAGACATATATGCATGTTATTCATCAGTTTCAGTGCTGCTTTAACCATTTGTAATCCAATATGATCATCTCCTCACCTTGTTGATGTGCGAGATAATACAAAATAAATTACAAATCTGTTTCCAGGCATGCACACTCACACCTCACTCATTAAAAGTCAACGTGTACTAATATCACATAATTTGTTTTTATAATCCTTTTTTTTCACTTTAATGAACACCAACTGTATTTTTAAACAAAAAATTTAAAGAAACAAAAAGATAAACTGAAAAAAACAAAAACAACAACAAATGTTCCGGGGTGAGGGGCGTGGGAGGGTCTCGACAACAGGTTGGATGACTTTGTAGGGATGTTTTCAAAATAAAAAAAAAAACCACATCAAATTTTAAATTCTATATAGATATACTCGTTCAACAAGTCTGCATAATCTGTCACATTAGATACACTTGACGTTATGTGGAAGTCACCTATCATCACCACTTCAGTGTTAAATATTTACTGCAAACCAGTCGGCCGACTTAAGGCTTCCAAGTTAGACAACGAAGTCAAGTCGATCTGTCTCGTCCACAAAGTCCGGACCGGGCCTCCTCCGCACTCTCAACCCTACTAGGAGGCGTTTCCTGATGTTACTTCAGAACGAAAAGGCCCCGAAAAAGTAGTGTTGCCATCTTTTGTTCTTTCTCTCTCTGCTCAGAATATAAGATTATCTCAACATTTAAATAAATCACTGCATCTGATGTCTTATAAAACACGCCACTGTCTGGCAGATAAAGAAACGGGAGTTTAAATATGCTTGTTGATGATTCAGACTATACAAACTCTGTCTGAACAGAGCTTGAGGGGTTTTAGGGGGAGGTGGAAACAGGTAATCATGAATTTTTCCATTTAATTCTTTTAAAAAGGAACATCATCTGCAAAAAAAAAAAAAAAAAAAAAAATGCTTGCATTAAACAGTTTACAATGTAGTACCATGCTAGCGCTGCTCGCCTCATCCTAATCGTTTATTAGCAAATGGAGAATCAGTGCTGTTGGAAACTACAACACACACTACTGTCTGTTAACCCCCATTCTGTCCAGGGGCCTTCTGCTTTCACCCAATCACAACGCCCGAAAGAGAGGGAAACAGGAGAAAAGGGGGGAAAAAATTCAACACAATAAGAAATAATTTGTTTGTACAGAAAACAAACGGAAGTAAACAAAGCAGCAAATGCAAAAAAAAATAAAATAATCACACATCATGCATTTAAAATGAGTGGCAGCAGCAGAAAAAATTGGGGGAGGTAGGGGGGGGTTCACAGTTTTCTCAGCTACGACGCAGAGATGGATGAGGGTGTGCATACGGGGCAGGTGATGCAGAGTGCGTTAGCAGGGTTAGTGATCATTTCGAGCGACGTGGTGTTTCTGCGACTTCGCTGAGCATCGGTTTTATAACGTTACTTGTTGACTGCAGATGTCGTCTGCTCGTGGGCAGAATGGGGGTAAAACTACATTCCTGGTCTGACTAAGATGGATTTGCTTTGTTAAACGTAGAAAGAGTCTCTTTGCGTTTCCAACACTCTGTTAAATTCTTGTCTTTGTCTTCTTGATTCATACAGTTTCTTTAGAGAAATGAAGCCTGCTGTTACGCTCTGGTCTCCCGCTCTGGTCTGTATTGACGGGGGGGCCGAGGCAGCTATGATGCTGGGAGGTCCGCGCTGGAGGGAGGGGGGAAGGGGGCTGGAGGAGACGGCGGCGGCGGCGGTCGGCTCAGACTGGGGGCGCTTTGCGCTGCAGCAGATACTGCTGGATGTCGTCTGCGTCGCGCTTCAGCCAGGCAGCATTTAGGAGGATGTTCTCGCAGCACTGCTGCACTGTACGCTCAGCTGACGGCGTCGGGTGACTCTCAAAGAAACTCTGCAGGAATAGAAACATACAGAAACCAGTTTTAAAAAAAAGGGTGCGGAGCTCTTGGGAGGAAAATACAAAGAAACAAAAAGCCACGATGTCCCTCTGGGCTCCTGGACTTTTTTCAGTTGTCATTAAAATGCTCAAAAATAGAAATTTAAAAGCCTACATGTCCTTGACAACTGCAAACTCCACCTGCAGATGTAACGTGTTTGAAAGCTTTCAGAACAGCCTTCTCGTCAAACTGCTGTTTCTAAGGTAAAAATCTTTATTCTTTTTCAAACAGAAGCAGGTAACTAAAGCTGCTGTATGTAGGTTTTTTACAATCAAAGAGGAAAGATAAAAAGTCTCTGCATTATACTCTGCAACGAAGGGCTTCAAGTCTTTTCTAAATTAAAGGTACGAGTCCTGTAGATACAGAGATACCGGATGATGAAAATATGAATGATTTGATCCTTAAATACTTGGACAGTAATCTGACAAAACAAACAAACAAAACAATGCATAGCACCCCAATAAGACAAAAATAAAGATTGATAAGTGATACTATGAAGGCAAATGCAGGATTTCATACAAAACGATAATCAGAGTTTAAGGTTTCAGGGTGAAAACCGAATGATTAAGGCGCACACGACATAAGAGCAACCTCCACCGTTAGACTGCACCCGCCGCCCCCACCTCTCTGCCCACGTTTACTTCCTGTCTAAACTGTCGACCATTAAATAAAAAGGCAAAAAAATGTTTCCTGTTATATTTTAGATTTGTAGTACCACAACTTGTTATGGAGACGGTATTTCAGGACTGTGTTACTGAGGGGTTGTTGTGAAGTCTTCTGCCCCCTAGTGGTGAAAGTACCCCCCTCACATAATTCAGTTCCCATTTCAAACTCTGTTCCAAATAAAATAAGATGTAATGATTTATATTTGTGAATTAGCACACATTCTCCCCTCCACTTGAAAACTTTGTAAAGCAAGTGAGCAGTTCTGTGAAGCGCCCTCACCTTCACTTCAGCAGCCATTTTGTCGACAGCAAATCCATCAACTGAGAGCTGCAAAGACGAGAAACAGGTGAGCTCAATAAAAACAAAAGCAAACAGTCGCACAGAGAGTGAAGTCCCTGATCTGCCTTGTGAATATGAACAGACCAGAAACTGAATGATTAACCTTTCTGCTTATTCATCTAGCAGAATAAAAAGGTGTAGTTATCTGTGTTTGAGGCCGTGATAACGAAATTAATCTTACACATGACCCCATGAGATTTTTCACCTTGATGAGCCGTGATATGAGGAAGCCGCCTTGGTAGCGGTTGTAAAGCTCCTCCCAGTTGTCCTTGACAAACTTCCAGGCAGCTTTCCGGCCATGTTTACTGCTTCCTGCCACTCCCCCGATTACTGACACCGTGTCCTGGGGACGAACCTCTTCCTGTCGGGGAGAAGAACCAGAGAGAGCTGTAGTGAGGCTTGTTTCAGATGCAGTCAGCATCAGCAACTTGGAGTCGAAAAGGTCTGAAAGTAAGCAACCTACTAAAACCATTAAAGGTCCCATATTTCCTCATTTTCAGGTTCATACTTATATTTAGGATTTCTACTAAAAAATGTTTACGTGCTTACATTTTTTTAAATTCATCTTTTTCCTCATACTGTCCATTGCTTCAGCACCTCTGTTCACCCTGTTTGAACACTGGCCTCCCTCCCTGAAATCCCACTTTCTTCTGATTGGCCTACTTGCAGGAAGCCTGTCGAGGGGCAGGAACTAGCTGGCGCAGGGCTCACACACGCGCAGGGAGACTAGGCCTCACTGATTACTGAACAAAAACACAACTTTATAACTTTATTCTCTGGTTTTAATGAAACTGGATCAGATTTTATGGAGAAAATATTGTCTGGTTTTCCCTCTGATGTCCTCCGGCTGCTCTGCATCAATTTTCAATGATGACCCGATGTTGTTAGCAGTTACTTTAGCCGCTAACTAATGCTAATGGTAGCTGCTGTGCAACTAGATGTCCTATTAACTGACTCTGCCTGGACTGGAAGCTTGGTGCTCTGGGGTGTGTTGGTGTTTATACCTCTAACGTTAGTACAGAAGCTTTGGACCGCTGGTTCAGGCAGAGCCGGCTGATAACAGCAGCTAGCTCTTACTCTGGCATTAGCAACAAGCTATCTGTCCATCAGAAAACAACTGTAGCAGAGTTGAGGCAGAGCAGCTGGAGGACATCAGGGGGAAAAACCAGAGATTTAACTTTTCTTAATAACTGTAAAAGCACTTTCTGCGAGACAGACTGAACGACCTCCAGCTGTAGCTCGATGGATCGACCGCTTGGTGTTGTGTGGTACGGTGGGGCTGCGGGCAGTGTGTTCAGTATGTGTTCAGTGTGCGAAGCCTCTACTGCGCTGAAGGGGGTCCTATGCTAAACAGATCCATTCTTGATATTAAGAATGGAGGCCAATTAAAACGCCGTGTTTGCACACATTTACTGAAAGACTGAGCAGGACAAAAAGAGAGAGGACATTCAATGAAAAATAAATAAAAAACAGAAACTGGGTCTGATTTTCCTCTAGAGCACACGGTTGTGATAATGCTGGTTAAAAACAGAACTTTACAATAAATCAAAGTTCTTTCATTTCCTTTGTCACCCAGAGAAACAAAACTAAAACTTTCCAACATGAAGTAAACGTGGTCATGTGTACCGTGAGGGCAAAGCTGAGGACTTTCTGGATGAGGTCCGGGGCAGAGATGGCGCCCAGAACTCGCTCGATGCGGTTCTTCTCCTCTTGCATGTCGGCTTGTTTGTGGAGCTAAATGGGCGAGCGACACATACATGTATAAGAAAGAGAGAAAGAAGGGTGGAGAGAGAACCGTGGATAAAATGAGTTATGAAAGAGAAAGTGAGCTCAAGAACATGATAAAATAAATCTGGTTTTGTGAAAATTATCACTTATTTTAGAATGATTATGATAAAGTTCAATCCCCCACTAAATTTAATTTGTTAGTGTAATTGTCCCTGAAGATCTTCATGTCAAAGTAACATGCAAGCTGCAGTCTACCTTCAGCATTGTGTCCAATACGGCACTGTCTCCATGTTTCAGCACTGTTAAATACACCTGAAACAAGAAAAAAATAAACAGTCATGATGATACTGAAACATGATCTTTGCTATATTAAAAAAAAAATTAAAAAAATTGTAGTTTGCGACATTCTACTGGATTATTTCATACTGGTCAATCCCTGAATTTTCCAATCTCTGTATGAGGAGCCATTTGGACTTGTGGTGTAACCAGTATAAACGGCGCAGTGGTAAAGGCCTGTGCTACTACGACATCTTATTAGGGCATCATTGCCCATATATAGACTTTACCTGGGCGGGCCACCCAGGTATATAATGTGTATTTGACGACCCATTTAAGCATTTTGCAACAAAACACAGAGAGGTTATCTGGTATTACGTTACAAGGATATTTCACAAGCACAGACCAGGTAAAGCAACAGTGAACACACCAGTGCAGAGGACATTCTGTACCACGTTTGTTTCAATCATATGAAAGGCTATGTTATTAACAGGCCTCCTCCACACGTGGCGCACCTGCTGCTGTGAAAACTGAATCGCAGTTAGAAAAAAAAAACAAAAGACGGGTTCTGTGTGTTTTCGGCAACTTTATAAAATGTACTGCTGATGGAGCAGAGACAAACAGGGAGGGAGAGAGAGACAGGAAGAGGCGGGGCAAACAGCCCTCACATAATAAGCCACTTCCACCAGCCAGTTTTATGAAATACTTCCTTCCTGTTCAAAGAGCAAAAAGTATATAAAAAAATGGGGAAGAACTGCAGACATTTATACAAGACACATGCTTACAAGAGGCTTTGTTGCAGTCGGTCATATGTGCCCAACTGTCTGAAAGCTTCACCTCTTCTCTCTTGACTGTTATTAATAACCCCCCCCATGTTGTTTTAAAAAAAAAAAAGTACAATGGCCCTAATGTGCTGTCATAGCTACACAGGCAGGGCCAAACAAATTCACACACACACAGAAAAAGAAAAGAGGGTTTCAGCCATGTTTTGGAAATGGTTTGTCATTACAAAGTCAGAATATTAAACAGAATACAATTATCTGTTTTTTTAATCACTAACCAAAAAGACAAACCATGTTGAGCGCGAAGGCTGTTTAACAATGTGCTTTAGAAAAATGACAACAAAACAAAAACAAAAAATACTCGGGCTCATGGGTCGTGTTTTGTTTTGCTTACCGGGCTCCTGAGGTCTGCAGGCAGGGTCTGCTTGCCTTCCACGTGGTCCTTGAATCTCCGTCGGGCCTCCTCCAGCGTGGGCTTGTGTCCTGCCTTCCCCAGCTTCCCCAAAACCAGACTTCTCAACAGGGCGTCCAGGTGACCTGCAGGGCAAAAACGTCACGCTCAAGTTATCGTCTCGCCGCAGCACTGTGACCTTCAAGAGGACAGTTCATAATAACTATCTCCATCCTTTAATTGTATAATATATGTAAGATAATATATGCAGAATTTATATGCATATTAACATTACTCTGGGCTTTTTAGGATTTAAAAGAAATATATAAACTTAAAAAATTATGAGAGACATAGAGACAAACACAGCTTGAAATATCTTATTCTACAAGGTGTCTAAATAAATGTAAAATGCATCTACTTGGGTCTGAATGAGGAGATTTGAACACCGTGACAGTTTGTTCCTCCCTCACCTTCCCCTGGTTTGCTGTCCCAGCCGAGTTCCAGGCCGATGGGGGTGAAGAGGTCCCGGATGAACTCCTGGATCTCCTCGTGGAAGTCGGTGTGTGACAGCAGCGAGGACAAGACTCCCAGGTTGCAGCTGAGGTCGCTCCACACCGTGTAGTTGGGCTCGTTGACAAACGCCTCCATCAGTTTCAGCACCTCCACCGTGCTGATCATCCCTGCACGAGACTGAAGACACAAAACAATCAGCATCTGTAGAACTCAGAGACGCCTTAGTCTGTCAGATTCTCCCAAATAAAAATAAATCATAAGGACATAAGGAAGTTTATGCCACTATAATCGCTACAAGCAGGGTTTTTCCTCCATAGAGAAATGTGTGGTGCCACCCATTTTTTATTTTTTTTTTTACACATGCAGCTGGCGATGAATTAATAACCCAGCGGCTGTGTTGGTCTGACTGCGCCTGAACGCTCCGCTACGAAGGTGATGGCCGATGACTTCCTGTTATTTCTCACAATATAAAAGCCTTTTGTGGTTGAAGTGCGCCGGTATTCACCGGTACTGCCACTTTTACATTTTACTCTTTGGCGTACCGGCACCGGTCCTCTGCCCTCTCCAGATCAGGTTTTCTGGGCACTACGTGACGCTCACCTGTTCCCGTTCTCGCCTGCCTGCTGATCTCTGCAGGGAGATCGGGTGCCTGTCATGCAGCCGTGTGCCTCAAGCTTGTCAAAGTCACTTTTTGCGAACCAACCAATCACAGCCTGGAGGAGGCGGGACATTAAAAAATGGTTGAGGCACTACAGTAAACTTTAGAAATGTGGAACTTGTTGTTCTGTATGCACGATTATTATTATTAATGACTTAATAGGCTACTTTGCATAAATAAATGAGAGACTAACCACCAAGTAGAGTATTTGTCTTGCACAATAATTGAATGACTGAAAACAACCCACAAAAATGAAACTGCTGTTTTGTCCAACTGGAATTAATATTAGGCTACTAATGGTAAGCTATAGTAGACCATAGCCTACTATGATCTGAAATTATAATGAATAAACAAACATTAGCACTAATCAAACCTTAACCACAGTGGTGTAGGCTAATATTAGAGAGAGGTTTTATTAGTGAAACAGCTTAATCTCAACTAATAAACTATCTGTAAGCAAATTATCCAAATCAAGTGTAACCTGTAAATATATAATTATATTAACATTATACTGTACTTTTATACCTCCAGGTTGTAGATATATTATGTTTATCAAATGGTCAGAAACTACTAGAAAAATGCATATATTTCAGTCATAAGGTAACTCATCGCCTTTACTGTACACATACCCCAAAGGCCCAATCTGAGCCAGGAAAAACCCTGTACAAGTAAATCCTTTGGTATCTCAGAGGTCTCTTCCTGCATATTAAAAGCATTCTGCTTTATGGAAGTTAGGTTTTTTAGGGTGAAAGACTGCTATACTAAGTTGCCTTTCATATCACATTTAAACTATCAGACAATGTTTTATAGCGTACAAAGAAGAGGAAAAGTTGCTCAACAACCTCAAATTGATTTAGTTAAAATTTATATGAACACAGGTCTACTAGTGAAAAATTTTGTAACAAACAAAACATGCAATTTCCTGTAGGGAACAACAGGAATCAATGAGCTCTTAAATAAGATAAATCAAAATGTAATTTTGATTGAATAATAAACTTGTGAACTGTGAAGAGACACTGAAATGTCTGACACATCAAGTGATGTCCTCTTGATTTCCTGGTCAGGCCGAGGTCAGGGTTACAACATGTTTTGTAACTTCAAGCTAAAAGTAGTATGCGAAAGAAAGTAACATTAGACTGAACATCAACTTTCTGCCACCTCATACATACATACATACGTACACACACACACAGTTAACCCAGAGTTAACGTAAGCCCAGGGCTATGTGATTCACTCTGCACTTCTAGCCTGCAGTTGAATGTTTGTTGAACATGCGAGTAATGTTTACATTCTGTTAACTTCAGCTCCGTTTCACACTGGCACCTTTTAGCCCCAAGTTCAGTCGATTTTCAGGGGATAAGGCTGCAAACTGTGGGCTAACCCTGCTCTGGAGCAAGCCCAACAAGACCTAGGCTAAATTCGGGGTTAGCCCACTTTGGATTGTGCCAGTTAGCCTGGGGCTAACAGCTCCTTAGCGTGGGCTAAGTGCTGTGTGAAAATCCCTCATGTGAGGACAAAAACCAATAACAGACTCTGTGAAGTTTCAGTTTAATGTGGTTGTGACACATAAATCCCGCTGTTCTGCTTGAAAACACCAGACCGTCTGGAATTCAATAAAGAAAGATTCATGATCAGATGCTATCTGATCCTCCGCCCTGAACATTGCTGCTATTTGTCATAGCCCAACATCTGATTAAACTGTTTTCTCGTACACAGACGTTGGATAAGGCGTTATAAATCTTCTTTATTATACTGACTCACAACAGCAGACACTGTGCTTCAAGTCATTTTTGAAATTTCACATCTATCATCAGCTTTTAGTTGCCAAACACATAAAACTGAAGGGAAAAAAAATTACATTTTTTTCTCCATTAAGATTTCCTTTATTAAGGAGTTAAACTGTGGGATGTAACCCTAAAGATATTTCATAGGGATGCACCAAAATGAAAATTCTTGTCCGAAAGCCGAAACCAAATATAATGAAAAACTTTCCTGAACACCGAACAAGGTTTTACACAATTTTTTCCATTTATTTTGCCTTTTTTTTACCATTGCATAAATAGTCATAATGTGCTTTGTACTAGGATTTGGAGACTATGGGGGGTGGGTACTTTTAATGGACACATGTAATATGTTTTATACTTTATGTGAATATAATAATCTTGCATGAGGTTCTCGTATGGTGTAACATGAAGACTTGACAGCCTCACTTCAGGTAGGACTCTCCTACTGCAACACTTTCTTTGTAAAGAGAGAAACTGACAGGATAAAGTCGCTAACCTGCCTGTCAGCTCGCTCTGGTCCGTTTCAGTGGATTTACCATAAAGGCTTAAATATGTGCGCACTCCAAATTTAGGTGCAGGTAGCTTAATCACCTTCACAAAAATGAGTGACAGAAACACAAAGCGGGTCAGACAGTTTGTTGCCTTCTCTAAGAAGTCAGCCACAGACGGAGTGGATGTGCAAGGAGACAATTCAGTAGAACAGCGTCTACAAAACGGCGATTTTTGCATATTTCACGGACACTTTAAAATGCTTCCACACTGCCGACATGGCAACGTAATTGTTTGGAAAAATTTATTCAGTCTTTTAACTTATTACGCCGAACACCGAAAGTGCTTTTTTTTGCTATTTTCAGAAGCTTAATTGCGGTTGCCAAACACTCAGTGCATCCCTAACACTTCATATTCAGGCCTAAACTACTGTGCTGCATGAGACCCTCCTCTTAAAACACTGAGAAGAGAACAACAGACTATGAAAGTCAGCGTGCGTTCCTCATAGTTTTCCCAAAAACATGACTTGCACTGCTTGTAACTAATTCTAACAATATGTACACAACACACACTTTAATCTTATCTCAATGGCAGAGTTCTGCCCTTGGTTTCTCTAAAAGTAACATTTATGAGAGTTTGGAAAAGTCTGGATTTTTGTCATAATGCCAAACCATTAATGTGTCGGAATGTTTTTTTCTGTCAACAACATCAGCGATTTGAATTTGCACTTATGTGACTTTTTTTCTCCACACTCCATCATCCCTCACTTTCCCTATTCAGTCTTCCTGCACCATGTATTGGTTTACACCTTTCCATACCGACATGCAACTAGCCTTTTGGGGTGCCTAAATACTTTTATACGATATACGATTACACTGACGTAAACACAAAGAGAGAAAAAAAAAAAAGAAAATGACTGTTATTGTTTTATAGCCCAGCAGTAGGGTTGTGTGTGTGTTTCACCAGGGAGAAGAGGTCATTCTGCAGGCCGAGCCGGTCCACAGGCTGCAGGCTGAGGTCTCTGACGCCCGGCAGCAGACTCTCCAGCATGGGCGAGCTGTACTGGATGCGATAGAAGCCCACAGTGCCGGGGTTGATCTGTAAACAGCAGGGACAAAAACTGGGTCACACGGTGGGAAAAAATTTAGTCTAACCATTTTTAACTCTCAGGCTGAGTGCTCTTATCCAGCATGGCTTAAAGTGAGTGAAACCGCAGCATCTTAACTAAACCCTGGAGCATTAGCATTAACAATAACCCTGTTGTTGTGGCAGAATTTCCCCTGGTAATTCTGACTTTTAACTGAACAAAGGAGAGAACCGTAGTCCTCCAGATGTCTGTGTGTAATCTGCAGCTGGCACATAACTGAGCTGATAACAAGCCGACCCACAGGACTGGAGGAGTGGGGGATTCAAGGCATCATTTATAGATTAGTATCAGCTGTATAAAGCCCAATAAAGCATCAACAGCTAATTTGCAAGTTACATCCCTGAGCGATTAAACAAGCCTATTCACGTTCTGTCAAAAGCCAAACTGGGTCACAATGACCAGAATAAAAGTTTAAATAATATAACAGACTGAAGTCTCAGTTCGTTAGTAGACTAGCCGAATGCCTGTAGAGACTGACAGAATCAGAATCGGGTTTATTGCCAGTATTTGTAGTATTGCACAAGTATGTGCAAAGTTGAAGAAGTGCTCTTCTGCGCTTCCTCCCAAACTTACAACAAGGAAGTCCAGTTTGTTTGAACTTTAAACATGTCAGACATCTTCACTTATGACTCATGAATTCAGATTAAAACACTGGAAGCCATATCCTGTTTGGTAAATTTTCTGAATGAATGAAGAAATGTTATTTTTGCCAAACATGTCGACTCTTTTAACTCAAAGTTTTACTTTTTTGTATTAGGGCAGAAACGATTCATCAAGAAACTCGAATAACTTGATTACGTTTAATCCAAATAATTATATACAGCGCACAGAGGATTATTACTGTCACACAACGAGCTTACGCTGTGGACAAGTGAAGACGACGTGAACTGATGCCGTGGACTGCAAAATGGAGGAAGAGAGAGAAAATAGCGAGGGATGAAGAAGAGGCAGGCCAGAGAAAAATACAGGAAGTGTCCAGATTATGGGACGACAACACTTCAGTATCTGAGCAGAAAGCGTAGACAGAAGCATAGAAACAAGGTAACGTTAATGTAGTATTTAACGTAAATCATGATTGCTAGTTGAGATGATGCTAGTCAAGGTACAACTTAGCTGTAAATGTGTAAAAGTGCATTTGATGTTATTGTCCTCTGGTTAGTCTGTGAGTTTGGGTTGTAACATTGTAGTTATATTAGTTACACACAGACTGTATAAAAGAAGTGGACGTAGTCATGGTGATGTCACCCGCTGGTTTGTGGACTGCTGTTTTGAAGCCTCGAGTTTGGCCGATAGGGCGCCGCCATGTCGAGTTTTTACAACTAGGAAGTGCCCGGAAGTGACCATACTTGGACGAGACGGTGGAGCTAACAGCCGTGTGCGGAGTGTCATTTTAACAGGGCTGATAACTTTGAAACTAAACTAAATGTACTCACCAGAGAAAGTTAACAGCCAACTCCTAATAAGTTTTTTCAACAGCGCTGGTTAAACTTGCACAGTGCCGAGGATACGAGTCACTCTAGCCTGACTGACAGATCGCCATGGTAACGACTTGTCAATCATAGATAATCCTGCCCTGAAACATACTCTGCTTTATGGTCTATTAAAATAAATGGGACCATTATTTACTAAATCAACATCATTTTGAAACTAGCGAGTGTGACCATAAACTCATCTGGAAAGTGTTTACTGAGGTAATAAACCAGCTGAGAAGTAGCCTCATTTTACCATTGATTCTAATGGAGCAGGACTTCTTTATACAACCAGAAGAGTCGCCCCCTGCTGGCCGTTTGATAGAACGCAGGTTTCAGGGACTTCCACATTCGCATCAGATTGCTGACTGGAAGCTTCCCGCTTGGTTACACAGCTGATCCTGGTACCGGGGCCGCCAAACATAAGTATTTCTTATCTGATTACATGATGGAATAATCTGAAGAATACTCGATTACTAAAATCATCGACAGCTGCAGCCCTACTTTGTTTGCACATGGCCGCGTTTTAACAAACATGTATAAACAGATTTGTAGAGCCACATTATGATGGCAGTGTTTTCATACTGCAGAATACAAAGATGTTGAATTGTTAAAAGCAAACCAACAAATGATCGCATGAATATCCCATGTAGATAAACAAGTGATAGGTGAGACCGATCCACATTAAATATAGTTTCTACAACAATGTCACTCAGTGGTGCCTTCAGGTACGTTCCAACCATCACGGCAGGCTACCAAACAAGATATTACTGCCACAACAAACCTTGGTACATAAAATTGTTTTATTTATCACTATCAGGGTATATACAGGAAACCTGAAGTAAAATTCAATACCTCTTAAGACCTATATCAAGACTTTTTAAACATATTTTAAGACTGTCGCACCACTTTGAACTGTTTAAATGCACAACATTACAACCAAACATGTGAGAAACAGTGTGATTTGTGTTTTAGTTGGTTCAATCTAGATAACGTTAACTTGCCAGCAAACGCCAACCAGTCGATAACTACTTGACATAACTTATTTTCAGGCATAAATTTGTAAAGGGCGTACTGTTGGTTGTAATCTGAAACCTTACTGCTAGAAGCCACTAAAAACTACACAACGCACCTTTAACTTACATTTACTATAAACAGATTTTGAGACTGTAAACCTAAACACTTTGATAACTTTCATCAAGCACTGTATAAATACAACACAATTCAAATAGGCCAGAAGGGAACAAAGCTGAAGAGAATAAATTCGAGTGATGGATAACGTTGGCAGTGTGGTCGGTGTAGCACAGACATTTGCGATCAACAACTGCTGTCTGCATTGTAAAGCTGATTTGTGTACATTTTTATAACAATAACTTTGGTAAAACAGAGGTGAAACAGAACAAGGGGAACTTGTTGCTCTCAGGAGGACCACATATTGGCACAATGGCATTTGTCTGCTACAGGGCCTTTATCCACAGCCTGGAGGAGAACCTAGTATAAATGAGCGTATTAATATAATATTATAACATTATATTGAATGTATATTGATAATAAAATAGTAAACTGTTTGATATGAATATGCTAATTATATGATGTTACTATATTCATTAATTCCAGCAGTTTCAGTTTGGGGTTGTTTTCATTCATTAACTTTGTGCAAGAAAAATGTTCTACATGGTAGTTAGTCTCTAACTTTAATTTTAAGTAGGCAACTAACTCGTCAATAATCATAACTATTTACACAGAACAATGGAGGTCAGCATTTATAAAGTTTGCTGCAGCACATCAAACTTTTTTTTAATGTCCCGCTCCGTCCAGGCTATGATTGATCTGTTCACAAAAAGTGACACAGACGAGCGCATCGGCTTTATGAAATATTGAACGTGTTTCAATAAAAAGCAATGATTTAGCTAAATAGCCAGCTAACGTAGCCAAACCCAAATGCTGCTTATATTTTCCTCTATTATTATAATTTTTTTTTCCTCCATCTCGCTCTTGTTTTTGATTAACGGGGCTGTTCAAGTGGCCACAGAGCTCAGACCGACTATGTTTTTAACGATTAGCATCGGGGGTCCGGCGTGGTGGAAGATTACAGTCGGTTTGTGCTCGTCAATCAGTTTTCCAGTTCGATAACTGCGCCTAACGTTAGAAGAATCACTCGCTAAGTCCTGCCTATTTAGTAATTTTGGCTATGCAATATAAATAAATACGTTCACCGACACTTTTAGCAGACAAACTCTTTGGACAAAAAGGATGTTCACATTGACAAAAATATCTACAAAATTGAATACCTTGTTAAATGACTTTTTAATGGCCTTAATTTTTGCAAAATGGATTTATTACCTTTTAAGACCCCGCGGACACCCTGACTATATGCCAGGTATCGGATCAGAACTTGGCAAACACCCTGACCTTTGGTATGGCAATCAATATCAGGATCATGCTTCCCTGATTGCTGGTGACTACTGCTGAGCGATCTAAAAACTAAAACTGATATCACTGCTGTGGATAAAGTACTCATCTAAATATCGAAGGTGAACTGAAACATTAACTGCTGGTGTTGGAAGAACCGTGACTTGACCTCACCTTGATCCACTGGTCAGGAGCCACGCCGCTCACTGTGATGGTCGTCTCGGGTCTGTCCAGAAGAACCTTGAGCTTGGTGCACTTGGGGTCCTCGCTGGTACAAATACTAATGGGGACCATCCAGTTGGGGCAATCCTCACCTGTCCAACAGAAAAGTAAAGGAGCCAATGAGAAGCTAGCACAAAAAGATATCAGTTTTATTTTAAAATGAATGCAAAGCAGCATTAACCCTGTGTTGTTGTTTTTTTGCAAATGGTTTGAGTTGCGTACATTTTTTTGGAAACAGGTCATAAACACTCACCATTATGTGGTCCACTGGCACAGAACTTCTTCTGAGATATTTTGAGGATGCGGTCGTCACCTTGCTATAAATAACATGTTCAGTGTGTGTGAGGAAGACAAAATGAAACACAGAGTACAGAATTAGAAAAAGACACCAGACACCTGTCACTTCTGCTGGTGAATTGAATAAAGTTAAGGGAATAAAAAAAAAAGTCAATAGGTATTATTCATAAAGACCATGTGACATCACAGTGCTTTATCGCCATTTTTGTGTCGGGTAACAGCAACCACTACCCGAGGAGACTTTTGTTTAGCCGAATCTTCATGTAAAAGATGCTAATGAACTGAATGGAAACCCAGTCTGCATGAAAAGTCGCACCTGTGAGCTAGAGTGCTAATGTTAGCTAAGCAGCTGTAAGCCCGTTAGCTATTAACTCGCTAGCTAGCATGATCACTCTAGACTTAACCACCACCGAAATAACATGGGTGATAATTGTTGTTGACTCACTTACATGTCCAGTGATCACATATATATTTTTTCTGTTCCAGATGCCATATCTTGGTGTGGTTCACCCGTCCTGCAACGGCGCATTGATGGATTATGTACAAGATCCATGTAAGTGTCAGGAAAAGTAAGTTGGGGCGGACGCTTGGCAGATTTAAGGGACAAAATACAGTTGGATATAAATTGAGGTCTGTCCGTCTCATTTAGATGCACTGCAATCAAACATAACATAAATAACTATCTGTAGCCTAATTTTCACTTTGTCGGACACAAAAAAAGGCGACGGGACATTTCATATTACAACTATAGTCACCAAAATGCTCTCACCAAGTCAGACAGACAAACCACAGCAAAAGTTAAATCACCCGATGTTCAATAAGGCAATTTTTTTCAATCAAGGTTCCCTCAGTACTCTTGTAAAAACTAAAATACGACCAGACTTCAGAGTGATCTCTGCAGTCTGGTCTCCCGTTTTGTTGTCATTGACCCAAACAAACAGTGCGCCTGCTTCTGGGAGAGTGTCGATGACTTTGGTTGATGCTGGACAGTATTTGCCGATTAGTTTATCGAAGCGCAGTAACCGAACCTGGTAATCATGGTAATTAAAATGTGTACGATAATAATAACCACTGGGAATTTTACCATGGTTTATCATGAAACCGGTAACCGTTTCTTCCCTATTCGGTACTAGGCCTGGGCGATATGGACCAAAAAGTCATATCCCAGTACTGTTAGGCTGTGTTATACCGGTATAAAATATATATCAGTATTTTCTGCTAAGTTGGCTGTGGGGGAGTGTTTAGGGGCATGTTTTTACTATTTGTAGGAACTTAGCTTGTTTGTAATTTCAGTTTAAATTGTACTTCATTCACTCACTTACTGAATCCGCCTCCTCCAGTTCTCTTCACGCTTACAGACCTAACGTGCCTCTGCTGCAAACACGTCCATGTGCTCCGCTTCTTTCGGTCTCTCCCTGGTAACTTTCTCCATCAGTAGTAGGCTACGTTGTATAAAGTCGCCAAAAAAGAACCTTTTCTCCCACAATGCAGTTCATAGCAGCAGCTGCGCTGCATGTTAGCCATTCAAAACAAAACCAGCGTGGTAGCTAACAAATTACACCTGCACTATTGTGTTCAATGTCACTTTACCTGGTCCATGCATCTAAAATATCCACAGTGTCGCGATTTGTAACATAATGACTGTGTTTCCCTGAAAAATGCTACAATGTGCCGCCAAATACACCTTGGCGGCTTTTAATACACCTGGGCAGCCCGCCGGAGTAAAGTGTATGTGTGGGAAACAATGACTGAACTGTTGTTTTTTTACAAACCAGGTCTTCAGCAGTGTCTACTGGCACTGTGTCTCACTCTCCATGTTGTTAGAGACTTTGTGAGTAAACGGCTGCGTGCAGACGCAGAGGGTGGGGCTGCACAGTGAGGGAGGGAGAGAGGAGCAAACGCTGGCGGGACTTTATGAAACATATTAATTAACTCAACATCAAACTATATCGGTATAAACGGTATTGTCTAATTTTATATGTCTTTTGAAATTATATCGGTATGTACTTTATACTGATATAACGCCCTGCCCTATTCGCGACCAGTGAATACTTGGGTCTTGTGAATTCTGAAATCCACCTCTGAACAGACTCTAGCTCTGTTCCAACTTTCTGACCACACGCAGCTCAGTCAGTGAACAAAAACGTCTGATTTAAAGCACTCAACCTTGTGGTCAATTAAGCTCACCTGTTCCTGATCGACAACTATTATCGGGAAGCCCATCTGCTTGGTCCACGAGCTCATCACAGCAGCAATGGGTTTTCCACTGGCCTGTTCCAGACAGTCCCATAGATCCTCTGTGGAAGGCAGCAGGGAGTTAAGAGGATCAGGAATCAGTGCAGTTAATTTACACAACGGTTTCATCTTGAGAGAAATATTTCCTTACCAGTCGAAGCATTTTTGTGTTGGAATTTCAAAAGATAAGCGTTCATTCCTTTCCTAAAGTCCTACAAAGAATGAGTAAGAGGTCAAGCTTAATGAACAAAAAACAAACATAAAAACAGTACTGAGTGTGTTAGAGCAACCAACCTCATCTCCTATGTAGTTGTGCAACATGCGGATCACAGATGCTCCTTTGCTGTAGGAAATGGCGTCAAAGATTTCATCTACCTCTGATGGATGGCCCACATTCACCTGGAGCACATAACACAAAGCTAGAAATCAGATGTTAAGTATTTGGCAATCACAAGCTAAATAAATAATAACAATTATAACAATCCACAAGTAAACACATTCTTCCCAACAGACGGCAGCTTTCAGTTCCTCCAGGCTGCCACCACAGCTCACCTCTATGGGATGGCTGCTGTCCAGTGCATCCAGGTCCAGAGCGCGGGTGTAGTCGGCTGAGACGAACTGGGTCCAGATGTCGTACTCTGGGAAGCAGTGGTCCACACACAGATACTCGATCCAAGATGCAAATCCCTCATTAAGCCACAGATGGGTCCACCATTCCTGTATACACAAAGACACACACTAACATGACACAGTGTCCTCCACGTCCTTCACAACTGTTCCCCTCTAAAATTTGATCACCTACACTACAAATACTAACATTGCCTCAAAGTGACAATACTTTTATTTAAAAGAATAATGGGTAACTTAGGTTGTTGACAAGATATAAAAATATTTACGTTCTACATTCGATTAAAACAAAAGGAAGGGATTCTTGGCTCTGACTGTGGTGCGACAGTAACCAGGGTGCTCCGGATGCACAAGTAGGCAATCGCTGTCCACATAAAAGTAGGGATGCACCGAATGTTCAGCCACCAAAAGAAATCGTATGAAAATAGCAAAAAAAGCACTTTCGGTGTTCGGGCTAATAAGTCAAAAGACCGAATAAATTAATTCTAAATAAATATTAAATGGCAGACTTATATACATATTTGCTGGTTCCAGCTTCTTAAATGAAAGGATTTGCTGCTTTTGTCATAAATGAGTCTTTGGGTTTTGGACTGTTGGTTGGACAAAAGAAGCAATTTGAAGAAGTCACTATGGGCTCTAGGGAATTGTGATGAGCATTTTTTTTTGCAACTTTCTGACATTTTTTAGAGAGTGGGGATGGTGCCTTTGGGCCCAGATTTGATTACCACTGTGACACATCCAACAATGTATCCCTGAGCAAGACTGTTAATCCTGTTCCAGAGGCGTGCGACCTCTGACATACATAGCAATTGTAAGTTGCTTTGGATAAAAGCGTCAGCAAAATGAGTAAATGTAATGTAAAGTTTATAGACTAGACAACTGAGCAAATAATTGGCAGATGAATCAATAACGAAAATAATTGTTAGTTGCAGCCGTAACAGATACAGTATAGTACAGACACAAAATAAAATTAGTATGAGGTTTGTTTCCTACAACCCCGAGATGCAGATTGGTTTCTGCAATTAACTAGCTTATCAATATTAAAACATTTTATCTGTTTTATATCTTTTTGGATACACAGGATAAAACTCTTTAAGCTGAGAGCTCAGTTTTTTTTTAACATTACTTTTTATCATCAGTCATTGGTTTTGTTATTTTTACGGTAATTATTATTATTAATGTTTTAAAAGCTCCTCACAAACTGGATTTCTGGAGGTATTTTTAGCTACAAGTGGTTGATGTAAGGTTACGCTAGTTACCATGGTGACCAAGTTTCCGAACCACTGGTGGGCAAGTTCGTGTCCCACCACCAGCGCCACCCACTGCCTGGAGGATGAGCAGGAGTTCTTCGGGTCGATTAGCAGTGCCGTCTCCCTGAGAAAAAACACCCAACAGAGAGTTGAGGTTAACACAGAGACAGCTGAAGGTCGATGCTTCCTCTCAACGCCAGCAGGTTTCTACTCCATCAACCATCCGGAGGCCGCTTCAGCCGCTGGGCTGTTTATTAAGAAAACCTGTATGCAGGCGGCTGTAGATGGAAGATGAATGGAACCTGCTGCCGTATGCTAATCACACGCCATCTGAAAAACGAACAGGTGGCAACACGTTCAGCTAACCACAAAGCAATTAAAAAGCCATCACTGCTGTCGGGCAAAATAACACAACTGCAACAAGAACTTTCAGAAAGAAAAAAAGTGACCTAAAGTTGCATGAAAGTAATTCCAAAGAAAGGGCTCTGATGTCAGCAAGGCTTTGTGCTTTTGCAAAATCGAAGGGGCTTTAACTTTTTTCAGCATCTGAAAATTTTAAATATTTTTAAAATATGTAGCTGAAGAGCAACTAAAGCTTACCTGTAGGTAACAAGGCCCCAGTTTTCCATGGCACCTGAATGGGAGGAAGCAGTACGCATTTCACAACATTTTCAGTGGAAATGTCTCAAATGACTGAATGTAGAATTGGCAGCTACTCACCAGCAGCAAAATCGGCAATAGCTATGAGATCAATTTTAGGCAATGGATAAGGAACATTGAAGTAGTCTTTGTAGAAAGGTAAGGTCTTAGTCGCAACCTGCAAAAAAAGAAAAACAAATTGTTAACCAGCAGCTGTCAGGACAACCTGTACACAGCAAGATTAAAGGAGACACAAAGGATCAAGCAGATTATTCAGGATTGAATCCGCCATCACACAAAAGCTGGTAAATTTAGTCGTTATCCGTACATTTTTCTCCACTCAGGTTTGTAGTTTGTAAAATTCTTAGTGTACAAGTGAGAGCACGTTGTGAATCCTGCTGCGGACAGTCTGCTCACCTCCAGTGCAAATTTCCCTTGTTCGGCCTTCCCGACAGGTGTGTAGACGCGTACCGTTATACCGTCTGATGACTGGCTCTCCACATAGTCGTATTCACCAATGACAAAAGCTACAAGGTATGTGGACATGATGGGTGTGGTGGCAAACTTCACTTCCACAAGGTTTTCATCTTCTGGATATGGCTTTCGATCAATGACATTCTGGAAAGGGAAAATTAAATGGCTCAACATGGAGATCATCATACAAACAGATTACTGACAACAAAAGTGAATCCAACAGTTGATATTGATCCATTCCCTTGTAATTATTTTTACTCTTTTGGCCAAAGAGTGATGTTGTAAAATGCAAACCGATTAAAATTCTGTAAGTAGTCTCACAGTCACTGCACACTTTATTTTAGTGCTGTGGTCTGGCTGAATCCATTATCATTCTGGAATAGGGGGAAAACCACGTCCCAGCTTTTTTGGAGTTCTTTAAACAAATCACAATTGTTTTGGGTGGCGCTAAGCCCAGGATGCAGTGACGGTGCCCTTGCAAAATAGTAAAACAGTAACACACAAAGGAGCGAAAGGAGGAGGAGAGGAATTCCGACTGAAATAGTCGCCCGATGGCAGGCTTGTACCCACAGCCTACTTCCTGTGACTCAGACTCGTCCGGTAGAACAAACAATGTACAAATTATTTCACTATTTGAAGGGCCACACCGGCAATGGGGCTTAAAATGTGAAGTTTGTCTTGAGGGTGATGCTAGAGGAAAGGTCATGAGGTCATTAAAGTCAAAATGCTTCTTCTTCTGCATGAATCTGCAAAATCTAGTAAAATGAATACCAATGTTTCCATTAGCTTTTGTACAAATGGAAAATTTAGTCCCAAGGTGGCGCTGGAACAAACATCAGCAGGTCACCACGATCATTAGGAATCTGAAATCATCCATTAAAAGGATATTTTTCTTACTGTCAACAAAACCCAAGAAAACAACCAAAGCCAACAATGTGTTAGTCGGTCTCTCAATACTGTCTGACTACCCTATCCTGTCTGTGGCTCTCGGCTCAAAGCCCACTGCTTCCTACTGAAGATGTAAATCTTTAAAAAAACCTGTCACGCATTTAATTATTAAAATTTAGTTTTCTAAAGGTGACCTACATGATTAACTGGAATATTCATGACGCCCTTCTTTTGGTAAATATTTGAATCCAGGTTGAGATGTTTGCAGAGCAAACACATAAGGGTCCTTCCTGTCTGAGGCTATCAGCTCCTTGCCCTTTGGTTTCGTCTTAAGCGTAAAACTCAAATATATAGCTTCATTTTTATAAACTGTAGTTTTTTTTGAGCAAACTCAAAAATCAAGAAACTTGTTAGGGCCTATTTTCAGTGATGGATTAATTCACATCTGGTCCTCTAGTGAGTATTTAGGGCAGCAGGACGGTGTCTAAATAAACTACAGAGTATGTGTTCATGGAGATGAAGGAACATGTCAGCTAGTTCAGCAGTGAGGCTCACCGATGTGTTTTTAATAGCTTTTAAATACAACAGTGGAGCTCAGAGGGATAAGATATATCAGACAGTACTTGTTAGTAGTTACATTCATTGTTGGCGTTGGTGCTTTATGGAACGTGTTGACAAAAAAAGTATAATTCTGAATATCCCCAGACTTATTCTTTAGTATCAATGCTGACATTTAAAACATTGTGGCCAGTATTTATCTTACTAGCAGTACATATCTTTCACCATCTGTACCAACATGTAAACCCTCATGTTAGCACAAGTATCCACTGAAAAGCATGTGTACACAGTCGAGCTAAAAGCAGTATTGTGTTTAAAGGTCACAGTAGACTTGCTGAGAAAATAAATTTCAGCAGGTTTGTGAACAATAGGTCAAGAGCTGGACCAGCATCAATCTCTGTGCAGGCGTCAGTCCTGCTGGTCAAGCTAATTAAATTTTCTTCACTTCAGCTGTGCGCATGATGGCCTGCAATTTCTCTATAATAATCAGTATATGTCTACAATGAATTGCATTATTTTATGTTATTATCTAGGGTTATATGTCTATAATATTATTTGGTAAGCTGTCTTCCGCAATCCAATTTCGCTGTCCTGTCTTGAGGAAAAGTGTCTATTTGGATTCAACAACTGTCACAACAGGACATAAAAACACATTATTACAGAGTGACAGGCTGCATTCATGTCATTCATATTTAGTCATCAGAAAGACCCAAATTTAGCTTTATCATCCCCGCCCAAGTGTGTTAGCCTGAAGGGTGTTGTTACAAATAATCTAAGCCAGATGATGTTTTCTGATGCAATGTAGCTGCAAATGCCTTCATCTGAAATCAGTGAAGACAACGACATTTCTTTCCTCCAACCAACCTCATTGTACATGTACAGTAGTTACATTTCACATGATGTGAATGTGCAGTGACTGTTGCCTGCCCTCTGTTATGTAAGATATGAAGAGAAAAGAGAGGGAAGAGAAAGGGCTGGAAACCAAAACACACACACAGTCACACACATTAAAGAAAACTTGGCAGTGAACAGGGACTCAGGCAGTCTGGGGTCTGGAGTTTCTCAGAGGGAGGAGTGAACATATGACACGTACCATATTTGACAAGGCTACTCGGTCCTTGGGAACTATCAGAGTGATGTCAAAGGTGGCTTTGATAGCTGGCTCATCCCAACAGGGGAAAGCTCTGCGAGCATCCGTGGCCTGGAGAGAGGAAGCAGACAGAGAGAAAGGACACAACCTGAGACTGTGTGTTCCATCTAGATAAGTCCAGACCGTGTTCAGGTCCCGCTCAGGTGGACTGCAATTCACATCCGGCATCAAAATGCAACAAATCTCCGTCTGTGATCATATTTCATGTAGACATACTGATACAGGAGGACTGCAGAAGGCTGTTTGCATACTGAACAGAGCTACACAGAAACTAAAAAATAGGATGAAAAACATGATGAAGACAGAGTTTTCTATGTGAGAATAAAATAGATATACAGAGCTAGAGAGAGGAAAGTAACCACCCTATTTAAAGACACTTTTATATGTTTTCCCATGTTATATAAGAACAATTTTTTTGGCTCATCTGCGTGGTTAGGGACGCAACAGCTTTCACATTATATCCATTTTCCATGAACAGAAATCACTTCGGTGGCGACTCAAAGAGAATTATGCCAAGCTAAAGACTATTTTGACTTCTATTTTCCATTTCAGAAGTCAAAGTGACATTTCACTGTATGAGCAGCCCCAGACTCTTTCCTCTTTGTTGCAGGCAGCGCCACAGTCGAGCGTTTTCATCTGTGCCAGGTAAGCTGTTTTTCAAAGCCGAGATAATGAAAGCATCAAATTTAGTTGTGACATTTGAAGCATTCCCTTTAAATAAATAGCCTGGAGCCAATCATTTTATCTATTAAGAAAGATAAGGAGCTCCAGCCTTGGATAATGTTTTCCAGTTGGGCGCCTGAAACAGCTACCCCTGCAGAATCCCACACCACAGGTGTGGACTGACTGGTGTTGCTGGTGACCGGTCACTGGGAGTCGTTAAAGCTTTCTACCTGTGTTAATTTTACTTACGAACATCCACGTTATGATTGGAATGTTTTCTTGAATAACCAAGTGTGTCCTGAAACACAGTGTGAGCTGACAACTAAACAGAACTTGTGGTGAGGAAGTTAGTCTGAATAAGATTACTCTACTTGTTACTCAAAGGCAAAGGAAGTCACTTTCTATCTCTCTTTACTGCTACTTCATGTTGGCTTTTGTCTCGCCAGGCGTTTTAAGGTCCATTATTGCTTATATTTTACTGACTGATAATTTTATTGTTTTTATGATGTTGCTGCGTTTGTTTTATTGTTTGATTACTATATATTAGTATTTTATGATGATGTTGCGTTTGTTTTATTGTTAGTTCTTTACCATTTTTCTTTTCCTACACTTCTAAAGCAAGCAAAGTTTAATTACTTACTTAGTTTGCGTCCCAAAAGACTGTCGTTTTCATATTGTTCAGAATTTGCTTATCTCCATAGAAATGGGTTACCCGTCAAACTATGCTGAACCCGTCATTGTCAAATATAAGACCAAAACTTGCAGGATTTTTCAACATGCATGTGAGAAATGGGAATAAATAAATAAATAATGGGAGACCCTCTGTCATAACTTCATTTTTCAGTGTGCGCATGCTGTGGTAGAAAACAGCAGGTATATCCTGCAGATAACAGAGGACACACAGAGCATCCCAGTCCGTGTCCAGACTAGAATGAACTGGTTTTGGCTTGACTTTCCCAGAAACACACGAACACAAAGCAGCTTTTTCAAAACATACTTATAAACAGAATGAAACCTGAGGTATTGCATAATCTTTAAGACATTTCTGGATTATAAACAAGACCCACATGACCACCACACCCTCCTATGTAGCAACACAGGCAAGTAGTGGGTTAAGCAATAGACATCCCATTTCCCCGAGGCCATCAACTTACCTCAAACTGTGTGACAGCAGCGTAGCGGATCTCTCCAGCAGAGGTTGTATATTTACTTCTATAGAATCCTTTCATTTTGTCGTTCAGCTCCCCAACAAAGTCTATCTTCAATGTGCCAGAGCCTGGGGAGGCGTACACAGAGAGAGTTGCACTGTTCATTCAGTCACAACCAAAAGGCGGAAATCTATTATTCTTCAACAGCAATGATGAAGCAGGGACAACAACCAGCAGAGCCAAATGAAGTCCATTCTTACCTTTCTGTAGCGCACTAGGAAATGACAGGGTAACTTTTTCATCCTCATTTTGATAGTTGAATCCTGTAGCATTAATTTCTATAAGAGGAAAAAGAGAGTAAGAAAAAGACCAAGGCCGACTACCAGACCATGCAATATGTCCTTTTCTTCTTTCATTTTAAACCAGGTGTACTCCCAAAATTGAGATGTGTAGAGATCAAATGCGATAGGACACATGCAATTTACATTTTCATTTAGGACAATGTCATTCATTCAAAGATAAAAGAGGAAAAAAAGCTGACAGTCTCACCTTCTCCTCCCTCCGGCACAAAGGAAGCTGTGATGATGTCGATGTCAGCACAGTTCATCACAATCTGATTTGTGGCTTGTGTAACCTAAAAATATTGACATAAAGCAGCATAACTTACACTTTGACAATCACCGCTGTGCCATAATTTCAAATCCCAATCTGTCTCAGAAAGATTATGTTTAAATAAAGTGCAACTCTCCAACGAAACTATCACCGGGACTTGACAATGGAGTATGTAAAGGAGCTTTTGTTTGTGCAGTTCTGATGGTAAATCCAAACTGAACCTGGGTCAGATTGCCAAGACAGGAATAAATCTACTTACTGTGAGCTAAACCTGCAGAGGCTGAAGGGCAAAACTGGCTACAGATAAAGAAACTGTTGGTTTATGAAAAAACATTGGAAAGAAAAAAAGTTACGCAAACAAGGAAAGGAAGGCGGATTATGGGGCCTCTGTGAACAGTGCATGTTACTTAGGAGAAACACAGCAGCACACTTGGATACCATGCAGTTTTCAAAAAGGGCAGTAATAGTGACATTCACGTTTTGTGGCAGTGCTGGTTGGACGCTGCTGTTGTTAGAGAAACTTGAAAGCTGACACAGCGGCAGAGAGGCAGGAAAGTGCCATGTTGCTCACATTTTTGTCTGGTCTATTGAATTTTACTCATGATTGGTACAAACCACAGATAAACAGGGTCCAACTAAACCAAACTGTGGTCAACACAACATTAAAAAAACAACTTCCAGGAGGACTCAACTTAAAAGACTTGCTGAAATGTGGATTTGAATTACCTTCCGGCAAACTATTTTAATGATTAACACAAGGACACAAGTTTTCAATCTATTCAAACCTTGCTTAAATGTTGTATGAGCACAGTTTGCAGCATAATTTATGATGTCCCATGTACATTCCTTGTGCTAGGTGTCATTTCAGAACAGAAGGCAATAACATACCAAAGTTTTGATTCAGATACAAAATAAGCCAAACTTCTCAAAAGTTTCCGGTGATAAACTTTTAATGGTTTGGTACTAAAACAATTAATCAATCGACAGAAAAGTAATCATTTTCTGTCATTCTTCAAGGAAAAATGACATATTTTCAAATGCAATGATTTACGTTTGTCTTTGTCTTCATTCATATCATTTACAAACCGTATATATATTTGGGTTGGTCAGGCAAAACATTTGTTTTACAGTTGTCTGCGCCTTCTCACATTCTATGGTGTCTGTGTTATCTTATTATTTTTCATGAATTACTATTATTTTAATCTATTCTTGATAGTAAAGCAGTTTAAATCCCATTAGTGAATGTGTCATGTAAACAAAGAAAAAAACAATATTTACACATGTACACATTTAAACCATACATAATGGTGTGGTCTGTCTTGTTTGCTCTGATAATGTGTGTTGAGCGAGTGTTTAAAACCAGGCACAGGTGTTAAAACGCTCAGATTACAGGTGTCTGTGCCCGCACAAGGGAGCAATTCAAATTCTTAAAGCACAAATCATCTCTCTTAAATAAATGCTAAGTGAGCTGTTATGTTTGTTAGTTACATTTAAGTTACCAGCTACAACAGGGGTCGGCAAATAAGTCTGGCATCGGGCCAAAGTTTTTTCCAAGTCGTTACATGGTGGGCCAGAACATAGTCAAATTATTTCAGATCCTTATTCACCTGTGTGTAGGCCTACGTTTAGCGCAGTCAATAGCCGCGGGATTCATGTTCGGAGGATTATATGATCGATTCCAGCATACGGCAGATATATTTTTTTCTCGCTTGGACGCTTATTTTCATTTCCCTGAGGAAATTCAGGGGAATCCAATCACACGTTTACTGACGGCTTTTTAGATGTGTGTCAAGCATGCGTTCTCCTGCTTTTATTTTGGAGGCACGATCACTTAAGAGGAAGCGATAATGTGAGTAACTGTAGCTGTCATGACTGGGATCTATTTCAGCACCAGCCCTATCAATTTATTTATTTTTTATTTTTCTGCTATCAAAGCAATCTGGAAGCGGGCCGGGTATTGCTGCCGGGCCGCTTCTGGCCCGCGGGCCGCCTATTGCCGACCACTGATCTACAACCACTTTGTCGTTTTAGTCTGGACGTGATAAGCAAATGTGAAAAAGGTCTCCGTTTTAAAAAACAAAAATGCAGTAGTGTGGATGGGGCTATAAAGAACAAGCCAAGGGGAAACAAACTGACACATTAACGTAATTACCATAGACTGTGTGTGCATTCCTCAAATTTACCCCAAAGACTGTTTAAAGAACAGTTTAAATTTAACCAGAGCTGCTCTGAAAATAGATATCACAAAATGCACTCATCTGCTGCCGTTTTACGGGCAGGATGTGTTTTAACATGTTTATATATAACTGGGGCTGGCAATGACAAAACATTATAAAACATCTCATGTCATTTGATATTGATAATTACCATGAGAAATTTCAAATCATTATTTCTTTCAAGTTTGAAAGCTGATATTTGCTCCTGAGTGAAATTTGAAGAAACCAGATGGTTAATTATAGTTTTATTTGTGGTTTTACATGACAAATAGTGAATCACTTAACAAATCTGAGGTAGAACGTGCAAATTAATTATGATTATTTACGAATAAGAATTATGAATAATTATGAGATTTTTTTCAACAAATATGCATGAGTAAAATTAAGTAAAATCTTTTTCAGTCCCTTTTCCTCAACAGAATAAATATCTTAGTAGCCAAATTAAGTTCTAATTCTTTCGTGATTCAAATGAATCAAATCAAACATTTATTGAACATTTGTTATATTGTTATTGAGGGAAATTATATTACAATAATTACTGTTTCATTGCCCAGCCCTATTTATAAGGTAATGTTCTAACTTAGTTGATCTGAACTAGTGAGTGAGCCAGAGGGTGGGAGGGGGCGACATGATGTTGCCATGATTTAGCAAACACTAGTGAACGTTAGCTAACCGCTAGTTTGGCTAGTTAACAATTTCAGTAGCCAACAACATCTGATTAATACATTAATAATGATGCATTACTTTTACAAAAGGGGTTAAAGTTGCTGGCGCGTTACAACCAACTGCTCTTGAATCACATTAAGCGCACTGCCAAGCGCTGTTAGCAGGCTAAGCTAACATGAGAGTGCAAGTCTGCTACTGTGTATGGGACTGTTGTGCTAGCTAGCTAGCTTCAATTAGCTTGCGGCTAGTTACAGAAATATCCAGCAGTTATTTTTCCCCTTTAATGGGTTTCCATCGGCCAGTCCGAGCCCGTCAGTTAGCCAGTTAGCAACTGACAGCTAATGTCAGCTAGGTTACCACCGCTGGGCTAGTGGCTAAGAATTTACAGTTATCAGTCGAACACACAGTAAATTAGCTAGCTACTGGGTAACGTTAGCTGGTTAGATTACATAACAAGATCCCCGCCATTCACAGATAAATCCATCCGTGTATGCAGCCAGGCGCTCGGCTACACGTACCTCCACCATCGCCTCCAGCTTGCCTTCGAAGGTGAAGTCGATCAGGTCGGGCTTCAGACATAAGCCATAGTTGACGGGGTAAACGTCAGTTGGTAGCCGTACGAAGGGCCTCCTTTCGGGCATGGTTCCTGTATTTTGGCCGGTCGAACACGGTGCTGTGTGTAACTCTGATTATCGTTTTTAGTTTTATTAGTATAAAGCTGACCAAAACGGGGCCTCGACAGTGAGGGCGGGCAGCAGGTAGTGAGTCTGTGTACGGAATGACAGCGGAACCCTGCGGGCCACGAGCAGCAACATCAACTGCTGCCAGCTAACAATTCTCTCTCCTCGTAGGCAGCCCAAACAACTGAAGTTCAGCAGCGTCGACCTACAGATACACAACGTCATCACGTTCCAGCGTACGTGCCATACGTGTGTGTACATCGGTTTACATGCAGTCGTACAATCAAATAACATACATCTTCTATACTGTATAGTACAATTACAGTGTTCCGACTACAACAAAGTATTTGCAGAATAGGCAATATTTCGAAGAGCATTGGTGCTACTGAACATCTGAAATTGAAATACTGAAAGAATCAGAACCAGAATTAGAAATACAGTACAGTAATTTACAGTATGCTATATGACAGAGATGTAATGATAAATAATAATAAAAAGTAAATAATGAGTACAGCTAGTGTTGAAAAATTCTTAAAAAATGCACAATTGGACAGAGAGTAGAGAATATTGCACATTGAGTCCTGAAACAGAGAATTTGTTAAAGTCAGTTGAAATCAGAAAGAGCTTTATTGCCAAGTATTATTTTACACGTATGAGGAATTTGGTGAATAGATGCAAGACATAGACATAAACATCCAGTTGACATATATAAATATGGAATAAACAGATGCAAGTTATAAAATAATTATATATATATATTAACATATCCCTGCTGCGCGGGCCTTGGCCTCTGTGTTCTCTTCCCTCTTCCCCTTCAGCCCCACTGCTGGAGGGATAAAGTACCGCTTCTTTTACACATATTAACATGTGTAAAAGAAAAAGAAAACAATGTGGCAGTTATTTACATGTTCATTACTCCAGATTTGTGAAGTGCAAACATATTACAGTCGGAGAGGATTTGGTATTTATATAAATATATAAACGGTAAATATAAGATTGACCAAATGTAAAACAATGGTAAGGAATATGTGCAATATGGCAGTTTGTGCAGTGACATTCAAAAATTTACATCATATATTATAATATTGACATCACATCACATTGAATGTCATTATTTTGCTGTAATAATTACTGATGTATTCATTTGGAGTGATTTTATTGTTGATAATACATATTGTATTTATTGTGCGGATTTGATTTGTAGTATGACGCACCTGCATCAATGCTGTCAGGGACAGACCACAATGAAAATAAGTTGTGGACTTTATTGTTATTGTTATCCTTGATAATTTGTAGATATGTTTGCCCCGGAGTCCTTTCTCTCTTTGTGTCAAATAAAGTAAACTAAACGGAAAAAAAACTTAAACCAGTTGGAGTAAATCCTGTTATGAATAGTATGGAGCTGAAGCTGGTCAGTTTTGTTGTTGTAAGGAGATGAAATGTCAGACCTGATACTACTGTAAAGACATAATGAACAAAATAAAAAATAAATCAAATTAATCTTTTTAAAATGTAAATTTTTAGGAGCAAAAATGTATGTGTACTCACTGGTGAAACACGTTTTTAGAAGACTATTCAGTGTTGTTTGTTTATTAGTGTCATGAACACTGGCGGCTACTGTGGAGTTTATTTTGAAAGTGGAAGCGGAAGTTGTTTTTCCTCACGCTGTCAAACGGTGGCAAGATGGCGATGCCCATGAAGAGGACGCTGGTGGCTCTCCATAGAGCAACATGTAGCAGTTTGAAGGTACTGAGACATTTAATAACGCTTTAATGTATTGTATGCAGATATTCAATATGTTGAGGAAGCAGCTCAGTTTGTTTTCCTTGTTATGAACACGTTACACTGCACATAGTCCTTAAGAGGCTAGCTTAGCTAACGTTAGCTAACGTTAACTGTCAGGATATAACCTCCACAGATACATGGAAGCCTGTTTTAGACAGGGAAAATTAAATGTTAGGAATAACTAAAATCAACATATTCTTGATCAAGTCAAAAGTATGGGATAGGAGGTCCAAATTAAGAGATGTACAAAGGCAAACACATCATTTTAACTTGCAGTCATATTATAACTCCTTCTCAAGAGCTGTATGGTAGGTCTTCCTAATATTTTGTCCATTCCATTTACATACGTGAGGGGGGCAAAATATTAGAAACACCTTCCAGTGTAACATACAACACTACTATAAGCTCAGTAATGTCTGTCTGACAGTTTCACCAAAAATGGAAAAGGTATAAGCTCATATTGTGGAAGTAGAATTAATGTCAGACCTGTTTTATTAGATCATGTACCTAATAAAGTGGCCAATGAGTGTAGATTGATAAACTAATTTTGAAAAAACACCTCTGATGATAAAACACGTATTTGTCGTCATCCTCCTCTTAGAATGCCGAGGCGTCTTTGGATGTGCGGCATCCCGTCCCACTTTTCCTGCCGGTCCGGACCAAGAAGCGGTACTTTATCCCACCAGCAGTGGGGCTGAAGGGGAAGAGGGAAGAGAACACAGAGGCCAAGGCCCGAGCAGCAGGGATCGTCTTCAGACAGGAGTACTTTGAGAGGCCCATTAACATCTCCTGCACTGGTAAAAATGTTTACTGACAGGGATGCATGAAATTGTTGCTGGTGTGGGACTACTTCGAGGGCAAAGTGTCAGAGATAGCGTAGGAAATAATTAAGTTAAGTTAAGCCGGATGTTGCCATATAGACATAAAATAATGACCCCAGTCTCTTCCTCACAGTAAGGAATACAGCCTTTTATTTTTTTACACAGTACTCAGAAAACTGTTTTGTTTTGGCGACTGGTACAGAAACGCAGGTGTCCAGTCATCGTCTGGATAAAGAAAGTGTTGTATTAGTACTCAACAACAGCACATTTGTCCTCAAATGTTTTATAAGAAATGCCAGTTCATAACCCAAAGCGTGTAGCTACTCCTCATCAATCAGACGGCAGTGAAACTATTTCTTTTGAAATATCTCTCCTGGTTGGAGGGTAGATACTGATTGATCAGTCCTGTCTGCTGTCCTTTTCCAGCGGGAATCTTTGACCCCTACATCCCCCCAGAGGGTGACGCTCGTCTTTCCAGTCTGTCTAAAGAAGGCCTGAAACAACGAACCGAACAGATACGACAGAGTGCTGCCTCACAGCTAGCGTAAGATTGTCCTCATGTGGATGTTTTTCTTGCCAAACATATCTGGATCTTGCAGGAAAGAGTTTGGTGTGGCTGTGTCATTGATAAAGAGGACGCTTGTTTCTTACCACCTTTTTTCAGCTGTTATAATGAATTAGATCCAAAACATTTTAAGATGATAAACGTTACAGGAAATGTGAGAAGGCTGAATGTATTTGTTTTTAATGTTGTTTCTAACAGGATTCGTAAAATCAAAGAGCACGACTCCGAGTTCAAGACTAAGGATTTTGCAGAGCGAGCTCAAGAAATCTTTATTGAGGCTCACAACTCCCTGGCACAGTAAGAAACTGAACTCATGTCTCTCACCTCGCTCAGCCAGCTGACACAATTTGGCTCAGCCTCTTAGTCAGCGAGGGATGCTGAATATTACAGTGAGACATTTGTTATAGAAGTGAGAAATGTGAGAGCAAGGTGGCAAAGCTCTCTGATAAAGAAACGATCCTTTGTTAACAAAATAAGCTAAAACAAGTTTGGTAAGTAGGTAGGTTTATTGTCACAATATAACGAGTGATAGAGTGAAATTGAGTTTTGTAACTCCCTTCTGCTACATAGCAGACAATAACACTGGAGCAGTGCTGAGGATGAATTAGAGTTTAAGAGTCTGATAGCTTGGGAGAAAAAGCTGCTCTGCAGTCTGGTGGTGTGGCAGCAGAAACGCATGTATCTCTTCCCAGAAGGCAGCAGGGTGAACAGGTACTGTCCTTTAGTATCCTTTGGGCTCTGCGCGAGCACCTCACCTCACCGACATCACTGATGCTCGGGAAATGGGTACCAATGATCTTCTGAGCAGTTTTAATCACCCGCTGCAGAGCCCTCCGGTCCTGCACCGTGCACATCCCATGCCAGTTTGTGATGTTCCCAGTTATGATGCTTTTCTTTTTTTGTTCTACTTACTTTGATAATTAATTAGCTGATTCTCACAATACATTGCAAAGCTGATGTACATGGACAGTCGTGTTGCCCTTTTACTGATATCAAACTGTGTGATACGTTCTTTTCTCCATTTAGGACAGTTTCAATCTTAACAAATGAGCAGAACCACAGTTATTCATTGAAGTAAGAGTCCAGTCCAGCTGTTTTTAACAGCATCTTCCTATGACTTAAAGAAGACTCTTCTGATGCATATTTTCAAGTCCTTGGGAAGTATTGAGGATAAAGATTTCAATTCAAGTTTAATTAGCAAATATAATTTGCTAAGATAACTATTAAATGGAGTGTGAAAGCTCATTCTTGGCAATATGAGTAGTTTGACAAAAAATCAAGTAAACAATAAAGTAACTTTGAAGAATTCACTTTAAATGGGCTTTTGCTCTGTCTGATTAAACCTAAGTTAACTTGGCAAACTCCATCTGCTGATCAAGGTGTTGTTGAAAATCCTGAACCTTAATTATTTTTTGTCTATTACTAAATTCATTCTGTACATTTCATCAACTTTGTTTTTCTTTGTTAGAAACAAAATGGCACAGTCATAAAATATCTTGCTCACATTTCCTCAGTCTGGTTCACATGCAGTAACACATATATTATAATATTTAATTTGAACAGTGTTTTGCTGCTCTCCCTGCCAAAGCAAAATGTCTCCAAATAAAAAGATTTTTGCTGAGCAACAATTATCTAAGTGAGACTTTATGTGGGGGGATTGACAGGAAGCAGAGCTTAATGTACAGTAATGCAGCATGTAATTTCATCAAACCTTACAAATGTTAAGATAAGTACGATTAACACCTGCTGTTTGTTTTGCAGGTTCAACAAAGAGAAACTTCACTCCTTGGTGACAGAGAGGTGTTATCCTGTAAGTGCTTCTTCTGAATGTTGCTGAAGTTGTTTACTAATTTAATTTCATCAAATCCTAATTTTACTGTTTTTCCTCCTCTGTGCTGCGTTCAGGAGATGACTAGGGGGAACCGTTACAAGACGATCCGCTGGAGGTTTGTGGAGTCCCTGGAGCCGCCCAAAGTGGTCCACGCCCGCTGCCCCGACATGGTCAG